TATATATATAAACCGGAAAAAGGTACACGATAAATTACTAGCAGTTAGTAACTCATCATGACAAGAACGTTTCAAATACTATAAATAACAATAGGTATAGTGATGCTAATAATAGTGATGATTGATCATAAGTGATGGTGTGTCGTCAAAATCCGCAAAAGTATCAAATAAAGTCACTCAAATAATATCTAAACCCTATCTACCGTATGATATATTTTAGGTATAGTCTTTGTCGTTCACCAAGGTTTTAGAACTTGTAGATCCACAAAGACCCGTGCATTATTGTTCGGTACTTTAGAGACATCAGTCCAGCGTATTAGCAAGAACTCCGTGCAGTACGACCAGGGTTATTAGCGGATTTAACATCAGCTTTTTCAGTTATCAACGAATAACTCCTCGTTTATCGTACTTGTGATATAAAAGTCCAGTAAAATTGCACTATGTGCTAACGTAACATAACGCAAAATTAATATTTTGTTGAACCTTCATTAGTCTTGATCGCTTTGAGGACAGGATTGGGAAGCAGCCATAATATATTATTGACTTCATTTTTGCTGTCTCTTATGCTACTATATAACTCTCTCTCACTGGGTTTCGTTATTGTCTAGGTCAAAGATTTTCGATAGCTATTAATTCAGGACGACGATTTAGGCTTCAAGAATAAAATTTGTAAAGTCTTTTCGGTGCGAATGAACCCAAAGTTACCTTCTTTCGATTGAACTTTCCGATAATTGCCTGTAAAACCTAGTAAACATATCGGCGTACATCAGAATTGTCCTTATACGAGGTGAAGAGTTTTTTTTGACGACACATTAGATTTTACTGTTACATTAAATATTAAAAATATCGTAAGGCTATCTTAAAAGTGCTGGGTACAGCATGACAAACATGCTGCATTCTTTGTACACCCAAAGAATTCATGGAATATATCCGTCGTCCATGAAAAGTTTCCGGGAAGCAATTTAACTGGAGGAGAAAGACTCAGTGAAAAAAAATCCAGTTGCATGAAAGATACTGGTGCATGCATGAAGGATGATTTTAACCCGTTGTATCGTTGACCTCCTAATGATACTTTTGAAGTGACATACAGCTTTTGTAAACATGCATTTATATATATGGAGCATCGCCAGTTTTCAAATTTTGACGCAGCCAGTAATTAGGTACATTTCATGGTGGATGCTGTTAGCCGAACTTTAGGATCAATTCGTTGTTTCGTTGCGGTTTTGAAGCTTGACGAGAAAGCGCAATCAAAGTATACCCTTAAATATGCGCAAAAACAGGTCTAATATGTCTATTTAAAAATTCGAAGGTTCTATTTAAAGCAGAAAAGTATTTGGCATAAAATGATATCAATATTCCGTTTGATTGGCCAGAAAGTCATAATCATTGTTTTTGGAGGTTGTTCGTAGAAAATTTCTCATTAATGACCTGAAACGGCAACGTTATAGAAGAAAAAAATTGCCACTTTTATTAATGTGGCTTTGTTTTCAACTTGAATTAATATTGAATAATCTAAGGAAGACCGCTATGAAAAAAGTCATCTTATTGTTTACTTGACTGCAGCCAACTTCTGGGAAGAAGTATACTGTGAATTACACTGGTGTTTATCTTAAACAAACCTTCGATTTTCTTCAATGTCCCTTGGGGCTTATTACTTAATCGATTGGATGGAAGCGAATTTGACAGCAAATTTTTACAATAATTTTATACATATTTCGTACCAAACTCCGAGTCAGAGCATGCTAGAATCCAAAACCTTCACGTACCACATGATTTGTGTAAACATGGCGTAGCTGCGCGTCAGTAGACGTGATGAGTCTTCAGTTTGAACCGTTGATGGGTGTTAAGTACAATCTTGAGGCACTGAACCGACACTATCGAAGCGTCGGAATTTTAATTTAGTAGCAAACATTGCTACTGATGTATTGTGAATTGATTTATTGTTGTTAACTAATTTATTCTCGTAAATATAGGTTAAATTATATTTCTCAGATTAGTAATCATTCCACTGTCATTCATAGCAACGCGAATCGGAGGCAAGAATCCCAAAAAAAAAGACAACCTGAGACTTTGAGAAGTCTGGCTGCGAATGAGAGGTCTCAGTTTAATGCTGTGGTAGTAAGCGAGACAAGGTTAAAATGAATTGATAACATTAACTGAATGTTTCGAGCTTACTGTCGAATAGTGCTGTCAATCACTGCTTCACACGGCTGGTTTCTAGCACGAAGAAAGTATGTCTACGCCTAGTCCTAAATGTAACTTTGTCCTTAAAAATAACATTTAATAGACTACAGAAGTGGCATCAGAAGAATAGCGTCAGAACTAACCGTCGTTTTTGTTAAATTTTGTTAGTACACTTCACGTTGGGATGATGATTCGGAGTGCAAAAGCCAGCTGCAACTGTCGAATTATTAGTTCTAACTCCATATGATTAAAAGGGACACTTCGGAACTTCTCTGCGTGTCAGCAAGTATAGTCAATATCTCTATTAAAACTGGTTTTCTTTTAACCGAATTAAAAGACCCGAAAATTATTTTTCTGCTTAAACTAGCGTGCCAGGGCTGGGAAGTACCGAGGAATATTCTTGCTCTATATACAATGTGTTCAAGGTTTTCGAGGACTGGTGGACCAGAAAGGCGTTTGGAAACTGTCGACTTTTTTTTTCATACTTACCACTTTTCGCAAGTTCCAGCCGACGAAACTTGAAACAAAGGAACCTCAACTGCTTATGCCAGTCGATTTTCCTGGAAGTGTTAAAGTAAGCGATAACTATCGATTGTTTAAAGTCATACGTTTCTGGAAGTAAAGAACCCGAAAAAGTCGGCCTTATTAAGTCCACATAGCTAAAGTTCACCATTGAAACACTTCAATACTTGGCATTAGGTTTAACATCTTCAGTATTATCATAAATTCTACCCTTCTGAGAAGCCCGCCGTTTTTAAAAACGATCGTGTATGCGGTTAAGGTTATTGCAGCTGTTATAAAATGCCACGTAAAACAAAATATTTTTGCGGGAATTTAAGTGTTGTAATAACTGCAATTGCGCCAGTAAAATCAAAGCTTGTATTGTATTAAGCAATTATTTTTATAAAGATGGAGTACAATCCTGATAAGAAGTTCAGTTAGGCGAGCTTTGGGGAGCCTACCTCATTCACCCGCGATTCATAGCGAAATAAACTGCTTCCAACATAACTCACACTGGTACAAACGGTATACAGAAGACAGTCAGTAGAAAATACCAGAACAAAGTCGATCGTGGTGGAATAAGAAAAGCCCTGACGATCAAAGGCATTTAATATTTTTCATTTGATGTGAACATTTAGATATGAAATAGTTTAACGTTCATTCTGGATTATGAGCAGATTCGGGTCTTAAATTCAGGCTTAAAGTGGGCTTCTCTTGAGCGAGTATACGATTAAGTGTAGTCTCTTAAAATTAATGGTTGTCCATGCAAGCAAATGAAGGGTTTTTGTGCAATAATACAAAGACTATTCAGAGAGTTACGTGCATCTGGATGGCAAGTGATGAATTCGTCTCACCGAGCGTTCGGTGAAAGGGAAGAAGTCGGCCGGTCACTACTGTTTGCAATGAGTACGAAATCGAGTTGAGAGGGTTCATTTAGGCTCATTGGACACACAGCCTCCTTCAGTCGCCGAATTAGCCTATGAGACGCCAATGAGAATACCTGATTTTTGAGCCAATAGCTTAGGGGGTAAATGGCGGAAGTCTGAAGCTGTCAGAAATTAACTTAATGCAGGGCTGACTGTGCAAGCTTATTTTGTTTTACGAAGCTTTGCTCTAAGTTACGATACACCAGCGAGAGAGTTTTTTATAATTTTTTGGAAGCTCACGTATTCACCTAATACAACACCCGTATAAAAAGCATTAAAACCTTACTATGCTGATCACAACAGAATCTACACTGTTTGTTGATAACTGCGTCTCTTAAATGGAGCACCAGCAACACCCTATTTTTGTTTATTGATTATTCAAAAAAGAATAGTTTATAGTTACAGGTATTCTATCTAATACATAAAAATCGACCAAACAGAGGGAGAATGCACCGTGAGGATGCATATTCATATGGGGAATGTTGCTTAGCGCTTGGGCAAAAAAGAAAACCGAATGTAAAGTGAACGACTTATGAATTATTTTGTTTATTTAACTTAGGTGTATAAATACGAATAGACTAAAAACAACGATGAGCCTAAACCAACCGCTGTCGCTGTCGCCACTTCATGTTTTATCATATGGTCACGGATATCTCTTCATCTGAGTCTATCCATGTAATAAAGGTTACTCTCCCCTCGGTGGCCCGCCCTCTCGCTATGTATATTAACTCTCTCTCAGAGTGCCGCCAGGCGAGCAGCCACGCCGCGCGCAGCGCTGAGTGGCGCTGGACGATGATGTCCAGTAAAATGTGGCTGTTTCTCCAGCGATGAAGTCGCGCATGCCTAGATGACAGGTCTACGCCTGACTGTAGCTCAAATGTACTATTTTGCTTAGTAAATTATTGCGCCTATGTGTAAAAAGTAATCGCAGAAAACGTTATTAATTGACAGAAATAAGATACCAGCAAAAGAGCTAGGTTAAACGCGACAAGGAGGCCAATCTATTTATTGTACCTGTGTTCTTTCGGGGCACACGCTTTGAACTGCATTGAACTGATTTACACATAGGATGACAAGCTGCGGTAACATATAGAATAAGCCTGTTCATATCGCCTTTAAGCATCACATTGAGTTAAAGTGAATGATGATTTAGCACGTAAGAGGTGTTAGAAAACAAAAGGGCCAACAATCAATAGAGCGTGGCGGACATTTAAGGCGTTAATTGGTATTAGGAAACATCAGAATTCTCGCGACTGCGGATTTACGCGGAACGGTGCGTGTGAGTGTGTGAGGGCGCGCTGAAATGCGCTCTAATTATAGGAAAAAAAGTTCCGCATATATTTGCCTAACAATGCTCGTGGATATAAACGAATTTATGAAGAAATAAGCGTTCCGCATTTAGGGGGTGAATAGAGAAAAAGCGACGGCTGAACTGGAAGAATTATGTGTAATAATTATGGATAAAAGGCGTTCTGTAAATAGCAGGTAGGCAAATTGATATACAATTTGCGAACCAAATGGGTAAATCACTATCGTCTTGGCAATAATATTAGCAGCTGCAAAGGAAACAAAGTACTGTTGATCTCGTTTAAGAAGGATCATTATTACATTCTATCTTTACTGATTCTTATCACTAATTTACCTACGTAGGGTTGTAATATGGTATCAGATTTTTCTCACATCATCGAAGGTGATGCACGAGAAGGCTATTTATATTCACTCCATGATCAATGTATATATTACTCTTTAGCTTAAATGGAACCAGAATTCGCTTTCGCTCTGACCAAATAGACGTCCGTCTCGGTTTCTTTTTATTCGTTAGTTCCGCGCTTTCGTGTTTTACAAATGTAGCTTACCCTGCCGATTAGTGTGGAGGGTGGTCTCTACGGAGATTTTTTTTATAAGCGATAAAATTCTTTATAATAAAAGCTAGAATTTGACGCGCAGGTTATTTGGAAAAATGCGTTCGGTTTATGAAGGCCCTCCTATGCAAAATTGCGAATACTTGCATCGTATCCAGAGATTAACTAGGGTATATATAGATAAATGTTGCCCAATATACCACAATAATACTAGGCAATAAATAGGCTATTCAGATTTTCATTATTCCGCCTCTCTTTAAAATAAGTTTTATTTTTAATTGTGCCATAAATTCGATAAAAAAAATGTTGCTTTTTTCTTTTCTTTTTTTTTTATAGCACCGCTTTGTAATGAAAATAACCCATAATAGGTAATAATGCAAAAATGGAGCGGCCATTTAAAAAGTGTGTTCTGCTTTGGCGATCGTTGTACACGCAGTTTAACAATTGCGCTTCAAAGCAATAAAAGAAGCAGTGAGGGCAACAATAATACGAACAATATATTCATACAGCTGGAGCAAGCCATAGCTGCAAAGAAATTTTTTTCGCCTTTGTTATGTTATGACTCGGGGTTTAGCCGTTCTTTTTTAAGCTGTACTGCATCGCCTAGACGTACAGAGCTAACCGGTCCTCCCGTTTCATAAGCAGGATTCATAACAGTTTGTTCAGCTCTTAAATGTAGCTTATAAAATTAAAGTAGTCTTGTAGTTGTTTCGTTCATGTTACAGTTCAATGATTTCCGATACATTTGCAATTTATGTTGTTTTTTTTTTGTATAAAACTTTCTGTTACTTCATTAGTGGGCGCCTGTAAAGTGGTCTTGGTAATGATCATTTTATATGAGGAACCTTTGACTTGTTTTACTTTGTTTATTCGATCATACATGAGACACTTTAACAGCGGTAAGTAAAAGTCCGTTTGCCAGTGTCCACCATTCCAGCTGAATAATTATCTCAGACAATTTAACACGCTCATTCACTGGTATAGCGTTGTTTTCGGCTCGTTTCCTTCACAGTGATCGCCAGTAGATACAGGCATCTTTTTCGGTCCTCACTTTTCACTTAGTATCATCATATTATGGTTACATTTAAGTTTTTACCTTCCTGATCCTACTTAAGATTTGACGTCGCACTTAAACGTAATTGCAGATTTAATTTTCCCGGCTGATTTTCTCCAACAATATAACACAGCTATTATGTCGTGGTTATCGGTTGCTGCCCTTAGGAGAGGATCGGCCGAGATATAAACGGATGGGCACATCGTTCAGGAGAGCGAATTCAGTGCCTTTTCTTCTGCTGCTACAAATACTACCACCGTCGCTTGTTCTGCATAAAGGTTTGTTAAAAACGCCGTCTGGAGGCTATTGGTAGTTACTCAACTATTTTCATCTCTCAGTCTATTTGCTGTTACTGTTCTGGTTATATCTGAAGTAAAAGAGAGAGAAAAATAACGTTAACCAAAACTACAATTTTTTTCCTTTGCAGAACGGGAAAAATATATGGTTAACAAAACTTTGATCGGTTTAAGAGGCTAAGGGTGCAAGATGTTCAAACTATCAGGCTTTACAACCGAATTTGACTAACTTTGAGGTTAGATAAGTTTCGAAGCACGCGTTTCCAACAGACGGAATTTGGCTCGTAAATACTTCGGGTTCTCATACCTGAGAGTGACGACTTGTTGAGTTTACTCTAAGAGAAACGAATTCAGAAGGAAAAACATCATTTCGTCTTGAGTATCTACGCTCAGAGGTCAAGCATTTGAAAAGCATTTCTTATACAAGTTTGGTAAGCACATTAAAAGGAAATAATTTAGACGAAGGCACAGTACGTAATCGCCGCGAACGTTTCAAGAACAGCGATTGGGGTATTGAAGACCAGCAGAAAGGTGGTCAAATGGCAGGTTAGTCGGAGATGCAAGTGGTATATTCCACATGCGATTTGCGGAAATCAGTGAAAAAAAAAAAAACGCTTGAAACATACGGTCTTCATACACCGTTTTTTCTCTTATATCTTATGTTTTAATCTCTATCGTATGCCGGAGACCAATCAGATGAGAGAGTAACGTCACCCTAAAGAAAAATCGAGTCCGGTAGTAGTATTCAGCATTTTTGCGACGTGTGGTGCAAGTAATTCGTGCAATAAACCTTAAAGGCACCCGCTACTATAAGAAATTTACCGAAGACGGTTAATGTAACCTACTATCTTGAGTTGCTTAAAAAGTTTATGAACAACTAATACGGCAGCCGAGAGCATGCTATCTGGTTTTCTGGTGATCGCGCCAGGTCGCAGCGCCATGCCTTCATTACTTTCTTGATTGAGCAAATGAATATCCAACGTTGACTTCAACCTGCTTCTTTTCTCCACTTAACTCCGTGTGATTTCAGAGCTTTCCATATCCTAAGAAGGGCAACTGCTGGTTTAGTATATTTCGCTACCGATTTACTTCGAAAAGCCATAGATAGAAAATTTATTCATGGGAACGCGTATGGTAGGTATATAGCTCTCCAGAAAATGATAAAGCGCTCGAATAAGTGTGTAAAAAATAAAAAGACCTTTAGCACTTAGTAGAAGATCATCATTTTAGTTCAATTAATTCAACGTTACTTAAATTCAAAGTCCGCCGGATAACAGTCCATTATTATATAACCGATTCGGACGGCATGCCAATGGTTGGATTTTTTTTTTAAATAGTTAGATATGCCGCCCAGGTTGTTTGAAACCGTTATTTTATATTGTGAGGGAAGCTTTTTAACTATCGATTAGCATTTTAAGGATTCGGTTACGAGAAATGCGCATGAAGTATTGGGCCCACAAAAATGGGTCTTGCGCTTGATCACTAATTGGGAACTCTATCTATTTCTTTTTGAAATTTCCATGTCATCAAGTTTTTTAATTTATAAAAAGAAGATGGGCCTACAGATATTGAAAACATAGACTAGTAATATGGAAAGTGATTTGAAGAACAAAAAATTACATTGTGTGAAAAATCGTTCAAGACTTGATGATGCAATAAGTGGAAAAAGTAGCATTTCAAACGTCGCATAGCACATGTTCTGGGACATACTAGGTAATCAAAGAGATTCAGTCTTGAAATTGGCCTGGAACATTTTCCTCCAAGCAACTGCCACGCGTAGGGTGGTCCTTTCAGATTATAACCTATTGGCGTAAAAACACAAACGTCGTGCTGCAAGAGAAAAACCCGTAAAGCGTACGTATCACCAAACAATGCGCAAGCTGTCTGATGAATGTAAGGGGCGTAGTGAAAACTAAGTAGACCACGAACTTCGCCCCATATCCCTTTTGCTCTTGATCGATTTACCTGATCGAAGTCATTCACTTAAGCTTACCAAAGTTGTAAGTTGAATACACATAAACAGTTCTCCCATTGCAGTTGCGTTATCTCACCTAACCCGCTACTTTTTTACAGTTATTTCATCATCTTGTTCTAGTCTATTAACCAGGGGACTGAACCAAATTTACATTTGTATTGTTCGTAAAATGTTGGCCCTTAATACATTGTTTCAATTTGAATACGGGATGATTGAGCCCATTTCTCGGACGCATGCGAAAGCGTCGGCTGTGGGCCGATCTGTGAGAAACGTAAATGAATGGAATGGGCGGCTTTTAATAAACGTAGTGGTTGACAAAGGTAGCTAATCGACTGATTGATTAACTAGACATTGTTTACATTTTTTCTTTTGTTTAATGAGCAGTTACATGAATACTAAATGAATGTTCCATAGAGAGTAGACCGATCGTCGAAGACTGTTATCGTATGGACTAACAACTAAGGCGTGTATACTGTAATCGTGGCCGAGCTATCAGCTATTTATTATTTGCATCCATAACCGTAACCTTCGGCCACTGTTACCAATCGTGATATATCCACGCGACATTCGCGTGTTCTCCGTGTCTCCGTGAGGCCGCACTTACCGCAGTGTTTAATGGTATAGCGTTCTACAAGACCTCCCAGCTGGCCTCCTAGCTGTGGCTGCATGCCGTCCTCCAATGGTTCTGGCGCCCTCACACTATCGTCCGGTATAATAATATATACTGGAAGCCCTCCCTTCAAAGTGCCTCTACAGTTCGAATCTAACAGTTTCGCATGGTATATCGTCGCTGGTTCTCCGTGCGGCACACGTCTGGTCTCCCTTGCTGGTCGCGTCGATACTAGTCCTTCGTGGCCGGGCCCTCATTTTTGCTCCTTGCTTGAGCGCTGACAACGATGTGGACCACGCCGCTACCGATGTTGGCTACCTCAGGGCCTGCGCCCTGCGCTGGTTTGACCGGTGGCTGATCTGTTCCTTGCACTGACAAGCCTCCAAACCTTGTGGCTTGGTCGCTTCCACAGATTTGGTTGGGCATGGGCTTTGTTGCGGTACCAATTTCTAAAGAGTTAGGCTGTTAGTGTGGTATTGACAACATATCGATTATTGGCGGCTCGAGCTTTTATACTCCAATTATGTTCGAGCTAATAGCGGCTTCTTATATTCTTACCCATAGAACTATATAAATTTTGATGTTTACATGATTGATATGGATCGTTTGCAGTACTAATTCGGTACCCAAACGTCACCGAAGCTTAGGAGAGTTTTACTTCCCATTTAGTTAAATATGTAGTACATATATTTAACTAAACAAAGACATGATAAATACGACGATTCTATATGCTCTAGTTCATATATCGATTCTACTTCTGGGACGTCACCACAGCTTAAATTTTTTAAAATCTATTTTTAATTTTTTTAATGAATATTTAAACGTAATACTCATATATTTGGTGTGTTCCTCTTGGTGTACTTATTTCTCTTCTGAGAAGCCATCAAACTTTTTTCAATTTTGTCAAGCTTTTTATAATTTTTCCTTTTATGATAAACATTTCCTTTAGTGTTTGAAATTTTGCTCTGAAAATGATTTAGAGGTTTTTTCTTACGAAAATCAACATAGAATGGCTAAAAATTCGCTCTCAAAGGTTGTTATTAAACTGAACAAATACTGTCATTAGGGTTTTCGGCGTTTTTACTCAGAAATACGAATCTTAGGTAAAAAGAAAAAATATATATATATATATATATATATTGCATTTTTATTCACTTCGTCGAACTTGACCGATTTGGTTAAACGCCTTCCACATAAAACACTATGTTAAGTTTTTACCTCTTAAACGGCATTTCAACTCTAAAACCGAAATATAGATTAATAAACTTACATTGCGTTTCGATTTAGCTCATCGAAAGTTCTCGATTGGCACTATGAACGATACTTTTTGCATCGATTTTCATTAAAAAAATATTCGTTTTAATATCATATTCGAAAAAAAAAAACTACCACATCGAGTTCTTGGCCTTTTCCATGCATAAATATCAATTGTAGCTACCGTAAATTGGGCTGTATTTTTACTCTACTCGTCGAGTTTTATCAGCTGGTATGCAGAGTCGGCGTTAGCAAGTATTTTACATAGCAAGAAAAATATGTATAATGTATTCAATATTTTGATATTTCTCCCAGAAAATCTTCTATAAAATATTAAAATAAAAATTGTTTCACAAAAATTGTTGTCTATACTAGCCACTTCGTTCGTAATCGTAACCGTTCGTAATTCCAAACAGATTTTAACCCTATGGTTACATAAGAAAAACAAATGTAATATTCGTTTTTCAAAAAAAGTTATAGGAACTTGTATTGCGTTTTAACTCAGCTCGTCAAGAACATTGAATTAAGTTTTCTGTCTTCAAACAGTATTTTCTATTTGGAAACTGACATTTTGGCATGGGGCTAGGTATCGCATTTCGTACTAAAATATTATCTGCCCCAAGCACTACAATTTTGTAAACATGCAAGGGTCATTTCTAAAAAAAACTAGCAATTTAGCATTACACCCCCTTACAGGAAAAAGAAACTCCTCCCCGGAAGAGAATGTACACATTCGCAAAAAGTAAACTAACATGATTCACATTTTACATCTTATAACCGTCTAGTCAAAAATTACCCATTTAGCACTAAATTGCCTATTGCCCGTTGCTGCCAAGCCAATGGAATCTAGCACACGCGGACAGAGGTTAAGGCAAAATCTCGCTGTTGCAACCGTTAATGGGTTTGCCTCACGCACGTAAAATAGATGGTAGTCCTCACTTGGACTAAGGGTCGGTGTATGTAGGTTATAACATATGATTAGCGCACCTACTAAAAATGACAACAACAATGATCAACTAAACGTAGAAATGAAGAGAGAAACAGGAAGTACTCTACATAGTACTTATATCACGAAATTCATCACTAGTGAATGAGTATTACCGCTGCATTCACTTTGATCATTATCGAGTGCAGCTGATGGCGTTGCAGTAGAGTCGACGAGAAAATGTAAGATCAGAAAAGGCAATCCGAGAGGAAAACAAGGGAAGACAATTAAAGGTAGACGAAGTGCTGGAGGTTAGAGAGACTTGATTAATCATGAGAAACCATTTATCGATTGTTTGGCCTTGACAAGTGAGTGAAAAGGGAGCATAATGGAAGAAGTAAACAGATGGCTCAAGGATTATATCTACATGGACATGAAACAAACACAAGTTTATAGCGACGTATATAGCGCGTACAGCACGGCCTCTGCTAGATTCTTCATAGACACGTCAAAGAGAACACCCGTAGCATAATGGCGACAAAATAAGATGATAACCCGAACAGGTGTGAGTTGTCGCACATGGTCAACGGTTGCCACTCCAGCAGCGCACTACTTTTCCATTAATTGGTAATGATGCACTGACGTTTCTACCAAGACAAAACAGAGTGGTAAACCACCTATCTACGCCACTGTCTACCAGAGTCCACTGAATCTAAAGTGTTCGTTAACAACTGCTTTTTTTCCAGATATGTGGTATTTGTGTAGAGCATAAAAAGCAGGGAAGACCATGTCTGCAAAGAGACACTGAAATCACTTGTGCGCTGCTCAGTCATCCTATCTGGGTTTCCTAATCATGAGTGATACAGAAAGAATTTTTCGGGTTTGTGTGAAACAATGCAAGTATGTTAATTAAGAATAATTTTATTCATACTTCAGTGGGCCGAGAGAGATTTTTGCGTAATCCAGTAGCTGTCCTCTCCTTCGGGTACGTACCCTGTTTCCACCTATTGAGTCCAATGAAGTCCAATCTTCCAAATTTACTAAGCGTACTACATTTTTTTTTTTCGTCTAAAGAAACGTCGTCACGGGGCCATTCTAGCCTATATCGGCCGGATCTACACTACATAAATATTTACCAATCCCGTTTCACAGAAAACAAACGGCCGAGTGTCTCCTTTCCTCCCAGTAGAGTCCGACATAAATTACTCGCCATTGACAATTGAATGTTTGGCTGGTGACGCGCCATTTTCGGCCGTATATCTCCTTCGACATGGCTGTTCATATGGTTCTTCGTCGAAGCTTTAGTCGTATAAGCTTTGTTCTTTGCCAAGCTCAATGACGCTTATCCAAGACTTGTCCAATATATATTAGCGTCGTTTAAATCGGAAACACTAGCCTGCATTGATAGGGTGGCTCTTTGTGGCCTACGGCGCGATGCATTTATATATCCTGTCCGTGAAATTCACTTATATATTATTTCAGTAGTGTAATTGAATTTCGAACTTATTTTGTCTGCTGCAAATGTGATAAACTTGTAGGTTCCATTGCCTCGTTCCCATTAGTCAATACTCTGCTATTGTCACCCTGTTTCAGTATTCCACTTGCTTCATACGACGAATCAGTTATCTCAAGCTTGAACCTCTCGAGAAAACGGTTGGGATTTTCGACAGGCCTTCATTTTTGAGACTGCTTGTTTGTTACGTCTTAAGCTTAGCTTAAGCCGTAACAACCGTAACCGTTTTCTCGAGAGACGCCAAACTACGATCACTTTTATTTGACAATAGAAGGCCTTTAGCCTCGAAAGCGATAACTATTATCGAGGCATTAATTCACTTAATCAATTAAGCTTTGTGAATAAAGAATGTTAATTATTGAATTCAGATTAAATAAAATAAATCAATTACATAGAAACTGATCATAAAGTTTACGATCGAAAACAACATGTTGATGAAATAAATCGATAATTTTCGGTAATCCATTTTTGCGCGCTTTATCTAGTCGTTCATAAATCAGTAGCCACGCGCTTTTCCCTCAAGCAGATTCACTCCATCCCGTCTTACTGGAACACATGTGTCAATTTAAATCTTCCATTGGAACATATCAAATTTACATATAAATAAGATAAATTATTAAAGAAAGCTAACACATACGTAAGATTTTCTTATGGGAAATATAGGATCATTTTGCCTTGAACTACTAAGCCAGATCTAAGGAAAACGGATTTTCTGATCTCAAAATAAGCCGCGCGAATATGGGCAGTTCGCATTGAGAAGTTCAGGTACAATCTTGCAGGTCTCCGGTAAGCGGCATTTATGTCACTCGTGTCTGAGAAAACCATCAAAAGAAAATCGGCTCCGCCACGTTTACATTAAAGCCTATGCGGAACATTTTTTTCTTTTGTCCTGCATCAATTTTTCCCAGATTAGGTATATTCACCATAACGCTTGTTAATTCCGTTTACAAAAAAAAAACTGCTACTTACCTATATATATATATAGAAGCTTAGTTGCTTTAGATAATATTATACAATATAATTAATAATTAGCCTCTATCTTTGTTTATTATAAGTTAATTTTTCCATTGAGCTACTACTGAAAGCCGCTGATAAGCAAAATTGCATTTATTCGTTGATAATAGTTCAAGATTTAGATAGACCGGTTTCCTTTCTGATGAAATTGGACCTCAGCTGCCTTAGATGATAAGCACTATTCGGATAACAATAAAGTGTACTATTTATATTAAGTTCTATACGGAACGGATCACGAGTTTGTTTGGTGTAAGGGAACTCCTGCTTTCTAATCGGTTTCACAGAAGTAAACATTTTCTAGTACAGCTACTCAGACAACTTTCAGCGGCGTTTTTTCAGTTGCTAGTGTTACCGTTCGATGCTGCAGTTTGATTTGCGCCAAGTATCGGGCGTTGACTGCCCCACCTCAATACTTTTGGGTGACCGATAAATAACGTCATCACTTACGTCGGCCATAAAGTACTACAAAAAATTCAATTGAGCAGCATCGCTCGTACTGAAGCTGAGCGAGAAGTTTATCATTAAAGATGGAGACGAACCAAAATGTTGATCAATGAATCACTTGATTCTGACGATGACGATGATACCTATAGCTGATCTTGGGCGACTGAGTGACCCTATGGTACGCGGCGTTGTTTCTGTCTCGAAATTACAAACTGATTGGGGAAATGACGAGTGATCACAGATCGCTCGTCCGATCATCCATCATCTGTGGTGACGCCGACACACGTAGTGGCTCCTTAATGGAACATCAGCAACAGAAAGCGAAGGGGAGGCGGATGCATTTTCGTGTGTCTCCATATATATATATATATATATATATACAGAGCAAAACTACAATGTAGAAACAATTATATTAACGGTGTTAATGCACATAGACACAATTTTAAATCCGCATTCATCTGCCAAAATTACCGCGTCGGCATTCAGGCTGGATTTGATCGGTTGCACTCATTGCGTTCAACACTGGAGGAGCTCAAATACACATAATGTAAATAAATAGGCCCAGTACAAATAAACTAGTACATAGCTATCGACGACAAATACAAGAAAAAACTTTGCATGCTTGTTTTTTGACCTCTGAAGAAGTACGAAGGAAAAGTGTAGGGGCAATACGAAAACCTGTGATATAATACTACACAGTTAGTTAGAGCAACACCCATAAAAATGTGTAAGACGTCAGTTCAATGATAACATACAGTAAACACATATGCCCTGTGACGCATTTCCATAGCAGCATCAATCATGCCCACTGCGTTTCAAATATAGCATGCATTTACGATGCCCACGCTTTTCTGGCTTTACGCAAGAACTTTTATTATATTGTTACGTATTTTTTTTTAATAAATCGGTGTAATTATAAGTACATTTCCTAGACTTACAGTTTAACGGGCCTCGAAGAACTTTGTGAACTTTAAACATTAATCTGGTGAGGTCGAGCTAAACAATCAGGCTTAGTTTCATCTGCACCTCTGATTTACAGATTCGTCCAGCTTCCAAAACAAGCATCCTCTCTTGTTCTTCTAGGAAAACATCGGATCCTTTGTTTCTATGTTATCATAAGTCAACTTGATTTACTTGTTGAATAATCGCTAACTGAATAATACGAGGTATATATACAGTTAATTGTTTAACAATGGGCTATTTTATTTCGAACATTTCAGAAAAAATAAGACTGTCTGCTGCCATCGTCATCATTATTGTCAACTATTAAAGGAAGCTATGATGACACTCTACGAAGATACAGCATCTCTCGCTCCTTTGTTGGACGTTCGACAGCAACCGACACTTAAACAACGTAAAAAGCATCGAACCTCATGCAAAGCCCAGTACGATGTTTGATGAAGAGAACCGTGTTTTACTCGAGTCCCCGATGCATGCTAATCTATTAACGATATAGAAAATACTGGGCACAAAGCACTGTTCGTGAAAACCTCCCACCCAGGATTTCGTCGGAAGAATAATGAAGATTTTATTGACGATAGCCTTACCAGCGCTTATTGTCATGTTGACAACATTTGCAAATCCCGGAGAGTCGGGCTTGCCTTCATGGCAAGAATCACCTCCCCCGCACATGAGAATCAATACATTACGTAAGTAGATATTTTCTGTTAGTCAAATAAGTAGGGCCTTTCAGCAATCACAATTTTGCAAATCCAACATTACTTTATGTTCTAAAATATTAAGGCCAATAGCTGAATTGAGCTTATTTATTTAACCGATTGAATGTTTGAGTTCGGCTCGATAACAGCGTTCAATTAACAACTAATATAATTTAGATCACTGAGCGTCGTGGTCCAGTATTGTAGTTTACAATGTTTATGCGCAATTTTTTTTTTTATAATTTCACTGCCAATCAATCTCTATATTGCCACGTTAAAGGGTTCAGTTATTTAATGTAACTATATCATATGCTGTAGGTACTTGAGAAACATGTTGAAACTTGGGATCTGACCTGACAAGGCGGGCATCAATAAAGCACGCTATTATATAGAAGGGAACGAGTCCAGGTATCAAGCACATGAGCTCTATGAGAAAGCCTACTTTGGGATGTAAGGAACTTTACACAAAACTAACGCCTTTCCACACCTTTCAAGACTGATTTTGAGAAGAGGAATGACAAACTCAGCTGATAGCCCGAGGGAGTATGTTGCTTCGTTCGGGAGACGTGTAAATGCAAATTAAAAAATACCATCATTTAGAGCTGTATTTAGCTACACGCAATACGATGTTGGGATATGTTTTGTGACCATTTGACGGGAAATTTTAACTCCTTATCTCCACTACTCTAAGGGGCTTTTTGGTGACAATTGTCGTTTCAAATCAGCCTTCTGGAAGCTTTCTTTTAAATCATCTTTGACGTTAGAAGTTCCATAAATTTAGCACAGATGTGGCTGCAGTAGTCGCATGCGGTCAGTTTAAAATTAGCGGTGTTCAACAGTGATGAGTAAATCTTTTTGAAAAAAAGCTTCCATCGAAAGATATTTGTTTATTAAGTTATGAAGCCATACATTATTAGCTTCTATATTAACTCAGGGTGGCTATGTAAAACAAATGAATGAACTCAACATTAGTAACGTTTTCGCTTGCTGTCGATCTTCAGTAAGTATCACTGTTCAGAACTTCATACTCTGGAAAAACAATTGCAACCAATGCTGACGTGACAGGCATCCTAATAGAGATACATCATGACAGATGCTGCGCCTTCGCATCATACGACTATGCTAAAATTACACATATATGGAAACAGTATTCAACACTGAAGAAGTTCTTGTTTGCTTTTTATACTTAGTTCTAGCATAACCATTTACTGGTTCAGCTGCAGGAAAACATGAAGCACTCTATCTGTACAATCAAGTACAGTTGCCCTACGACATAGCAGTAGGAGCTACGCTTAGGAAGCAAGTAATACATAATTCCGATACGACGTATATTCACTGCAAAGAAGATAAGAGAAAATTATTCCCTCATCGAGATTGTCTAACATCAGTGAGAGCAGCATTCTTCTACAGAACTACAGATCATTATAAAAACGTTGTTTAATTTATACCATGTGATTATACAGAAGCAATGGTGGGCGGGAGGGCAAAAGTGGTCTTATAACTTTATGCACTTACGGCATAACGCTGGCTAATGTTGTACTTGAAGCAAGTTCTAGAGATAAGCGAGCTAACAGTTATTCGGACGCAAAGACGTGCAGATCACGGTTTATGCACCCGTGATTATCTGAGACGATGGCAGACAATAGGTTCTTTGGACAAATGGGACAGAAAATGGGAAACACTCTTGGTCCTACTCTCGCGATCCAGCTTAGATAAACATCACTAAAAAGTTTACTGCTTAGCAGCACTCTCACTACAGACATTTCGTGAATCACTGTGGACCTATTTTATTAAGGTTGCCTTTGTTGGAATTACAGCCTAGTCCTTCGAGTTGTTTGCTTGCTTCGCCAGTTCAGGGTAAACGTGAGAACACTCTGAGCGAGTTGAGAGAAACTTAAGCCCTAGAAGAAAGAAAACAGCGCCAACAACAGCAATGTCAAAACACTTTTACGTCCTGCGCTGCTAATATATGGACCATGCGCCATAAGCAAACTGGTGCCCACATGTACGGACAGTAAATGATCTTGTAGACTCGATATGTTGGTGGCAATTTCTGGGAGTTGTCAAGTGGAACCTGATGCTTAAAAAACAGAACTGCAAGTTATAAATTTTTCGAACGAAAAAAGAATGATGAATTATTTAGTGCGCGCTTGTCAATAGCGCCATGTGCAGCGACCGCGACGGAAGCCCACATCTAGAACCAAATAACTAATGGGTTACCATAGATGTTTACGTTGCGCTTGGTTACAAAGGAAAATTATGGACCCTATAAACTCTATGTTGGTTTATCCGTGCCTTTGTTCTTATACTATCCAGAAAGACATAGGAAGAGAAATAAGGAAAGTGATATCTCGAATTCTGAATCCGAAAAAAGTGCAAATCTTTGGAGATAGACTCTTGACATTGAAATAACTGAACGAAGCATACAAGCAGGCACCCTTCAAAACAGATTGCCTCTTCGGCCAGTGGAAATGATTATCCTCAAAACGCAAAACTATTTATTGAACCAACATGCTATTAGCTGTGTGACTTGCCCTTCAACAAAATGAACAGTCCCCATCATTCTAATTCTTGATTTTTGAATAGAAGTAAACCAAGTTCATCTGCGTTACTGCGGATCTTTGTTTATACAGCTACCTAACACCGTTCCAAAGGACTGAACCTCGGTCTGCTCGTGGACTGGTTTCCCTGTATATAAGGTAAGCTGTGCTCAATAGGAGAGAACGAGCAAGTATGCATTCATCAAGACAATGACAAGTTAGTTTGTGGGCACCGGCGCACTTGAACTGGCAATTTTTTGGTTCTTGAAATTTAACTTCCCTTTCACTTTCGCATATGCGTCTATCCATCGAATGCTCTTCCGATTGCGCCTTTCGAATTTCAAGCTCAAGTTTTGCCCGTATCCTGCTGCCCAAGCAAGCGGATTTCTGGTAGATGTTCCTGGCGTTGCCTTCTTCTGAATCAAGAACTTATCAAGAATGCACTTTCTTCCTCCTTACTCTCTACTTCCTGACCGGTGCGTGAACCGGTCTCAAAAGCGATTCTAGCCAGAGTTGCACATACTCACGTACCCTTCGAAATATTCTCCTCCTTCAACCCCATCATGACGACGAGGATGATAATGGTGATGATGGTGGCGACGTTCCTTTGGCTATTATTTTTATCTCTCTGGCTGCTGCTTCTAAAGCGTTAGTTGCAGTTTCACGCTCCCTTTTTAGCAGCGTATATGCAACAAGCATCGACTACGTGGAACAGCGTTTGAGCACCCAACGACATACAGATAACTCGTTTCTATTATCGTATTATTATATCTAATTATAAAGGCGAGCTTTTCAATATAGTAAAGCATGTTCGTAACAGGTGCGCGGATAGCCATGGCAGTGGCGCGCGTTAGCAGTAACAAACATGGAAGTTTGCTTACATTTTTTGGTTTGCAATCAATAACAAACCGAAACAACTCTGGAATTACAGACAACAACAAGAAACTCAAAGGACGACAAGTTCTTGCTTTCCGATCGAAGCACGTTCGTTGTTGTTATTAAACCTCTATCATGAAAATTCGGCGTAATACCGAATAAAAACGGCCTGTACAAGTGCAGACAGATATTACATGACAATGATATTACAAACAATGAACGAAAAATAAAGAAATTATCTTCACCCACCTGCTCCTAATCAAATACTTTCTGTGTTTCGTTTGACAAAAGCTACGGCTGTCACGTATCTGTACCATTAAAACAATGAAATACCCTACGCATTCAACAGTCAGTAATTAATATAACTAATTTTCGAGCTTTATGCAACCTAAAATTAGCTTTGCTAGACTTTCAATTCAGATGGCAGCAAAGGTCACGTTTACAATATGACCTTTCGGTGTCTAGCGTTGAACGACAGGTTACAGGCCTGCTGGAAGAAATGCACTTTTTCCTATGGAGAAGGTAAACGTCCTTCAGATCGTACGAATCAAAAAGCCCAGGTGCCGCTTAAGCCATAAAAATAACGATGACAACGAGCACAGTTGGATTGGCTGTTCATCAGATCACTTGAATATTCGATTCTCTTTTTTATTTTAGTAATGATCGCTAGCCAAACAATGATTGTCGAACTTTGCTACGAGCGCGAGGAAAATTATAGACAGTTACCACAGGTAATAATCCTTGCAGTTGTCCTTTTTGTGTCATAATTCCTTATCTCAAGCAGATAGTCACTCGACAAGAACCAACATCCATTCTAATATAGTGCTTGTTGAATAAATAACAATTTTCAAACGTTAATAAATATGCAAAACGATAGCAGATGTCCTTAAACGTGCTCTAATCTGCTATCGTATGTAATCGTAATAGAAAACGTGGTTGAGGGGAGGAAAGTAGGCGATCCAAATATTTACTTATTTTATCATCATTCCATGGAATAGCTCATCCACTAGATTGTTGTGTTTACATGAAGCTCCCACCAACGATTCTAGTGTCAGTCAGTATCGTGCTTTACCGGCTGGCTTCCTTACATACAAATGGGATGTTTCTATATGTACGAATGAATTGTTTTTATTTTCAACCAGTGATCGCAGTAGCTCAGCTTCCCGTCTATACATCCAAGTCATTTGTCTGAGGAAATTGGGCTAATGTCGGGTTAAATTTATAGCAAAGTTGTAACTATTATCGCGGGTATTTCCACTCTGTATTGTGAGTCATAGGTAGGCAGTCATCTAATGTCAAGAGAAAACACTTATTGCAAAAATAGATAACTGTTCGATTTCAGTGTAAGGAAGGAATTAAGATGCCAGAATAGCGAGACCCCATTCCATTTACCCATGTTAGTTAGCATTTCGTTGCATGCACCGCAAGGAGCATTAGCAATCCAAGTAGAAAGTACGCACGTTATATTCAATTTAGTGCTCACGGAACGTATAGCCTTTGTTTGTACTTCGCTTTACGTTTTCCAGCGTCGGACCGAGTGATGCGGTTTCGGAGCGAGCAATCGGCTGATCATTTCAAACTGCTTGATATAGACGGAGACCATTTGTTAATCGGCGCCAAGTACGTGCGAATGTATAGCTATTAGATTTCCTAACTAGTACATAAGGCATTCTCAGTGAGGTAGCAGCACGCCTACAAGTGCAGGCCCCTTCAAAGAGCCCAATCTAAATGGTACAGAGTCACCAAGAACTGATACCAGGTTTGCACGTCAGCTACCATGACGGTAATAGCACAAAGCGAAAGGACTATAATGTCTCATCGGAAAAACCTTTTCAGGAATATGGTATACAACTTGTCAGCATCAACACTGCAGGTTCGCCGTCGTGTTGAATGGCGTTCGTCGGAATCCGACATGAAAATGTGCAAACTCAAAGGCAAAAGCCATGATGCCTGCCAGAACTATATTCGGGTTGTAGCAAAAAAATCGCACAATCAGGTAATATGCTATTCAACGAGGCCCGTTCCATGTCTATAAGAACACATACGCGGTAAACATGGCAGATGATTGAATGTAGCTTAAAAGTATTGCTTAATTTAATGCTTGTTTTGACAGCATTTGAACTCAAATGTTACAAAGTATTTATTTCTGCCGTTCACAGATCCTGGTTTGCGGCACCAACTCATATAAGCCAAAATGTCGTGATTACATTTTAAAAAGTCCTGACCCATCAGCATCGTCTTCAACCACAGGGGGGGAGTTTAGTTTGAGCGAGGAGAAGCCAGGCGAAGGCCTTTGTCCTTACGATCCAAATCACAACTCAACGTTCACTTTCGCCGGTAAGCCAGTCTATTGTCCACATCGTTCAGGCAGAGTCACTTAACCGAATACATATGCATACGTAAGAATAGGGTCCACATTGCTTATTGCTATAGCCAGCACGGATTCGATCTGTTGATTACAGTACGGCTACAGCATGAAGGCAAATCTCAACGTATGCCCTTGCGCGACAGCCATGATAAATAATTTGATAAGGAAGCTTTTCGACTCATCTTCGCCCCGTTATACGCTCCTTTACCCAACATTAGGCAGTCAACTGTGCTATTAATTGAATTTACGTAAAAAAATAGGACCAGATGATAAGGATTTAAAAGTCGCTTATTGGACTAATGTGCTGGTATGCCATCTGCGTTTGCGTTCAATACATCAACGTCTCTGCAGATCGTTGTATTAAATATTAATGCGCTTAAATGTAACTATTGTGCCCTTAAAACTGATGCACGCTTACGCCATGGAATCATCAGCTCCACTCGGCTACAGAACAGGTAACTAACTGATAAAATTAAATGATCTGTACGCAATATACGTTAGCATCCGGTTGACATTTGCAAAAATCCGCCAAAACGGAAGATGATGTGTATACCAGAGATATCTCACAACTGGAAACAAGACGCGCGTCCTCATGCCACCTATATTTATACCTGGTAAAATATAATGAGATATTCAATAATTATAAATCGATTCGGTTTTATCAGCAGAGAATGGCCACCGTTGATACTTGAATTAAAAGCTTTTTTAATGCACAAGGTGTGAACATTCTGATCTGGCTTGAAATTAGATGGCGACCTGTACGTTGGAACTGTCGGGCAGTTTTCTGGAGCAGATCCACTTATCTATCGCAAACCTCTTCGCACGGAACAGTTCAACCTAAAGCATCTCAATGGTGAGCGTTTTCCAGCGAGAATGACACCTAGTCTTTTTTCGTGCCTTAGAAACGCGTACCCTGTTAATGTTCTTGAAGCAACTGGCTCCCTATTACATTGTATATAGTTCATCAACTTTGATATAGTCTTTAGATCGATACCGAAAGCCAAGAAACGACTATGCGGGCAAAATGTTTAGCTAGACGTTGATAGCAGTACATTACATCTTTCTATGTAAGATCTACGAAGTTTCTATGTAACTTCGTATAGAACTTTTGAAATTTTTTTGTATGCACATTTCACTTATCGGCTTGCATTAAAGCTCAGCGTTTACTATCTCTAGCCGGTTCTACGTTCATGGAAAAGCTTACATTTTTACCAGCTTCATTCGTAGCGTTTTTCTGTGCGTTCGTTAGATGATGGAACCGAATAGGTACATATCCAACGCTACGCCCTTAACGACGTCTAACGAAGTTGTTGCTGAGACATACACGATTGTGTGCGAGATTGAAAAGGGGAAATTTTAAAGCGCAGCAAAACGATGAGTGCAGCTTGCTACCTGACGTAATAAATCACACTGGGCTGAATAATTCACTATATCTCTGGATGGACAAGCAACAACTTGTCTTTATGCGGTTTTGACGATTAAGGATATTCTGGCAGACTATAGTCCATTGAATTATACATGCTTCGATCCACAGATCTACCTGCTGTAGTAAAGGTGGTTCGGGACAAAAGGCAAAGCTCCAAAAATAGATCTACGAGTAGAATGCTCCCACATATGCCTCTTTCGTGTGCCGAGAAACTTGTCCGTCTGTGGAAGAAGATCATAAAAAATTAAACAAATAACTTCAGTAAAAGAAGTTAGCTTATCTCAAATGGTCAACAGTATTTCAAGTAAGCTGAAATCAAAATCACTTTCGGATCCTTCTACATATATACATACGTAACCTATGTATAAATCGTACGCCAGCCATTTCAAAACTGAACTTAATGATAACTGTGATATCTAGCGTATGACTTGATTTGAAAACATTGTGGTAAAAGCGACATCTATTAAGCAGTATACAAACATCCTATAGGATCTGAATTTTAAGGACCCCTGAAGACAAAAACCCTGTCGATGTATAACCGGGTAGTATTGCACAACAGGCCCAACTGTTACAAACGGCGAACATTTCTTCATTATGTACCAGATACTACATTAAGAACTCCTCTCAATGCAACAGACACAAGCCACCATATTAAATCTACCTGTAAACTTCCTGCTTCGAAGCAAGCATCGTTAGAAAAAAACTTGATGAGCTCAGTAGTCAGGTTAAGGTCCGTAATAAAATGGCATCTTTGTCGATTCTTGTAAACGACGCTTCGTCGAAATAAGACTGATCCATGATTCTCTCTATTATATAAACAGGCGAAACAAACTCTTCAATATCAGCCTCGCCTTTTTCAATGTCATGTTCACCTGAATCAGCGAAGTTCAGTGGCGTATTTTATATCACTACATTAAGCTATGGAACGTATACTGGGTTGTTGGGCCAATAAAGGTGCTCCTGGATTTAAATAAACATTTTAAAAAGGTGTTTCGATGCAAGAAGTATCAATATTGTAAAGACATGTTCGCTGGTACATTAAGTAGATATCAGCAGAGTACTCACATCACAGAGGCATATACGATTCGAGTACTTACTTTGCGTGCTGTGTATGGCTCTGAAAATATGTTTCCACCTAAAGGGACTACAGATATGCTTACGTGGGTAGATATTGAACATGGTATTATTGTTTTATGTTCTTTGTATTACAGCGCCGAACTTCGTCTCATCAATGTACATTGGATCGCATGTGTACTTCTTCTTCAGGGAAAGTGCTGTCGAATACATTAACTGCGGAAAGGCCATTTACTCGAGAGTAGCAAGGTGCGTCCTTACCTGGCCTACAAGGCTTATGCCCTAGAAATGTCGCACGCCGTGCGACATTTCATAGTCTATAGAGCGCCATGCTCATCTTGCAGGAAGATTAAATATTTAGTTATAGTTTAATTTTGTCTGTTTTTTCTCGTGCTGTTCCAGAGTTTGTGTAAACGACGCGGGTGGACCGCACAAATTTAAGGAAAGATTTACGTCGTTTCTAAAAGCCAGGTTGAACTGTTCAGTTCCAGGGGAGATGCCATTCTATTTTGATGAATTACAGGTAAACAACTACAAATGAGCTGGCTGTTTATGTGTATCGTGTTCAAAATAAAGGCCACTATTGAATATGACACGTAGTGACGTGTACTTAATAATATAATATATTACGCACACTCGTCATTTCAGTCGTCAAGTGCTGAAGCGTTCAACCTAAGCCTGGATGTAGCAATCGAATTTTACCTTTTGCCTGATTAATGTGTTTGCAGGCAACATCGCAAATTATGGAAGGATCATACAATGGCGATCGGATCTCTTTGATCTACGCCGTTTTAACAACACCGCATAACTCTATTCCGGGATCGGCTGTGTGTGCATTCCGAATCAGTGACATTTTGAAGGTTCAATCACATTATTACAGTCTTATCTAATGATATATGTGTACTATATAGCACGCCTACTTTTTTTCCACTCAAGTTAAACCACCTTAAACTCATACCACCTTAGGAAAATTTCAATACTAACTGTACAGTAAATACGATTATTACTCGTCAGGTATTTGATGGAGCGTTTAAGGGCCAAAAAGAGAAAAATTCTAATTGGCTTCCAGTGATTAATTCACGAGTGCCTGAGCCACGACCAGGCCAATGTACCAACAGCTCCCGCTCTCTACCCGATGTTACACTAAACTTTATTACGAATCATCCTCTCATGGACCAGGTAAGAAGGATAAACTTGAATTGCAAGATGAAATTTGTTCATGGACATAACGTTCACGAAATCGGCATCTTTCTCTTTCTTTGGGGAGGTTGAGGGCAAATGCATTATGCAGACCAGACTTCAAAACTGCGTTGTTTGTCTTATACTGCGGGACTCTTAACCACTAAACCCTGGGCCCCTTGAAGACTTGGGCTTTGGTTCGAGATATATTACTTCCAAACCAGTTCCTTCGCTACAGAAGCAAGGAGTTTCCGACAGCCCTCAGAGGCTCTTTTTACCCTAGGCAGAATGCGGGACACGTTGAAGGCTGTTTTTCCCACCCTTGCGGCTACATGTTCAATATGTTCGTTTCCAGACATCGCGGTACCCAGCGTCATGCCGAGGCATCTTGCTTTTTTGTGGATACTGATTCGGATATCTCCCAAAAAGAGGTTGACCCCTCTGGTTTGCTTTTGCCAGTTAGGTATACTGCTTCTGCCTTCTTAGCGGCTAACCTCAAGTAGCGTTCTTTCATCCACCGATTTTCCACTTCGAGAGAGTCATTTGCTTTATTTTCCAGGTCGTCTTCTACCCAGACCCTGATGATAAGAGCCAGATCATCATTACACCACTATTATATATTATTACCAATATTATTATATCACCAGGTCGGCATCTACCACTATTATTAATGACCACTTACAATATGTCTGCGTTCCTGAGCTCCACAGTCTGTGTGGCAATGACTACTACACCAATGTATGATTTTGTGTAGATCTACAGTATGTTCAAGATGGAATTTCGCCCTAGCTGATCCTTAGTCTTGGGTACCTCACAGCTTTCGAGGACACTACTGCGGGCGGCCATGAGGTGCACGCAGCCTATGTACGTCCTTCAAAATATCTGTAGGATCGTTTGGATATCTAGAAATCCTTCTTTTTGCATAAACATTTTGAAAGGGCTTCAGAAGTTGCTTTTACGAGACACGTAAACGATAGTCATAAACTACTAACTGGTTTATGTACTAATTGTTTAGTAACACTAATCGAAATACACCATTATACATTAACCGAAATAAATGACTGACGGGCCCAAGCTGTGTCTCGAGTCTGCGGTAAAGTAACCTACCTAAAATCTACCGGAATACGTTCAATGAGTATATACGATGTTTTTTGCTTTCAGGCCGTTTCATCCTATTTGGGCCGTGGTCCAGTCGTGGTTCACACCGGTTTCATGTATCGTTACACGGCCATCGCAGTTGATCCCCAAGTAGAAGCGGCTAACTCGAAAACATACGACGTTCTTTTTATCGGCACCGATCGCGGCCATGTTATTAAGGTGAATTTATAGTTCATCTTCAGATTAAGAACATCTAGGCTAATGCTTCTGACTGGCCCCAGAGCCCTTTGGAAAATGCTTTACTCAACAATGCACCAACTCTTACTTTTTAAATCCTTAAAAATAAATTAACAAAAAAAAAAGATGTATGTATACGCTTGTATAAAATAGCCTTTGTTATTAAGTGTGATTATTAATGATTTGCAGGTGATCAACGTCGTTTCGCTTTCCGCAGATCATCAAGGTCCAGTGGTCGTTGAAGACGTACAGGTTTTTACTAACCGTCAACCGGTAACTAATCTAGTCGTCTACAAATCTTCATATGAACAGGTATTTCTTGGTGACAGACACCACTTAGAATAATTACATTTAATATGGCTTCCTTTTTAGGTTTAATGGAATTCATCCTTTTCGTCGTACATAAAGCTTGTATCTATTCATGGCGAACCTTTACCCGACGATCTTAAGAGTTCAGCTAGACACTTAGTCATTAAAACTATCGCGTATTTCGCTAGCTTTTTGAGAGTAATACATACATCAAAAAAGATGAGACATACAGATATCTCTACACTTCTTTTTACAATGTACATTATTCTAGAGGTAACTGAAAAGAACCCTTTTGGTGGCTGGTGTTTCCCATTTCAGCTTCTGATTTTTTGCTCACTCCTGTATGAGCCGACCATCACATATATTTTTTAAACAGTTTCAATGTGTTTGAATTATGTTGGGAAGGATGGCTACCTCGTAATCCCTGAAGAGTCAAAATACCTAGTGATCTGCAAAAAAGATTTTAGAAAAATTGCTAACTCATTTTTTACGGCTTTGTAAGATATATATATATATATATATGATGGGTATTTTTGTTGGTTAGCTTTGATGATGCACGCTTAAGGGGAATGAACTTTCGATTGTATACAGAAGCTGATTGCCGTAAGCCGTGAGGAAGTTGTTGGCGTCCCGCTGTTCCATTGTGGCCGGGCCAGAACTTGCGGCGACTGTGTGCGCTTACAGGATCCCTTTTGCGCATGGAGCACGTCGGAGCGTAAATGTACGCATAAATGGCGCGGCAAGGACCGCCATTCAGCTGTGCAAAATATCGAAGAGGGATGGGACCAACGGTGCGGGGGTGGATGTAAGTCGTGTACAACTTTTCACATCGAACTAGTTTTCATACTATCATAATAGGCTATCTATAAAGTTACCTAAACTGAATTCATCATTTTATGCTCTTCTAGATGAAAGGGTCAGGTTAACTGCCCTCTGGAAACGATCATAGTTAACTTAGTTACTGAATGGGCCCGTCATTAGAAATTTGCCCTGCGTAGGCAATACAACTCACACAGGTTCTTAGCTTTAGCTGCTTCTTGGGTTACCTCCGATAATTGCTACAGCTCAAGCAACCATGCTCGATACCTTTCGATTGAAAAACAATCGAGACTCGCCTCTGTCAGCAGTTTCAATGGGGAACGGCTCGTCGTCATCATCTATGTCTGCCGATCTTCAGGACCTTTTGAACAGACGAGCTGATCGTGATGACCCGCTTCTCATGCACGCCACTGGTGAGCACTTAACGGTATATAAAGTCGATTAATACCTTTGTGTGAAAAGGCGTTCCCAACTAATGCGTTTCTACGACTCGACATAATAGAGGCGTATTTGATATATGAATTTATAATAAATTAAAAAGTGCACTAATGCGTCCGAATTAACTATATTGATATTGTGTGGCGCTATTTTACTTCAATAGGACTTGAGTGTTGAAAGCAGTCTTTTCACAAAGACTGCTTATAACGAATCTAGTTGAGTCAGATACAAAGTTTCATATGTTTGTTCTAGGTGATGGAACATACATCGCCACTGCCTCATCAATCGACTATACCGGTGAGACATTGGCGGTATGTGTGACAACAGCTATTGTGAGTTCGCTAGTGCTTGGCTTTATGGGCGGATACATTTTCGGATGCCGAGGGAAAGCTGAACATCTTATGGCGCTTGCCACCGACCCAGAGGACTACACTAGGCGAGTTTTAAGAGATGTATATCTTTTCAATATGTCCTGCCGGCACTAGAACCGATGTAGTCAGTTTTGTTGGTACAGCTACATCTGGTTATGAGTTTTTTTTTTATTCTAAGTAGTATAAAAATGAGGAGGCCACAAAACCGGACCACAGGCTTCATCATAAGGAGTCTGTTAAGGAAGTAATTCCTAAGTAAGTCCTACACCCAGCCTAACCCTAATTATAGCTTGGGGGCAATCGTTCAGACACCGCTAGAGCTTTCCGGTTGCAGTTTTGCCTTACTACATAATACCATTGTAATCGTGCAGCTATCGCGTTATATCATTCTAACTATCAACTGTTAATATTTATTGATGTTAGCCCCGTCTATCGTAAACATGGTCTGGGTGGCGACGTATTCCATTGTATCTATCGCGTTGACCGCTGACCCGTTTAACTATGCTTACCGCACAATGACAGCTTGCCATGCAAAAAAGCAATTATGTTCCTATATCCATCATTTGGAGCAGATGTTCACAAGCGGGTGTACGCCAAAGTATTTTTAAGCCTATTATTTATTACTGCAAGCAATTTGAAGGTTGTCAGAGCATACTTTTTAGACCGATAGTCTTAGCGGAAGCGATAAACGATGCTTCTAAACATAAGGTTAAATTTGCTTGTGTCTTTCAGACACAGGAGGTATATTATTGTCGAGAAGATGTTAATACATGTTTTCTATGTTCTGCAATAATCGGGGTCTCGTATAATCCTTTGTGGGGCTACTGAGTTTACTCACATAAAAGTCGTTCCATAGTTAAGCCTATCAACTATCAAAAACCGCTAATTGATATTACGCTCTTTACAAAGAATAGTTCAAAAGCGGATTTTTAAAAACGTGTTCCCAAAAGTCAAATTAGTAGGGCATCTAGAAAGATAGATTCTGTCAGCTGACAAAAAATCAAAGAGGGGCAGCGCACACACACACACACAAATTATGGATTAGTATTGGGGTAGATACGTTGTAATAGGTAGACGGTACATAGATAAATATATCAATTTCTCCTGGGATTGCTGAGAAAACTTTTTTAACTTAGATACTTTCTAGTTCGTGTAATATACTAGCGTCTATTTCTATCTAAAGAATTTGTAACTGCCTTTACCCATTCCAACACGTGAACGGTTTCGTTTAAAGAAGAAGAAGAATCTCTTAACAAAATTTTCTTTAACTGTTGAGTCTGACGTTCAAATTATATAAGGACGGTGAGAAAACGGTGATAATGAAGAAAGACGCTCATGTCAGTTCCGTCCGTATCTGTAATTGAAAGCAAAAATAATTGGTGATCGCTTTTAAATTGTGCCAGGAGCGATCCGCGGTGCAACAGACATTACTGCGTCAGCACGTACCGTAAACCTTATAATAACGATTAGTCAATAACGAAGTTTCTAGATATATATATATATGATGAATATATTTGGAAGTTTTTTGCAGTCAACGGTACTCTTATCGTTGAAGTGTGGCTTCCAATGGCATTATTATCATTATACAGGTATATGGAGATCCAGCGCGCAGCGGGCGGGGGGGGGCTCCTAGTGGGCGCTCCAGTAGTTGACCTTGGTGTTACGTACCCGGGTCACGAGCTTAATTACACGCTATCTCCACATCACCATCTCACAAACAGGCCGCTTCCACCACCGACTACTAAAAACGTAAATCTTATCCTCAACAAGGTAAGATCAGAAGCTATATTTAACCTTAACAGTCTTACATATCTATCTCGTTGTACTATCGAGACTAGGTTTCAGGTTTTATTTGGAAATAAGGGGCCGGCAACGGACCACCCGAGTGCCGCTGGAACGGATCCCATGATCGATACATACTACGCAACAAACGTCATTAAATAGAAAAGGTTGAACGTCTATTTGTGACATGTTATTATTTAGGACGTAAGTAGGAGCCTTGAGCCCGTTTAATTTCAAGCCACGTTGTGTATTCTAACTAACGATTTACTGTTTTAGAACGGTAAGCCGAGCAATCACCTCGGCGCAGCTGGTGGCGACAACCCTAATGCCAATGTAAATCTTGCATCCGCGATGACAACCTTGCAAAGACCCCATCAGCAACAGTTAACCCCAGATGATATGAATATTAACATAAATAATACACTATCAAGGACAACAACATTGCAGAAGGTAGAGTGCACATTAAAAAAATATCAAATCCTATTACCATTATGTCGTACGTTTTACCATTAACCACTTACTAGTAGAAAATAAATCAGGTTTCGGAAGTAATTGCTTGTATTTTAAATCGACCCCCTCGAAACGAGAGTGCTCTAGCAGCACACAGACCAAAAAAATAAAGGGACTGCAGCCCTAATCAAAACCAATTAGAATATTGTGTTTTCGAAGGTACTTTCGTGTGGCATTCTTATTAAATACAATTTTATAAGTAGCTTCTATTTAAGAACAATTAAAAAGCAGAAAATATCAATTTTACCGGCTTTGCCGTAGGAAAAGATTACTCGCTGTATCACTTTCATAATATTTTTGTTTGTAGAATATTCGCAGACGCATCACTAAGGATTGTGTGATCTATTTCTTTCGCAGGTAAAGAAGATCTACTTGTAGACCTCGCCGTCTAAGGACACTACCACTAAATCATTAACTTATGCCTCAGTCTACGCAAACATTGATGACCCAATTCGCTGCGGCCCTCAACACGGTAATAATTTGATAAAATCCAAAAGAAAGCTTAGGTGATTATTTTTGCTTTAGAATATCTTTGTGCAATAACTCTGAGAAGAAAGAAATGAAGAAGAAAGATGAACGAAAGAAAATGAAATCTTGAAACTGAGCCCTAAATTAGATGAAATATCTGATTGATATTAAATTGCCGGCTGAACCTAAAACGACCGAAATACGCTCTTTTCTTTTTCAGTCATCTGTTTTGGACGTTAGATCATTACAGACACAGATAGCTAAGGCCGCCTGAAGGAACACTGGAAGGCTTTTTTTATCGTCTGCAGTAGATCATTATGCTTTTTGTTTGGCATAAAAGATGTATCTTGCCACCTTCAGAGAGATTTTTTGAATAGATTAAAAACATTATACGAGTTTCTCTTGGCGTAGAATATACTTATTTTAGAATGTTCTCACACTATCAACTCATCAGTATTATTATGTTTACTATTACAACTATCCTTTTTTTTCAAATTCGTTTCTAACTATGCTGGTACCTGTATCCCTCTAAGGATTTCGGGTGTTCATTTGAACAACGACCCTAACATAATAGAAAGGTACATATCTTATGAATAGAATACACAATGTAGTCTTACAAGTACTAGACACCTATTAGCAATTTACGCAAGAGGTTATACCTATAGATTTCACAGTGACAGACGAATCATGAGTTTTTATTTTTCTGTCAAACCATGATCTCTGCATTCTAGACAACTACCTATGGCTTGTGTGTTCGTTGTTGCTTCAGAAGCGTTTTACCAAACTACAAGAAGAATAGGTTAAATGTTACTGTCGTACGTTTTATGCTGCGAACCCTATTGGTGAAATACCGTTAGCTAGCAACGTATGCTGCCTACCTCGATGCCCCCTTTTACGAACCTATGTAAAAGATGTTGCGGAAGGGCAGCGCACGCTGCGGAAGCGAAGGGGAACATCTGTTTACTGTTTTTTCAGCTTACATACCCAACCGCTACAAGATGTAAATACTACTTGTAGTTACATATTCAGTTTTAGTATGCCAAAGATCCAAGAAGGATGTCACCCTTGTTATTTTCTACTTTCTACACGCTATGACTTACTCATTCTAGTGCTACGTCGTATCTCCATGGTGTCAATTGCTCTAAAGAAAGAATAACAGGCACTTCAGGATAAATGACTTACGGTTTTGCTGTTCGCCAACAAACATTCTCGAATTTACCGTTGCGGATGTAGCTTTTGTGAAAAAAACGACAGCAGCGTACTGATAAAGACAAAAGCTTATGGAAAATGCTTCTAAAGCTATTTTTTTCAAAAATATTGTCGATTTAACACCATGTCATTCTAAAAGATACTGTCGAATCTAGGTGGGTAAGTGTTATTACATTTTTCAGATGAGTCAATTTTTTGCAAATTCTTCTGTCTAATAATAAATATAAAATCTGGAGCATATAATACCCATATGCAGTCTTTGTAAGATTAGAAGAAATACTTAGTGCTGATTAATGACTTTCTATAGTCTATAAAACGAACTTTTAGTTTATTTTAATATATGAACTCTTAGCTTTTGTTGTGGACCAGTTCCGCTGTTCGCAGTAATCATTCATAAATCTGCTTTTGATATCCGGGTTAACTTCGTGCAATGGCTGCCACAATAATAAAATAAATAAGTAACTTATAACCACCCAATGGGTCAGACCGAATAAACCGATGACGGCGAAACTAATGAATATGGCGGAGATGTGCGCGTCTGCTAAACAGGTCAACTACGCAAGTGACGCTCGAGTGACATAGAGCCAGCCTTTTTGCTAACGCGAAACAATCCTAATGAAAAGGAAAATATAGGTAGTGCTTAAGTATGAACGATATCGTCATCAACGAACAACGTATTCGTCAAACACATACCTATATATGTATACACCGGAGTACGGAAAACAGAGAGATTTATCTATACGCTACGGCTACCAAAATCACTTATTTCATACATATGTTGCCCCCATTTTGGATCTTCTTGAAGATCTTCTTCACAATTGTATACGGAGATCTTATAATTTCTAGTTAAATATCAAAATACAAATCTACGTAACATTGAAAAACTGTGAAAGTTACACTAATTCAACTAGGTATGGTCAGGGAGTGCGCAAGAGTGTATATACTAGATGACATTGTAACAGAAACAGCCTGATTTATTTCGATGAGTGTTACGTCAGAAGACATCCATAAATTGAAATTTCAGTGATGGTGAGAACTGCATGCAATGCTTCCTATAACCAATAGGTGATGGAAGCATATAAACTGTGAATATTCTCTATCGGGAAGCAGAATCCCTTTTCGAAAAAATAAAATAACGTTCAGTTACGTAAACGCAGAGCGAGCAGCAGAAATTAGAAAACTTATTGCCACAATGATAAGTTCAAAACAGTATTTTCTAAACTCCTTTTGAAGCTGGGCCGAAATATACAAGAGCCGAATTCCTAATATATATATAGATATATATTAAATTCAAATCTATCCTGGAAACAAAGCGGTAAGCCAAATAATTCGCTTTTGCGTTAGTTTAAAAAACCAGTATCTTGTTTTATGTGTGTTTTTAGCATTTATGGTTGTTGTTCATTCTGAACAAGCGTTCGGAATCACTACAATTCGAGTCCTACTAATTGGGGTACGTCTTTATAGACTTCAACAGAGCTATGAAATAACATGGCAACCATACAGACAGCGATGTACTTACTTAGCTCTCTGTATACTTACTAACTCTAACTACTTAATTTTCTGGCTTTTATTTTTATTCAGTTCGCTTTTCCTTATTATAAATTTTTGACAACACTGAGAATCTGTGTTGCCAAAGGGCCGTGTTAGCATAAGGAGACACCTGTGGTTGCATTTCATGTTACACCATCCTTCCAGAAAGTCAAAAAATATATCTCAACTGTTGATACAGGTGTATATGTGGTAAATCGTAGCCAATGCTATCATCGATAGCGTTAATAACGACAACTACAACGAAAGTTAAATTACGTCTACTTACACGACTGACGCCGAACAATACATACAAGCTATTTTCTGTTGATCACTATTTTATTTTTGCATTTTTTTAAAAACAGTAATAATTTTGTAAACAATACAGTATGTACAGGAAAAATAACTGTCCTGATGATATTAATGTACGAATGTTATAAGTATACCTTCGTAATTAATACATACTTTAGGAAGCTGCTTAAGTAATTTCGTTAATGACAGCCAAAGACCTATTTCGGCTTCTCTCCAACGTAGCTTTTCTTGAACGAGCAGATTCTATCAGATATTGCGCGCGTTTTTTTGAATTCCTAGCATCTATCGAAAATTCCGCTTTAATACAGGCAACAATAATACTGCAACTCGCCTCGGGTTAGTCGTTCATATCTAAGAGGCAAAGCCACTTTAGCTCGGAAAAGATCTCGATCATCGTCAGTCGGAATCCTACACAATCGCATATTACACAGTTCTCGCTAGGCAACCTTTCTGGCTATAAGATAGAGTTCCTTCAGCCATATATATATATATATAGGAGGTTGCTGAAAACAGAGTTTTTGGAAGGAAAACATATGAAGTGTTTGCATATCAGTTGAAATCTCGCCTAGCGTTTTCCATTGGCTACTGTACTCTAGACCACCTACTCATTTACGATTATCGCCTTCCCTCCGCTGGTATCACACAAATTGTATGCAATCTATCTTAGATTTACTAATCCTCGTGAAATAAGGTTGGTCGCGGCCTTCTAACAACCGTAATACCAATGCAGTATTAACACGGTCTGCCATTACAATGGCAATATGAGTACTTCCATCGAAAAGCGAGGTCATTTTTTGATAATGTGTCCTGCGTATATCCACAGGCTAAACTCAGGAGTGAACGCTTCCACCGAAGAGTGAAAATGTATATGTATTTCAGTTCTATTTCGCATTTAGCAAATCTAATTTGGTTGCAACAACGCTCATACACCAGTATATTCGGAAACATGATCGTTGCACATTTCTGGGAAAGCGTCAAAATTTTTTTATGCTTTGTACCAAAATCCAACCGACTTTAATCTTTACTGTGCATGGTAGTCGAGGCTTAAAGTACATTGAGACACTGGGTAGTGTATAGTATTATGAATGTGTAGGACTTATCAAAAACTTAATGAACTCGTTTGCCAAACTGATCATACGTATGTCCAGGTATTAGAAACGCACATTGTCTAAATGGTTTTTTTTCGAGGAACTAGCGCAGCTTCAACTGAATAAATGTCGATTGAATGCGCATGATGATACAAGACGCTACCTAAATATCTACTATATCTTTTATAGCCTATTATATCTTTTATCATGATTGTAATGTATACATCACATATAGCAACACTCCTACCCTTATCACTTGGTTATGTAAAATAATATTTTATTGTTATTTTTGGTACAGAGCGATATATAAATGCGAAACATGGATTATTATATTAGAGAGTAAGGCACCAGTACTCATCATGGCAGTATTTTTCAAGCAAGGACTGTGATAAGCTGCAAAACAGTATAAATAACGTAGAATAATAAAGAAGGATAGAAAGGCCGACGATGATGTCACAAAGGATTTGGTATTAGGTCAGTCAGTATGAACTGGAAGAAGGGTCAACCCTAAATTTTAAAATGGTGCGTTATTTTGCACGAGTGCGACATTTCGTGGTGCGTTTTTTGTTTTCGAAACGCGTTTGTACTCGTCGGAATCTGAAAGCGTTCATTCAAATGTGGTCACGTAAACTTTTAGCAGACGACTTGTAATGGACTATGCAAGATCAGAGTGTTTGAGCCATTCACAAATATAAGCTTCGTCTTGATGTTACAGAGACCGAAAGAACTTGCCGTAAAAACCTTGTATTCAATAAAATCCCTACTTACTAAAGAAAGCACGGTGAACCATTGATTCAAAAATTTTAGTTCAAACAAAAAAATTCGTCTTTAATTTAAAAATTCGTCTTCGTGCAAACTTATACAACAGAGTTGTGGCAAAACTTATTCAGCTGAAGCTTAAGAGCTAGTATTTATGTACAGTCAGTTTTGGTGTACATAAAAATACCATACTCGTTAATCGTTACAGCTGCCTTATGGTGTCTATTGCACTTATCATTTATTACAGCTGCATAAGTTGTGGTATGTTGATTATGACTAAACTTTACACAATAGGACCAGGTGAAGAAAGAACTAGGTATCAAACAGCAAGGAGTATCGAATAGGGCTAAACCACCCCTATTGCCTGACCTAAAGTATGGTGGCGAAAATGCCGCAGTTGCAACTGGCGAGGCCTCGAATCATGTACGTGTGGACCTCAACAGACTTTGCTCCTATAGGTTTCTTTTTTCAAGACCTTGACAATTGATTCCTCTATATAAAAATCGTCAGAATTTGGTATAAAAATATCGTTTTGAAACTTCATACATATACTGTTTTGACGCATACTTTTCGAGCAAAGGTTATTATTCAAAAAAAAAGGGCTATATTATCATTTAAATAGCAGAAGGCTATAAATCGATTGAGGATTTAAAAATATATAGTTTTTTTTAGTTTCAGTTTAGAAACAGTTTAGTATCTCCTAGTTTAGACTCACTCGTACAACATAGTACCTGAAAGACGTAAAAACATTTAATGGTAAGTCTCTTGTCAAAACTAGTTCGTTCTTTCAGATCGGATATGCTTGCCAAAGGATTAGCTTGCGTAGCTTGACGACTTTGTGTTGGCTAACAACTTTGGTGAAAATATAGGACAAACTGAAATTCTTAATTAAGCTCTAGTGAAGAATATAGCAATTAGATAAAAAAACAAGCGTAAGCCGTGCCTCATCATCAAGCAGAGATTCCCTTTACCCCTACTATTCGGACAAAATCGTATACAAACTAGCGATTAGGTAACAATGTCTGTGATGGAAATAAGTCGAACACTGGCTGCGGGTGTCTCGCGCAGATGTCCGCCTAACACACCTCGTAATAGCCGCTGTAACCGTCACTACTGCTCCTAGTACGCTTGCTTCTGCTCCGACGTAATCACTATATTGAGAAGCATATTTTTAAACGGTACAGAAAGCTGCATCACTTCATATAGCTCTGCAGACAATAACACATGAAAATTTTTGAGAAATAAACAGAACAGCATATTTTAAGCCAAGCTAATTACGAACTTCAAACAAAAAGTAATCGTTTTTAATTCTCTAAATTCAAAAGACTATTCGTAAAGTAAATAGTCAAGTAAGTAGTCTTTTGTCACCAACTATAATGCAATTATAACACTAATTCGCTGCACGGCTTTTGAAACATATACACTCTCCACTTTTAGGATGAACGCGTCATTTCGAATGTCACTGCGTCGGGCCAACAAGACTTGAAGAGATTTTTTCTTTTTTCTGTATTGATGAAATATCGTTTTAAACTCCCCAAGCCTATGTTTCATTGTTACTAAATGGTCTAATACCAACATCAAAAAGAGTGTGGACGAAGGTCAACATTTTCAGTGCGGGACCTTACGAAACTGAGTCTGGTCTCCAAAGCTTTAAGACATGACTTTGAAAATTCGCGCCAGACGAGGCATTTTACACCGATTTTCGTCGCTGCTTATCGTTCACTCTTTGAATGTTAAAAAAGCATTTCGAATAAAACATAAAGTACCTCGATGGTTTAAACGTGTTCAATGAAAAAGTATTTTTCCCAGCATTGATTTACCTCTATAATTCGAATAAGAAGATAGACTTTTTGCTAAATTATACACGATAATTGTGGCTCATATGAGAAGCACATAGATAGATCACATTCGTTCCTATTTGCAATTGCCCATGAGATTATATTCACTAAATGTCATTCACCACTTACGTTTCCGTTCAATCAACCCTTTGCCGCATGCGCACATTTTATTATATAGGGAGCAGACCGTTGTGAGCCACCAGCCGCCCGTCCATTCATTCCTGCGAGAATTCACCTGCATTTCTGCTGGCATAAGCGGCATCACTATCATCATTGCCATGATATTTGAAGGGCAAGCTGAAAAAGGGCCTTTTTGTTTTGGTTTGCGTAGGCTGACTTAACTGGTACGGATCTGTGAACAGCTACTGGCAGCTGTTATTTACCGTGCACATGCTGCATGTCGTTACTTACCCAGCTCTGACAGTGTGACGGTCATACGTTGTGCTTACACACATAGACGAACACTGCTCATGTATAGACATAACAGCTGTTGCAATCGTTCGTTGCGTCGCCTTCTGTACCTAAGTCTTAATATACCCATGGCTCGCGGCACTCTGACGTATTTTATGTTTGAAAATATTGTCAAAAGAAGAATAAAGACGCTTATCTATAGGCGAACTAGATATATTCTGGCCTGACTATCCCCCGAGCAGCAGAGATATGCAAATGTACGTCCATTTGCTCCGCCCACGTAAATCAACATATCGTGACCTCGATATATGAGCTGGAGTTAATTACATCTAAAGTCATTAAGAGGGCCGCTAAAACGAAGATCTAGTTAAAAAACATAAACATTTCATCATAAGTAATATTTTGAACTATTAGGGGTCCGTACAATATTCGTAGCATAGCCCCAGTAATCTATAGATATTGTGGGTCGAATTGCAGTGATGTAATGTAGAACGCGTCAACTTGAAAGTAAAATCACAACGGCTTTCTCCACCTCAGTATAGTGTTTCATCTTTTGCGACTCAAAAGGGGAACTTACTTCACTAGCATTACTTTGATAATTTATCGGATATATATGTTTAACCCGATAGTGTGACGGGTAGCTCTAATCAAGAAAGCGTAAGCCAGTACTTCCACGACGCAGGACATGCTCGTAAATAACTCGTTTTTTTTAGTAATTAGCGTCTATGGCTGCCGTGACTCCATCTGTGCTTTCATTTTGACAACTATAATAGCTGTAATGTTGTATATTGTGGCTGCTGACTAAAACTTGGTCGATATATGTGGTGCTGTGGCTCATACTTTTGTATGTTGTACTAAGTGCAAAGGATCTGAGCTCAATACAGTAATGAATTAGAATGGCATTATGTTTTAGAATAGGTTGGATACATCGCTAACGGATATATAAAAACATGTGGCCTACCTTAAAAGGGGCAAAGGTGCTATCACATACCAACAATGCTAGAAGACATACATTTCGAAGCTGGGTGGCTACCAGGAGGCCGAGCGCGCACCTTATGACTCTTCCTGTAGAAGTGTTCAAAAAGATTCCAGAGCCCGAAGCTATGAGCCGCTATGGTAATCCCACTCATATAAGCATGAAGCAAATGGTTGTAAATCGTTCATTTCCGCAGCTAACATCAAAGTCGGAATCCGTCCATTTTAGGTGATGGCAATTATCGGATAGGGGTGTCGTATCGATGGGATGGGCTTCTTAGGTAGCTACGGGACCTACTAAAATTTGGAAAAGTCGAACTAGTTGATCTTTGATAAATCATGGAAATGGTCCACTGAAATTGGTGGACACGCGAGCTAAAAAGCAACGTAGGTTATTGCCGCGAACGACGAAGACGCTCCTGAGCGGACTGTTCACTCGACAAGTGCAATCCTTAAGCTCAAATCAGAGCCCGTGACCCCCCCCCCTGGGTATTGCAGCGGCAAGGCCAAGCGGCTACCTACAACGACTGAGTTAAAATAGATTTGCAGCTTTCGGCTGCTAAAAGCGACGCTATTTGCATCACATTTCCAACGTACCAATACACGAACCCGCGCTGGTACCGTTAATGGAAGTGTCATGGAAAGGATAAAAGGGCCACACGATTTATACCGCGCACTGACATTATGCCGAAGGGGTTGCTTTTGGTGCTTCAGCCGAGTCCACAGAGTTTATAGCTGATTAGCGAGACGTTTGACGCATGGGGAGGGCCCTTCGCCGAGTAAAAAAATGTTTTGTCCATCTCGAATAAGGAAAGAGACACTAAGTATTAAATAGAAAAAGCTCGAAAACCCGAAGGGCAATTCTTGACGATCCAAAACTATTCCTAGTAGTAAATATCGGTCGTATTACAACCAATACTGACAACAGTTACTTTATAGAAACACGTACGTCAGCGATGTCGTTCTCGGCACATGGAAATCGAGTATTTTCATTCCTGTACAGGCATATAAATAAATGATGTACTAAATCAGCAGTTCACCTGCGCTAATGTATATATATATATATATATATATATATATATATAGACAATATACAATGCCACAAGAGCGAGGTTCGTGTACGGAAATGTGACATCGACAGGAGCCGTGGCTGTTCGACAGTATCTGTTTCATTAATTCGACCAATTTCTTTTGGAAAACATGAGCAGAAGCTTTTGTGAATGCTTGAAGATCAGTTCTTAACAGCCAATCAGGTATTGTTGGAGTATTTTATTACGCTACACCGTCATCAAACGCAAGGGCCGCTATCTCTTAGCGCTATTATCATACTGTATTTAACGTATGCTGGACTTCGCCCGAAGACAAACTACGTTCGCTAAGGTTTGTCTCAAATACGCCCTGTGCTCCATGGAGCAAGGAACAAAAACCAGCAGAAACGGAAGGGTAAACATAAGGAAGGTGGTATTAACATCTGCCACCCAATAAACTGGCCAAGAAGTCGAAGTAAGTGGAAATTATGGGAGACGTGCTGGAAATGCGAATAAAAGTGATAACTGTAATGCATTTTGCAAATGGATACGCGACTACAATACGACACACAAACGCCTACACAACTAAACATATAGATCCATAGGCACTTTCAACACTGGACATAAACAGATCCATTTTGGATAGGCAAAGAAGGAAACAACTTTGCGCTCTTTTTTTCGCAGAAAAGATAATTACCGTTGCTTTATTATTATATTCTTCTGATCATCGTTTCGTTAGCGACCGTTGACTGTTCGCTGTCCGCTTGTACCTTGTACCTCTCGTAGTGACCTCCGACAACATGCAGCGCTCGTAATAGATCGCGATGAAACGATACATCATAACATAGTAAAAATAATGACCGTGCTCATAAGTAATGTTGCAAACACAAACGATCTGTTAAAACCGATTCGTTATCAAGGGTGCGTCTTCAGTGCCAAGTCTTAGTAGCTTCCGATTTCGTTGGTGGAACAGTCAATGAATTCTCGAAGCATGGTTTACGGAAAATTTTAACAGACTTTAAAAGTCTTCCATAACAATGTTGAAGATCGTCGTATTGCGAAAATATGTCACTAGTAGGTAAGACAGCTAGTTATGCCGTGCCTCGTCAATCAGTCGTATTTGACTCCAACGCGGTGGAATTACCAGCACGAACATAGAAGAAAATCATTAGGTCGGCTTTGATCTATGTCACCTCAGAAATAGAGCCTTTGCAAATCCTACCTTAAATGCCACGTGTACCTGAATCGTTTGGCCAAGTGGTTGACAATCTGTATTTGCTAGGGCCTATTCCAGTATTCAGCTCGAAGGAGGTAGACGTTGGAAGGATGTGAAGACCCATAATAAGCCAAAACGCTTAAGCGTCACTCATTCTGAGACGCATACATTATCGAACAAAATATTAATAATATGAAACGTATATGAGATGATAAAGGTTTGATACAGGAGAAACAACAACGCCTAAGACGTATCAAGTCAAACGAACGACAAAGCGAGCAGTTACCGTGTTATCCTATTCATTTATATAATCCACATAAAGAAAGGAGATGTTTCTGATTTTGGGTAAACTGAAATAATATACCCTTTTGAACTTCGCTTTAGTGAAAACTAATCTTGCTAGTTGTTGAGTTGCATGAGTCATTTTTGTGGCTTTCCTTCAAATAATGTTGCATCATAGTTAAATTTCGGTCCTTTAGAAGCGCTGGAACTCAGCAGCATCGTATTGCTCCATCAAAGGGCCGCTGAACTCCGACGTATGACTTTTGTTCAAAATGTCCAGATTGTTCTCCTAGTGATATGACGGATATTGCCTACTAAAATAGGTATTTGCACAAAATAAACCACTGCCTCGAGCGTGTATAGAAAATCAAGTCTGCTATTTTATCAACGCCGGGTAAACTTCAGTATAGTTATAAAGGTTTTTGAGCAAAGTAGTGATACAAGATGGTCAAACAAGGTGCACACAGGGTTTACCGTGTGAAACTAACTGTACTATAATAATCACTAACAAGAGCGAAAAGTACTGAAACAAACTGCAGTTATAATAGATATAGCAACATCGCGTTTTTCACTATAAAGTATAGTATCTTGCTGAAATCTACAAACTGTGGCTTTTTGGTGTTGTGACTTAGTTCTATTATATCAAATGGCGAAGACATGTGCATAAAAGAAAAACTTTAGAATATTTGGGTTAAAGGACACAACGAGTAGCCATAGCTCACGCTTGACATCGACAAAGGTGGTTGGCGTACGTGTAAGTTTCTATTTTGAAACGAGTTCAATTGAAGTTATTTTTATTTACACAATGGGATATGTAGGACACAAAGCAGGCATGGTGTAGCATAACGTTATATGCAATTAATTTCGAACGAAAGCAGGTGCCTGGAATCATCTGCACATCTTTCATATTATACACAAGCTTTTACTTCTACATAAAGTGCCGTTCCCGACAATGGCTCTAGGACGGTACGTTTGCTACTAGAATGATTGGCTTCGAACCCGAAAAAAATTATTTATAAGAGTTTGATCATTTTCAACATCTGATCTTGGCCCGACTAAATTAACCATGATGTTAAGGCAGGGGCCGAAAGTTCCAAACCCAGTTACAGAAAAACGGAACAGTATGCATCGATTAGAAACACGTGTAAACATTTTTTTCGTAGCCGGCATCAGACTCCTTTAAAACAATGATTACCTTAAGGGAATTATCTTGCCTCAAAACGAATTGATCATTCAGTTACATATAAGTTTTTCGCGAAAGACGGGGCTTGGCATGAAAAAGCGTTCCACTGTTTCTGTCAACGTCTCCTAAGCCAGCTCTGCGGTGCGTCATTAAGAAATTCGAAGAGTTCATTTGCCATGCGTGAGTTTCAAAATCGGTTCCTGTTGCGGACCCGCTTGTGCTATGAATGACTAGAAAATGTCGGAAAGGTAAAAGTTCATAGATATGAATACGCGCTCCATATCTTGTTGAACATTCATAGGATTATATATCTTACTGTTGAACGAGCAATAAATGTAACGTTCAGTACCAGTTTCAATGCAGACCAAGCAGAATTTCGAATTACCAAACTCGCTAGTTTGTAGTGACTATGTTTTTGTAATGATATATAGGCTACGAAGGAAACTACATTTGCAGTTGTTACTACGTTCGCTCTGCTTTGCAAGCGACTTAAGAATCACGCTTTTATAAATAGCGATTTTTTGAGTTTAAGAAGTTAGCGAAGATCTCTCTCGAAAAGCGGTGGAATGATAATTGAAATTGCTCGTTATTACTCAAAATACATACTGTAACAATGCGCTGCAATGATTTACGTATCGCAATGTAGTAAACATTTTGTTTGTAGTAAACAAACCCTTATACTGTTGTTCTAGACAAATCGAACGTGCTTCAAACTTGCAGGGACATTATGTTCGAGCTACGTTTGCCAATCTAGTTTGAGAGTGTTAAAAAAAAAGACAGCTTCTCCCAGTGTGTTTTCTATCACAACACCAGCCCCATTGGTATGGGCACTAAGTTCAGTGATTGTATTTTTTTTTTGTATATTAACAAGCTGTTCTAGATTAGGCGCTCTTTTCCTGACGATTCGCTTATTTATATATCTATAGATCATTTAAAAAATTGCGCTTCTGAATTAAAAAACTAAATTGGCCGGCTGCGTTCAAGCAGATGGTACCACTACTCATTGTTTACTTCAGCTGTATACGTTTATTATGGCATTTTATTTTGTTACTGTAAAGACTGGTTACTAGATAAAATTTATGCACATGAACTGATAAGATTGTCTTTATAATCCTTTGTGCTCATTGTCGTGTCAGTAGAGCCTGTGTCATATGTCAAGTGGAAAAAGTTGCGTGCGAGCGCCTTCGTTAAAAGTTTCGTTTTGTAGCAGAGTAGAATGCAAACCAGATGTAAGCTTGGTTAAATAAATTTAGGGACTCCTGTTCCATGGCTACCATCCAATCACACCGTTCAATCAGCTACTCTAAAGGAGCACGTTCCAGTAAGTGCGCCAATACTTATAGAATAGTTCTCATACAGAGATATCACGGAGGCCCTGACAGCCGCTAGCTACCGAATACCATAGACGATTATTTATAAGTTTCTAAAAATAAAATATCTAATCGTATAAATGGATTTAATATTACTTTATATCGTTGAGTATATTAAAGAGCCACGCTATTAATTTTTACATATAATACGAGCTTCTCTCGATTGTTAGTATGGCATGAGAGAATGGTTATTATTATAATGGCGATGATGAAAATACTTACCAGGTAAGGGGTTCACGCGAACCTCTTTTCACCTTCAAACTGAAGAATACGACTTGAACAATGTAAGCTCGTTGCTTCTATCATTACTTCAAGCACAAGCGCTTATTCTCCGTACGTACGTTTAATTAAAATATTACAAGCAGAGCTTTTTTCTTTCGAACTTAATTAACGACTACAATTTAGCAGTGTGTTCTATAGCCGTATATTCGTTAAAAATGGCCCAGCGAAACTTAATTGGTTTTGAAATGTTTGCCGATATACACTAAATGTATGTCACATGTAAGTAATAAGGGATGTAACAATGAGAATACTTATGAACGTGAAGATAACTCGGAAAAAATACAGTTCTTCCTGCTTCGATTCAGATACATGAACGTATTTTAAAATCGTCTCGCACCATAAATGTGTTCGGCTGTAAGCTTTAAACGTGATGATGATGATGATCATATTTTCGAGCAGGACATTTGTTTGTGTTATGAGCAATTCAATTATGTAATTTTTGAAAGCAGGCCACGTGTAAACACTGAAACGAAATAACGAATTCAAAAAGCCTCTAAGAAACAGTAAGTCAATACTATTAATGGATGCTTCCAATCTGGAAAACAAGACAACACCTATAGCTTTAATTAAGTGATTTTTGTTCTGCGCGGCGTCAGCTAACCAAGGACTATTGTCGTTTATTTTACTAATATTCAGAGCTGCACATTAAAGTACACAGGCTAAATTATGCCGTTGATTTTATATGTTTGGCGAATCATTCAACAGAGATACCCATTAAAACACGTATTTTAAGTTTTACACCGAAATATACACCATTCACTATAACAGTTTTGAATTTACGCTTTCATATTTTCTCCTGCACCCGGTCGACCAAGGAAGTTATTTATGTTATCTGCTTTTCGTCCTTAACAAGCCCAAGAGCTCTGTTTCGAAAGACTTCAGCTCGAAGATCCTAGGCAGCGAACTCTTCAATTTTTCCCATTCTATACGCAGCTGTTTATAGACTTAACGCCTAATAATTTACTTCCGTGAACTCTATTTGTAAAGAGAGAGCGAGAGACCTGTATATTTAAAGCCTTATTAGGTGGCCTTTTATTTAAAGATTCTGCTAAAAGTATCGAAAAAAACCTGGAAGCAACGGCTTGAGCGGACTTTGAAACGATTGTTCGAATCTCTTAAAGTGAAGCAAAGCTGATCTGAAATCCGCCCTTTTAGGCTCATATAAATTAATTCTTTCTCGTTAAACTATTGTCAAATTGATTTAGTAATTAACTTTGGTAGTTTTTTTTCCTTAACGCTTTACAGTGAATATGTGTCGTCTATCGAGACTAGCAGAATATAGAATATATACTTTTGAGGGAGGTAAATCTTTTGCGACGCTCGCCTTCGTCGTATGGATTACTCCACATAATTTTATACAGGCGGTGCTTTAATAGCAATTTATTTCAGTACAAAGTTGCCCTGTTTACGTAAATAGCTATACATTCCTGCCAATTAACAAGTGATGTTTTTAAACAATTTTGGTCCAAATACGTGACGCCATCCGCTTAAGGTAGTAGCATGGACTGGAACTGGTGGTGGCATTTTAAACCCTGTCGTAGAACGTAAAACTATAGTATAACAACTCGAATCAGGCCTAATCGTCAAACGCTTCCATTGTTACATTTCCTCCGTAGGATGGTAATTTCGGGCACTTATTTTTAAGCTAGAATCATCGGAGAGAGAAGCGTGAATACTATTCCCGTTTCCCACTTCTTTCGAACATTTATGTTCGAATAATAAAAAAAAATACGCTAAAAGCTGATAGAATGACATATGTACAATGGATTAAGCGAATTTCAAGTGATACCTATGCCAACATCTAGCGCTTTCACAAAGCAAGTTACCATTCCAATTGTGTTTTCAGAGCTGAAGACAATTATTTTCACAGTGTGTAACTATAACATGCTAATATATATATATATATATATAATTACAATCTTCGTGTGGTATCTTTCTCTTACGGCGACTGTATATAGAAGACACAAGTAATAAGCATAAGAAACACAGAACTTGTATTCTCTATAGCGGTATTTTGCTATTCCATGTCAGCCTTGTCAACACTTATTCCTTACATAATAGGATCCGATACAGAACATTGATTACCATTGAAAAAGTCTGCTACGGAACTACATTACACAATGTTATCAATTTGTTGCGTTTCAAAATATATTTAATGCTGATTATGTTACATGTCGTTCAAGGTGATTCACCACTTGGGAATAACAGATCGTGCCACAGAAGTCTTAAATTGTCAACATAACAATCCAAATGAAATATTGAAGAATGAATATTCGGAGAATAAACCAGTAGAAAAAAAAAAGCAATATATATATATATATATATGGTCATAGAGTACTCTTTTGGTTAACAAGTACAAAAGGTGGTACTCTTGATAAAGCACACAATATCGAAGCAATCATTTAGTAGAGAGCTACGCGTGCTGGAGATTCGTGTATTAGTTTCTATCACAGGTAGTCGAAAATTTGCTGAATTTTCGTTTTGTCTAACGAGCAAAACGAACTAATATTTTCGGTCGAGAAAGCTTAGCATTTGTCTCGTAAAAAGTTATGCGCAAAGAGTAAATCTGGATAAGATAGAAATCTTACTGACAAACTGTTTGACACTTACTGACAAACTTTGTTTTTTCCTGTTAGTTAATACGAACTCTCTAAAAAGCAAAAGCACTTCATTATGACTTTTTCACGTCGCCTTTATTATAGTAGGACAGTTGCCTGCCATAGAATATTCTCACTCATTAAATATTCACCTCTACCGTCCTTCTTATCAGTCCTAATATTTACAGATAAATGGTTATCGCACAGTTGGTTTATCCGGTAACCCTAAGTATGAATATGGAAATTGATCTGGGAACATCGCCATATTGATCGTACCATATTATTGCAAAATCGTACCATATTATGCAGATGGCAGATGCAATTTTTGAAATTTTCTAAGACTCTTTGCACAGTAAGCATATCACGGTGTAGCAGAATATCTTTCTTCGTAACTATGATACTGATAAGCACCGGTATAGATATTGCAGACAGGTTGGAATGGCTGCATAATACCACTAAGAAAAATATAACGTGATTATAGCAGAGAACGTTGTACAACTCCGAAAATAGCGAACCGTAGTTTCTCGTGGTATTTATCTCTTGTAGACATCGTTTTTAGACCATGAAATAAATCCTTCCTTGCATTTCAGCCTGTTGATGGCTATATTTTTTTGTATACCTGGGTATATATTGATTATATTTAAGAAAACTGAAACGCGATTTTTAAGTAAAATAAATCATTAAAGAAGTGGGCAAACAATTTCTCTAAATACAACTAGCCATTGTCAAAGATTATCCACAATTGCCTGCTGATCCTTTGGATGTTTGGCTAGCGGAAGGGCTTCGTAGGTGGTCAGCATCAACGGCTTGCTGTTTGCACTAACGAGAAATGTAGCATCAGGATACGCCGCAACAACAAACGCCAAACGGGAGACTGAGACCGACCTATGACAGTTATACAGTGGCTACTGACATTTGCCGTAAACATAAATTTAAAATTCAAATCGAGTTACACCTTGATATTGGTGGGGGGGGCGTCACAAAGTTTGTGCTCCCCAACAACAAAAGGCAACGACACAGAAAAATTTGTGTTGAAAGTTGGCTTCTGCCTAAATTATAGACTAACTATGTCTTGACAGATGAGCCACAGGTTCAACGTACTGTAATTTAGTTAACCGTTCAACTTCGTATTCTCATTTGAATAGGAAGCTTCGAGGCGCGGGGAATCTGGGTCCGCAACCCTCCACCTTTGTCCCTTTGATGAGGGATAATAAATGGAAAAGTCACATAGTTTTATTGTTTAGACGTATTCTGGAGAAAAGGGTAGCCGCAAGGATTCAAATTAGTAACACCACGTCCGACGAATAGTTCTATGGCATTACCTTAGTGCTAAGTTTCAACAATGATTTGCTACTGTGTCAACGGGAACGGGCATAAATTACTTACAGTACAAAAAAAACCTGGTTTAATGTCTTAGGGGGTCAAGAATGAAACTGCTTCGTGTGCATATCCAGGTCTATGGAAATTATGACGGCATACGAGAATTATCACTGTTGTTTAATTTTACAGGTGGTTTTAATGCTGCAAGTTAGAGATGTTCATGATGGTGACATAGACAAGCATCCTATTCGTTAGGAAGTAATTAATTATCAAAGCTGAAAAGTGTGACATAATCCTGTCTAGGTTCATGATCCTATAAAGCGATGAGTAGACACTGGCAGATCGCAACCAATTATTGATCATTTCCGAACTTCGAATCATACATGTTGCGTACCGCGCCTTCGGAGGGGCAAAGTTGACCCTTCAATACCCATTTACAATATTTGCAAAACTATTTCGAAAACATTCCCCCCAAAAGCAGAACGATATATGCTTATGGCAACGGACAAGCAATGTGGACAATATTCTACAAAATGGTACTGGAGACTGAGAAGAAATAATTAAGAACGGTTCACTACTGCTGGTAGTAAGGCCATGGTGACCAAACATAATATTGGTTCTTTCTTAGCCCGTATTTTGTTAGTCGGTATCTCTTAATGCCTAATTTATTAGGTCGTAAAACAGTCCTCTTCAAAGGAAGAGGGCAGCAAATAGTTCGTAAGTTGAATTAGCAGTCATGCAGCTATTGATAGGCACTTTTAGTCAAAGATATTCACTCAGTGATGGTTGCCCGAGGGGCTGAGGAAAGAGCACGGAAAAGCACGGCTTTATACTAGCTTTTGACATTTAGACAGGCAGCGAGCGAGCAAGGTGCAGCCACAGTGACAGATTTTCGCACAGAATTGTCACCATTGACGAAAGATGTACCTTCACGTCGACATATGAGCAGCTCGAAATTATGCTCAGAATTAGGCTAGATCTCTGTTGCAAGACCACAAGTTGCGTTGGCTAGGACCGGAAGGTTCTCACCACTCGTTTGTAGATTAGTGATGATTAACAGCACTAGTAGCTCTACACTTGACTGTTAAAACGGTCTCAAAACCTGGACAAGTTTTTCGCCGCCTGACCTGAAAAGTCGTAGCGAGAAGGGCTAAAAAAGAGGTACAATGGGAAAATGATATTAACGGTGGCCATAAGATAACTGTTTTAAATTTTAGTCCAGTAGCGCACTTAAACATTGCTTCAGACGGTTCGCTCTCAGCACGAGTCGAACTTTGTCCACGTTTGGTTCCAAGCCCAGACCATTACGTGTCTATTTACTAGGCAAACACGTTGGTACCGCACCATTACAACGGCTTGGAAAGCTCCGGCGAATATATAATAAATTGATTCACTATTATCACTCAAATAAGACGCTGCGTTTTATAAGGTCGACAACTGTTTTGACTTTTTTATGTTGTATTATCCAGTGTCTGACTGACAACTGAAAGATAAAATATTGGGAATTGAAAATCTGAGGAAGTATTTCTAGGAAGTTCATAACGTAAGCTTTCTAAAAGTCAACTGAATGGGAAACTAAGGTAGACAGGTAAAAAACTAAGCCAATCTTTTTTTTTACTTTAAAGTATAAGGGATTTCCGGATTTCTTCGAGCCATTAAAAAATCTGGGAAGATGTTTTAGCAAATTTACGGCTTTTCCGACCCCGTACTTTTATGGGTTAGACCTAGACGAAACAACATGGTTTTTTTCACTAGAATGATAATTGGATTAATGGAAACACTCGTCAGAAAAAACCCGAACGTAATAACGAAATTATCCTTGCGGCAATTCTGTGACAAGATGACGGACGACATATTTCAGTGTATAGCTTGAATACCTCTAAGAAAAGGTAAAATATTTATTTTGGCTACAACAGGTTAACGCAATTTTCCTTTTTGTTAGTAAGGAGATATACCCCAATAAAGATAATATTTTATTTTCTCGCTTTGATTATTGTACTTTAGACTGCACATACTGATACATAGCTAGGTTAGAGTAATGTACATTGAAACCCAGATTTTCGAAATTCTTTAAAAACGGGCACGTTATTCTAAGGTACAGTGTACAGTTTTATATTCTTGCCACTTTCCATCGTTCGTTAAAAGCTTATATTTTATGTTTCGTCGTCGACAGCAAAGGGAGTGCAATGTGTTTAACCCCCCTAAAAGCATTTAATGTAATTGTCGCATGCATATATATATATATATATATGTTATTGATTTATCTTTTGCAAATGACACCTACATTGGTGTATTAAACTGTATTTCGAAAACTTTTCTAGTCAGTAAATAAGATCTAACTTCAGAACAGGTTGTTTCTCAGAGGCTATACTTAGCGAATTGTCGGAAAATGAACCTATGGCAACATAAACCCATTTCTCGTTCAATTAATATTTGAATTGTCTAACTTTATACTGTTAGATTTCTATACGGCTTTGTAGTGAGAACCATCATTAAGAATATGTAAAAATTCCTCTTGTAGATTACTGTTCCCGCTATTTCGCGCAGCAAGCCGTTTTAGAGCTCCTGCGTACGAAAAGATTTGCTACCGTTGAAAATTCTCATAGAAACAGAAGGGGTAACAATGCCGTATAAAAATAATTTTTTATTTGACGCCCTTTTCTAGCTAGACTGACCCTTTCTGCTGACCCTCTCCTGACCCTGTTGTCGCCGCTGCTGGAGGAGCATCGTCAGAAGAAATGGACCGCCCCTAAACGCTGGAAAACAATAAAAGAACCTGAACTGATTCATTGGGGTCATTTCAGACTGGACCGTTACTGACCAGCGGGCTACTTATTTGTGTCCTTTTTTTTGTCTTTCGTTCATCTGTGTGCTCTTATGTTTGTCTGAAACCCTTAGTTTAGTCACTTGCGGCGTATCGCACCCAGATTATTTTATGTAAACTATTTCAGATTTCTAATACTTAGGTCAGCCGTAATTTGAAAAGAGAATCCTAGAGTTTACTAACATATCTCTCCTTTCAATCACGTATCGTTTGTTTCAAATATTCCTAATTACGTTAGATAGATCCTTTCGTCCATTTTGTGAATTCGTTGTACGCTTTCTGGCAGTCAATTGGCTGACCACTTGGTCAAATCGAACGACAATGATAGTGAGTATTGTCTTCTTCGAGGTCCAAGGTATTTGCAATAAACGGAACACGATTCTTTAAGTTACTCATTGGTTACAAAAGCCTCAACTCAAAACGTGCCCACCACATCATCTTGGTCTGATTTATTTAAAAACACTGAAATTCGTCTAAGGCTTACGGATCAATAACATTATACTTTTTGTAAACATCAGCGACCTTGTTTGACACTCGCGGCGGTCTGCATCGTTTCTATTGCATCTTCGACTCTGGCCGGCCATACTCATCGGGTAGGTGCCTCATCATCTCATCAACACTAACAATAATAAGCTTGGTCTCAAGTAGAGCAGTTCGTAATTATCATTCATTATCCATTGCGCGGATCTTCATTTACAAGTTATACCAGTAAGCGATCAGATTTGTAGCTGGTAAACTATTTTTGGCTTATGGCGGTTTTTAAGACTGTAAAAAGCAAATTGCTGATACAGAAAAAGAGTACCGAAACTCCACAAACTAATTTATAGTAAAATCTTCTCGAATGTATTAACATCGGTATGTACTTATCCTGTAATGTTATGCACCAAGCCACTCGTTTTGGAGGAGCTTTGCCAATTGAAGGACGAAAAATGTTGCAAACTCTGCCTTTTGCTTCCTTCCTTCTGTGCAGGACTCAGGGGACAAAAGTTGGAGTGATTCAATAATTGGCAGATACGCGTTTCAGAACTGGAACGACCCGTTTTTAGCGTATGACAATACACGACACGATTCAATTGGCGCAGGGCAATGGAGGCCCACATCGACGATAGAACAGGACAAAAAAAGGCAAGTTCTTCGGGCTTCTCATTTCATTTCAAATATTTTTCATCCAACATACGTTATTGATGGATTCTTATACGATAATGAAATCATCTGTGCCTAGGTGTGATCCAAAAGAGCGGAACCACTGTTTAGAAGATCCACTTATACTGTACTATATGTTACATTAGCTTCACACAAGTAATTCTACTTAACATATATCTTACAAGTCACATTTTTAGATTCGTTTTTGGCTCGGTATTATCCACCTCTTTCAAAGTCATCATGGTTGACGGAACTTGAAGCTAGCTGAACAAAGAGGCAGCATAAGACTACCATAAAAGTGTAGGAAATTTACATCTAATATTAAAAGTGCAATCACCAGGCTTCCCGGTTGGAGTCGAAGATTTGACGGGGGACGCGACAACTATCAGGTTAGACTTAAATCGCACATATCGCTTTAGTTACCAATTACAGGTCTACTTATCGCCTGAAGCCGCCTCATGTGTCATACTTGAACATTACATTCATTTTTATTGTTTGATCCATGATACTGCAGACACGCATGTCAGTACACAGTGATTATGGTTCCAGCAATCTGCAAGCAACCCTGATACGTTTCACTTACAATCCATTAAAATCTCGTATAGATTTTATGTAATGTAGTTTTTGGTAGAAGAAAGCAGGATTTGCATTTTATCTGACGTACATCCTCTGTAGGACGTTTAACCTTCAATTTCATTTTTCTGACAGGTTTAGCTTTCAGCACTCGGTTCAGTTTTTAGTCGTCTTCTCAAAAAAGGATGCTTTTTGAAAATGCGTTTACTTGTTACAAAGTCGACTTTATACCCTACTCTGAATTTTACCCTCTTCTATACTTCTTGAATACTTTGATATTTTTTCAGCAATTTTAACACACCTACGGATCTAAAACTAGCAGACGATATATGCTCAACATCTGTTGCAGCTCATAACTCATATATCTACAAATGAACCACATCGTTTCCAAACAGTAAAATTTAACGTCTACTTTAAGAGCTGAATTATTTTAGTGATCCCAACTGATTTTGTATAAAGTAACTTATACCACTGAAACATTTCTGACGAGTAATGCCATCTTCATTTTGAGCTAGTAAAGCTGAGCTTTCAGATTACCCGTGTGTATATATTCTGGCATTTGTGGTCTTAACCATTCGTAAAGACTGTAGCGTATTTGAATTACATGATTAGAGCATAATATGCGCTGGCGAATGAATACGGAGCGACTATTGACTCCGGCTTGAACAAGACGTCAAAATATGTCGCTTGCACGAGGACTGCTTACATTACGGTCGTTTTAAACTCAACTTTGTCAGGTATCGCACGGTAGAGACCATGGGTACGATTCAGGACATCATTCAATTAGTCAGGATGGATGGAAACCATACAGGTTCGCGTACTCCAGCCAAAGTCACGACGGAAGTTCAGATCGCGAGGAAAAGACCGACGGACGTGGTCGAGTGATCGGGTGGTATAAACTCACAACTGCAGATGGCCGCAAGCGAAAGGTAAAGCAAACATGATAGGAGAAAAGCAACGCTTATGTTCCTATTTCGCAGTGTTTCTGTTAGAAAACTTTGAAAGTTGTGTGTCGACGGCATTCAAGAGAGACATCGTTTCGGTAAGTAGCAAAATTGAATGAAGGGATATTAAAGTAGCCAAAGTTATTTAGCCAAAAAAATACTAGCTAAATCTTGCTGCAAGCCATAATAAAGTGTATTGCACTTACTTCAATGATATCTGTTGTTGTCTGCTACACGTACCTATTTGTTCCATACGTGAAGTGGAGAACAGGTCAGCTCTTTATGCTCTAATTTAGGTTCTGAAATAGCTGCATTATTAAAAGCGATGAGAGGAGGATTATAGACTGCTACCGACTGGTACAATGTCTCACCGAATTTGTTAGGTCACATACGTTGCCGATGAAAACGGATTTCGCGCCAAAGTCGAAACAAACGAACAGGGAACAGCCAACGAAAATCCTGCTAATGTACATCTGCGTTCGCATGCCCCAAAGGTACTAACTCCACGGTTGATTTTCAAAGTCCCAACATGTAAGTGGACGAGAAATTTTAAGTCGCTCGTACATCAGCATATATATATATATTCATTCACTTGATTATACGTTCACTGTAAGATGAGGCCTTACTACGCGGAAGACTTATTTTATAGTAAAAGTGGTACTGCTTAGTCAGGTATGATTTCTTCCTGTTCTTATATATAGCAAACCTTAAAATGTCTAGTACCTCTTGCGTAGAGCTGTACACAAAAGCTTAAGACTTGATAAATGTTAATGTGCATAATTCATTATAACTGATTTTGCTGCCATCCAGTCTGTCTTGTCTGAAGGCCGCACTTTTAGCAACGGAGGTTTAGATTAGACCGGAATCCGATCTCTTTATTGTCGTCCGTAATTATGCAAGGGTGGGTTCAGATGTGCTTTCAAAATCTGATTTTCGTTCTCGTCCTAATTTTAGGTAATATACCCTGTACCAGCCCCCAAAAACCACAACAGTTGGGATAATATTCAGGTCAACCAAGGTGAGGCGAACGTTTCGACTTACTAATTACATCGATTAATAGTGGCACATTGACAATATATATGGGAACCTAGACGAGAAAGTTTATGTTACAGTTTTATTCGCTGGCACATGGTCTACTAAGATAAGCTAGGACTATTCAGCACCTGGGCCATGCGTTGCCTAAGCCAACGAACGCCTCCGCCAGGATCATAAGATTCCGTATTCGACACCCTGTTAGCGTTCACTGATATTGCAGAATTTATGTACTTGTAAACATAATATATACGTTCTCAAAGGTTTTCGCGGATCAGCGAAACTTTGGATAAAACTTACCTTTTGCTTTGTTTAAATATACAACATCTGAAATAGCACTGCACACATATACATATATATAAATATATGGGAGGTTCACTCGTCGTACAGAAAGCAAGCAGCGGTAAAACAAAAGCATTTTTGAGAAGAGGACCGGCATCGTGTTATCGTTCTGACGATGCCGTACGGCTGTACGTAAGATAGAAAGTCAAAGCGATTTCAAATGCTGAATGAGTAGCTGAAGTGTATACTTTACAAAAGCTTTGAGTGTCAAAGAAAAGCCTAGCAGATCGCCGGTTATTAACAGTAACTGGGTGTTCCATACTCCAAACATTGTTCGAGCAAGATTGGTTCCCGTCGTCTGGTACGACCGAATCGGCACAAGAAAGCTGGACCGGCATCGCGCGAAGATCATCTAAATTAGGTTACGATCAACCACAGCAAGGCGAGGAATGGAATCAACAGATGACCGTCGCGAAAAGTGATGCTAGCTATGGAGGAGTTAGGATCAGGAAACAGCGGCACCAGGACATCGCAGATGACACTTCAAAAAGCCGAACGGGTTATCAAGGATGGAGCATCAGCAGAGTATGAAAGACATCTAAAGCAGTGAAATTCTATATTTGCAAAGTCTTCATCCTTGAGCATCAAAAGCACACTGTATTAACCAACTTTTCACCCGTTGACTGACCAAAAATATGCCGACAAGTTTTTGCGTGCGTGAGTACAATCTAAAACAATGCTGGCCACACACTGTGCATACAACGGATATTTTGATTTTTCTGTTTTTTTTTTTTTTTTCATATGCTTATTTCGCAGATGAAAGCAAAGTTCTTCACAGTAACCATTCCTACAGCTAGACTCAAGTGGTATGTTCATATACTTGTTTTATTAAACGTAATTTATAGAATGGACCCAATGGGGGGAGCTGGTCCGCACGTCACCCGTCCCTAGTGAAGAGCTCTGTTCATTGGAATTCCAACAGCAATAAGCTATCGTCAAATGGAGCTTATTCCGATAGTTCCAGCTGGTTGCCTAATAACGCCCCGAATTCGAGTAGTGCCAGCGTTGAATGGACTGATGATCATGGAGCTGACAACTGGTAGGATGTTCCAGCATTCCGACTTTTATGCAACCACTTTAACGTTTAATACTATCTTCACTACCTTAAACTTCGTCAAATCGAAATATCCAATAGAGAATAAATTCGATGAGGAAGACGCGCATATTAACGACAATGCGACTTTTGACGTACGTTTAGGGATTTGATTTTCTACGCGATTCTCAAGCTATCTATCTGCTATTTGGCTTCTGATCATGCTGCTATATAAAAAAAAAAGTATCGGAAGTGTTTTTTTTGTTTATAGTTGTCGCCACTAAAACAATTTACTTCATGAGTACATCCCCATACTAACAACAATAATACAGAATTAAATTATGATTATTTAATTTTAGGTAACGCAGACATATAACGTACACATATACGATTAGCACCGTCGTCATAATAAAGCAAGCGCGATTACATAGTGGCACCAGGCATCATATGAATCTGATGATGAAGCCGGAGATGTCACATTTGAAGGCTCCGTTTTACCTTAAGTATTTAGTCCTATGTACTATGTAGTCCCCGTGCATCATAAAAAGCCATATGTATATATATATATATATATATATATATATATATATATATATACACATACAGACATTCCAAGTTTGGATAGGAATACGTAGCCTTATTCTCAGAGATCCAGATATTTTGCGAAGACATTGAAAATATGCAATTTTGGCCGTTAACGTGACTGGACCATATTTAAGTGCTATTTCATGTAAAAGAACACCGCTTGCATTTCAATAAATATTTCTTTTCATAATTTCCTTCCCTATTAAAGTTAGCAATATCATTGCTTTTCAGACCTAACTTTGAGAAAAATATGGCCGCAAACTGAAATGTTATTCAGTCTGTGGCAGTAGTTAAATAACCGTTACTTCTTCACTACAAACATTATCATTTAATCACTAAGACCGATAAACACTGACAAGATAATTTTCCCCTACGTTTCCCATCCTATAAAGATGGACTAAAAATCAAACTTCCAATATTTTTTTCTAGGTAAACGAAACTGTTCTGAAAGCAGCAATCTTTCTGCCTTCTGCCAAACGGGTGTCTTGTTCTTTGTATGATTGCTTACCTTTATATATATATATATATATATATATATATGTGTGTAATTTAAGCATTATGAAATGAAAATGACATGAATGTTAATTCCGAGCCTATTATGAATATGATCGGATTTAATAAAGGGACAGCTTGCATACATATTTCGTTTGTTTTCTTTATAACTTCGCGGAACTGGGGGCACTTGGGTGATAAATAGACGGAAATTATCTTACATACATGCATACTGTACAGAAACAGGTCAAATTTATCATACTCCTTAAAAATCTACAGTTATGTCGAAAACACCCAAGTCATTTAAAGCATGGCAAGTACGGTCACTTGGCTTAAAAATTAACTGCACTGGTTGAACTATAAAGTATAGCTAATGCCCGTTTCCAGTTATATGACCAGTGAACTTGCATCGTCTGATATCCCGGATGGCCGGATTCAACAGGTGATTCCTATCATTACGGAGGGCAGCGAATCTGGTCTTGACTTTAACCTCAAAGGTAAAATACATCCGGCTGCCTATATGCCTATCTATCTGCTCAGTACAGTTGAGTACAATGGAATACATCATTAGAGCTAAACCAACGAAAAAGACGAAAACACTGCGAGTTCTATCAGAAACATTATACGGCTTTAAAGAAAAAGGTTGACTTCAGCAGCTATTAAAAAAGCCCATTCAAGAGGAGAAATTTTGTGATACTAATCCCGCTTGACATTGAAGTGCTTTTCATACACCGAACTCGAGAAGGGCAATCATAATGAGAGCACTGGAGAATCATCTCGGAGAAGCCTTGCCGATCGACCGTGTTAGTTATAGAGCATCACAGGTTAGCTACTAGGCCTGGCGTTCTGGGATTTGGCATATGATGAGGTCTTGCTATTTTGTAAGATGGCAGGTGCAAAACATTACACGTGCTGATAATGTCGCATCAGCAATAACGATCCGCACCGAACAAGAGTTAAAAGCAGGACAAACGAGGCGCTTATTATCACCACTTACAGATTGCTACCAAAAAAAGAGGTCTTAGTAACGTTAGGAAGCGCAAAACATACAGAAGAGCAGACCTGCATGTGAACGGGGAAGTCGTTCGTATGGAACTGATTGGAACACGAAATCAAAAAATCGTGAAAAACTCGGGGCCATTTGGACCCATACCTTGGACACATAATCGACATTAGGGTAGCGAGAGCCAGGTAACGGAAGCCGCGCACTTTTAAAGTGACACCAATGTGCCTTTGACGATAACCCGACAACGGCCACGTTTTCTGTTTTTCGATCTTCAAGAGTGATATGGTTAACAGTTTGGAGAATTGACTTATCACTTGATACAAGCGCTCACAAATCAAATTTAGGCTGACATGATTAGAATAGGCAAGGCTAGAAGAAAATGCACATACTATGAAGTAGGGAATATAGCATTCAGCACATCATTAGGCGATGTACTGCTCTAAACGGAGCCAAGAAAGACCTACTAAAGAAGGCTCATTGGACATCTATCAGACACAAGTCCGGCGAGGTGTGAAAAAGAGTTCAGCTTTTCTTGAAAAGGTAACCATAGAAAAAGAGGTAATTGAAGAATAGGTGCTTGCGCTCTTCATGAAAAAAAAGCCGTCCACAGCGTGTCGTTTGTTGCAGTAGCCACAGCCATCGTTATTATCCGCGTGTTGGTGTGATGGTTACATTTGCCGCCACTACCGCACAAATGTCATCACATGTGCTGTAGTCATTACTCTTTGCACATGATAGCTTACGAAGTCGGATAAAGAATCCATGCGGAACATTTTTTTGGCCCCTACCGCAGAATACCTACGCCGGCACTAAGGGTGATACTGTGACAAGACGCGCTATCGACTAAATTATCAAGCTCATCAGAATAATGTGCTTCAGTGGGTATAAGCTCAGGTAGGTAGGCGACTTAAAACCAAAGAAGAAATTATCAAAGGATTATATAGTGCTGTGTAGAAAAAAAGGCCTAGCTTGATACATAAGAAATGCTTATTTCACAGTCATCTAGTTTCAACTTCAGTATTTGTACAGTGGTAAAACAATTATATTCAACTCCTGGGGCTAACTTGTGCCAAGACTGGATAAGTTATCGTTTTCAAGTTGACTCGCAATCTACTTTAATCGGCTTTTTCATATGATTTATTAATCTATTAGACCATCGTGACTAATATATAGGTATTTAAGCAGTCTCTCAGTTTCTGGTGATCAACATTGTCTCAGGCACCAGCTAGAAGTGAGTACATGTTAGCAACGAGGTTTAGAAGTAACTTTGAGGAACAATTAATCAAACTTTATACGCTCAATACAATGAATACATAGGATGGTCCTAAATTTAGTTATGCATATATTTTTATACAATAAGCGCCCTAAAGTAGCAAAATTTGTACACTTAAAACTTCAACAGCAATATGCCCCGTGCCTCCGGACCATTCATCGAGGTCTCGTGTTTTTCTCCTCTCCTATAAAATAGGTCTATCTTAGCCCAACAATCTGTGCTGTGCCTGTTTCCTTTTTATCGTTTTTGTGCTGCATTCAAATGGTCGACGGGCTTCACTTCACGATACAGTTGTAGAATTAAAAATAAGTTACATAATCAAAGGTCTAGTTTAAGCAAACGCAGATGGTTAACACTAGAGGCATAAGCAGGTACACATTTTATGTTTCAAAAGTATCATATTCAACAAGCCTAACCAAAATGGTAATAAAACTTGAGGACGACCTTACACCCTTATAAATCTTCCGGTAGTAGAGTCGAGGTGTCCTGACTTAGTTCAATCCAAAATGAATCTTCAGTTGTATTCATGAAGTCTTTGATACTTCTTTGGCGTTTACTGGGCGGTCTAGAATTGTCAGCACTGAAACAAACAGCTGTAGTTTGAAAAGGTGTTGTACAGAGGCACCTAAAGCTACACGAGAACCCAGAATCTGTCAGGATATTCCATATCATATATGAATTTCGTTTATAATTGATTGCTTTGTCTAGGTTATAGTATTCATATATATAAATGAAATCTAGCATTTTGACAGTTTCCAATTCAATTCCTCCAACCAATTTGATAGCATTATCCATAACAGAAGCGCACATAACGCAAAATTGTAGCCGATGGTTCGTCGTTATGGATCAACCCTACAGACTTGCAACTCATTTAAATGATAAACTGAGCTTACCTGTCGCCCTCGGCGGCTCCATTTTCTTCCAGGTCATTGTCAACCACTTGCTCTGATACCTATCCGGTCAAAAATGTGAGGATTGCTTAATAACTATTTACAGTTGTGAGGCCAGCTTTATGACACACGTTATTATACATCCTAGCATAATATAAAAAAAGCATAGCTGACCTACCACATATTTTTTGTTGCTTTCGTATATATCACAAAAGTTAGAATCGATATACTCTAGACTACTCTATACCAAAGGGAAGCAAACTGAAAGCAAGCCTAAGTAATATATATAATTTTTTATTCCCTTAAAAAAGCGAGCATATCATACACTATACTAAAAAGCAGTTAAGTTTAAAAGAATTATACCTTTTCAGCTTGTTTTACACGAAAAAAAAAATCCTAAACAGTGTTTGCGGTAAAAGTACTATTTCCAGATGGCCTATGCAACTAGTAAATGATAAATTCAAGACCAACACTAGTGCCTTTGACCTAAAATTAGAAAGGCGACGTGACCACGATATAGCACTTATCGGTAAACAATGCTATACGATCACTAATATTATAAAGTACTAACAAGTAAAATCACTGCGGTGCCTCTGCGAACATGGCTGTGTACGTACCCTGTTCATTGCATCGGAAAAGGTATCCTTACTGAGGCCGACTTTGTTGAGGACAACAAGCTTTTGTTCGATTAGCGGCCATATGTAGTCATCGGAAGTTTCCCGGGCAATTAAGTATTGCACGACGCAGTTTTGTTTCTGCAACATTCCGATCAGACATTCTGGTTTGTTCCTATACATTATTGTGCCATAAAACGCTTTAGACATTATACGCGAGACAGTTAATATTACATTTATTCATCTTCCAAGAAAACACATCTTTTACTCTTCGGAAAAAATCATTAGTTCGACCTTATATTCTTACATCGGATATACGTTAACTAGTCGTATGGCAGTATGCAAAGTACAATTCACTACCTGCCCGATACGGTGCACGCGGTCCTCAGCCTGCGTAAGAATCCCAGGGTTCCAAAAGAGCTCAGCAAAAATCACGAGATTTGCCGAATGCAACGTTATTCCTAATACAATAAATAGTAACTGATAATACAATAAATACACACAAAAGTTCTCTAATTGCCACTATCATTTCAGCAGCAACAATTTATTAGAAAGTTACTATCTATTCCATTAAACCTTGTAAGTATACACCCGATCGTATATACGTAAGTATGTACCAAAAACGTAGTATGAGCAGTTCGGTAGGGCGCAGTCAATCAAATATACCATCTGTTCGTCATGGTACAATAAAACAGAGCTCCGACTAATTTCAAAGATGATTTAATCGTTCTGCTACTGACATCATTGGGCCTAGGTCAGCTAATGCTAGGATGTCCTCCATTTATTATATTATATGCTATCAGCTGAGTGACAAAAAGCATGAATATGATGAATTAATTGGCAACATACCAGCGTTAGCAGCCGTGATGGAAAGTACGGCAACCCGGCAGCTTGTCTTTGACTGAAATTGCTCCACCAGCTGTTGGCGTACATCGGAGCTCACCTAGGCCGCCAGTATTGATCAACAGCATTTTAAATATGTAATATATCATCATGCAAATTCAGTGTTTAATGCCAACGCATCCATATTTAGACTAAAATGCTTACAAATAAAACATTAGGCTAGACATACGCAGTGAACTGGTGCGCGTAGAAATAACTAAACAAAAAATTAAGAAACTATTTCGCCACTTCAATACGAAGATGTCAACGACATACCTTTCCGTCGATGCGGATAAAATCAATACGCTTCTTTTCGAGAAGTTCAGAAACTGCATTTAGCATCACCTATGTTAAACAAGTTACAAGACTCTGTTAGGACCTCACGAAGCCCAAATAGCTACTTTACCATGACAAAATTTTTAGGTAAGGTATTGTTCGAGGAAAGCTACTTTCATCGGACGAATCGACAAAGTGCTTTCAAATGCGACAGACCCGCCTCCACTGCCCTGAAAAAAGCTTGCTACCATCTTCTATCTTGTGATCGGTGTACAAGAATGATTATTATCTATATTACTGACTAAAACCTGGTAAACGTAACAAAATAGGTTTCAGTCTATTAAATCACAGTAATACAGCTGACTATCTTAACATATATATACATACTGTACTGACGATAGTGTGTTTGATTTCCCAACAAAGAGCTTCATAAAAATATCTGTTTCTTCGGTGCCTTAAAAATGGCTCCAAAGGCTGAAGGCTTGACTCTCGATATATCCTCTTGACAACATCCTACTTAAGTGATAATATATATATATATATATATATGTATATATGTATATATATATATACTTTACCGAGTGATGTGCAAAAACCAGAAATTTGCAATCCCCTTCAAGCATTTCTTCGACGTATTTGCAAACGGCACTCATCTTAAGCTCGGCACTTTTTGCGAAATATTGTATCAAAACCCCTCGGCGTTCTGCAGTACTGGAAAATGACTCATAAAAAAGTAAATTGGTTACATAGCGTGATAAGCAGATCCAGCCAGAGAACAAACTGATTCAAAGTTAGTGACCCGTTCTTTTTAACTATCTTGTTTGTTTCGGTTAACTTACAACTTACACACAATAATGCGCTTCATGCATAGCTCAACTAGAAAAAGCCAACTTCAAGTTACTGTTTGAAATACCGGAGCAAACGTAGGATTCCCCTGATTTGAAATCCGGGAGTTCTTTATCTATGAGAATGAATTGAAAAACAGACGACCAAAAAAAACAACTGCAATAGCCGTTAGCAACACCGTTCAATTGTCACCTGTTAACGAATGACAGTTGTGGTCTCGATTCACGCTTGTCTAGATAATAATGCTACACTTGCCAAAAGACAGATTCACCAACGGTTTTTTCGAGTATTTTGTTTCTGGACAAGAATAATCGAATGCCTGCCTAAAGAACGTTCCTCAAAGTACTCCCAGTTAGAGAAAGCATGGTATGCAAGATTTCAAGGAGCCGCCGAAAAAAAAATAAACTATTAAGAAAATCTAAAAAAATTAAATGTACTTAGAATGTTTAGTATATAATGATTGACTGAAATACCTTAGGCCGATGTTGTTAACCATCTGACTGAGATACGCGGCTTGACGGTCCTGCTTCCGGACAAGTGTAGGATCCAATAGAACCACAATTCGTTGTTTATCTGGGAGCTGTTCGAGAACCTCACTCTTCAACCTGTATAATACTTTTAATTTAGTATTTTGATACACATGCCTTCGGAAATATTGAGGTAACAAAAGAGTAATTCAGCACTCTAAAAAGATTCGTGAAGAAACGTGAATTTCAAAAAGAACAATCGATCTATGTGTACTGGCCCTAATAGTGAGTATCGGTCTTTACATGGAAGCCTTCGTTAGTACTTCATACGGTCGGTAAATTTCTGAAGATCATGTTCTTCCTGTTACTTAGTAAAGAGGATTAAATTATTTTCCATTGCATATATTCGTCCGCTACACGAGGTATTATGAACTGCTAGACAGTCAATTTTCTGCTCGAAAACTGTATTTGTCGTTTTATTTGAACCAATGAATAACGAGCTTTAAAGTAGAAGCACCATCTGCACCGAACTACACTTTTGATATTTTACAAAACATAGGAAGTTATTTTGTGGACGCTGACACCTCTCAGAATTGATATGCTCACAATATGCAATAGTTCCCGCTAAAAAGCTAATTTAAATTGGTCAGAACATAATGCCATTTTTGCTTATGCGAAAGACAGTGTTTTCGATAATGATAATGACTTTATTCATGATGTATTCTGTTTATCTTTCTCACCTAATTTCTCTATGCAGTCTCACTAAAACTTTCCATCGTAGTATTAGTAGTTCTTGGTACTGTTAAAGTTGTTTAGTTAATGGTGCTCCTATTAATTTAATTTGTTCTCAAAAATGGGATGAGTTCTCAATTAGTCCCATATACTAAATGCATAAAAACATATATAGAATTTCGGACGCAAGTTTTTGCACAGTGGATTTAATGATCACTTAGTCTTGTCTATCAAAACTTTCTTATTGTATCGGCTCGCTTACTTGATGTAATTCGGATATATGACATGTTGTTTTTCTCAACTATAAGAAGCTTATCAACGTTTGTCACCTAAGGTCCAATTTCGCTTATATAACTGAACTACTAGATGAATATACTACACTTAAATCCTATCTATGAATTATATGGTAGATACAAATAGCTTTTGGGAAAGGTTAAATACAATAGGATTTTGACTAGTACAAGGAGGTAAGGCACATTGGGGGAACTTTATTTTTTGGTCAAACGACCTTATATGACAAGCAAATACTGCGAGAAAATTACTAAGCTTTAGCTAAAAAGCAAAACTGAAACCTCGTGGTTGTTGGTGTAGCGCTATTTCACACCATCGATGAAACGATGAAAATGATATTTATAAGGAGCATATAGAATAAAAAGCGGAATCGGCTTTGATAAAAAAAATGAAAACCGATTCTAGACAAATGACTGAAATGTTACCTTCTATTTGATATATTTACCCATTAAGAAAAAAACAATTAATATAGGTCATTTTATATCAGGAGAGATAGATTCAACCGGGTTCTAATATCTAAAAAACCTTTGTTACGATATCTAACTTGCCTTCGAACCATGATCACCTCTCGAAGAAGAATGTGAAGTTCATCTAGGTATGAACTGCCACTGAAATCCCAGCCAAATCGTGTTTCACGTGCGTTGCAGTACCTAAAAAAATGATCATATATATATATAACTCGGAAAGCCGCATAGAGGGGGATTTTTAAAACTAGATTTACCAGGGGAGTGAAGTTGCTGCTCGTTCTAGTGAGTGTAGAAAATTTTCGTCTGGATGGACGAATGTACATTTTTTAATTTCTTTATTTATTATTAGTACAATATTGTAGAATTACTTAATAGGCTATAAAATCCAAAACGACTTCCTCTAGGTGTCCTTGAAGATGGCTATGCTTAAAAACAACATACATCTTAATTATTTTCCGGTTTTCATAAACGTAGTAACATGTGTTTCTCCTTTAAATAATCAAAAGAGGCTAATTTAGGATCTACCTCAGATTCTAACTAGTGTTAAGTTATGCTAGGTGATTAATTTTTGGTTACAAAAGACGCCAAGCTCGGCTGTAGCCAAAAAAAAAACCAGCGGTGCTAATGATGCTAAGACAAGATATGTCACACGTTTTGCGTGAAATAAACAAACAATGAACACATAAAACGAGAATAAGTATGTTAGTGACTTTCGCAGTAGTGAAACGTATAGGCACTGCATACAGTTATCGATGCTTTTAGAGACGCAAGACATAATAACAAGAAATGTTATAAAATGTACACAGACGATTTTCATTCAATAGACTCTGGTGTTCTTCGACAGATATGCATTTGTCATCTAACAGGCAAAAAATGAATACCGCGCTTAAAAAATAATTGTAGGCTTTCCAAAATTAGGTTTTAGCATTTTTAACTCGGTCCAGTGTAATCAACATTCGACAAGGGCTTCTGAAGATTCAAGAGTAGATACTAATCAGAGGATACAAAGTCAGATAAAATTGGAGAGTGCATCAAGGATTCCCACGGTAAATGTGTAATCGCGAGTTACTCTTGCGTTGGGTACCCGGGCATTCTCCTGCTCAAGCATAACGCATTCTCTGCCAGCAGGGTGCGTTTCTTCTTGTGCAGTGCTTTTTGTAGCTATGCAGAGTAGATTCGCTCGCGATGGGTTTTCCAAATTTTTAGAAACTTACAGTGTACGATGCCTTTGCTGGTCCACCCATTATATAATGGACGTTTTGTCTTGTTAACTTTTTCTCTCAGTACAGGTTGAATTTTTTACGCCGTAATTTTGCTTCGCTGGATCGTTTTGATACCCAGGCATGTTGAAACTGCTTCTATAGCAAGCAGATTTAAAGAACCATACTGGAATTGATCTTGACTGTATGTTTTTTCACATCGGTCATAGACCACTTGCCATCTTTGTGTTATTTTTCCATTAAAAGAGAAAAGTTTTTATTACAATGGAATTCGGTACCCTTAACTCTTGAGCAATAACGACAGTCCTTCTCCAGTCATGGGTTATACTTGGTCGTTATAGAACAAAAGGGGTCCTCTTGAACGAGAAGGATCTTTGAGACTGAAACCCTTTGCGCGAAATTTCTCAAATGAAGAGTCTATCATGTGAATCGATACGATTCTAAGGACAGCATGAATTTTCACCAAGGTATGCATCGTGATGGTTTCAAATTTAGGTCTGACTTTCGCGAATCTACCTATTTTAAATAAATGTCCATAACATTTTCCGCCGACAAATGCAGCCGCTTTTGGTATGACTTCATCCATAAAAGATCTAAACACGAAAAACGCTAATTATTTAGGAACCGTAACACCGATTACGGCTCTCAGATGAGAGTAAAATTTATAGACGCGAAATCTATTAGAAGTTCTGCGGTTCATGGAATCACTTCTCATTATGTAAAGCTACATGCATGCAACCCATGAAAATAACTTAAAATCACATCTAAATACCGAAGGGCAAAATCATGTACAACTGGCCAGTTCCTCACAGCGAGACATTGGATTTGGGGATAAAGCTCGATTGGTCGAGAGAGCGCTGGTGTTCCTGAAAGTAGAATGATTCTCCTTGCGTTCCCAGACAACTCCAAAGCGACCTTCGTTCGCTGCGATTTGTAACCTTTGAGGAAATGAGACTCATCAAATATTAATACCTGAGAATAAGCAAAGACGAAGATCACAGCATGTAAATAAAACAAAAAACAAGATGATGAATTATATAGGCACGATTCCTACACTCTGATCCTAGCCAAAAGGTCAGGAAGCGAGGTACGATGTCTGCTGAGAGCAACGCTATAATGGTAAACCCTACCGTCTATAGAAGATAAGACCAACCATTCGTTATTTGATTGAGCTAGAATTTCATCGACCACCAAGCACATGAGCTAGCTGAAAGCGCGTTGTTTGGTTCTTACTAAGTACAATCACATGAATTTCTGAAGAAAATTTGGAAAGCAATGGTTTCTTTTGTGAAAAGGAGCTTTTCTTCCTTTCGAAGTATTCAGATAGCGTAATGCTAGATGTAAGCTTAGAAGTGGAAATAAGCTTAAAAGTGAATATTTTAGTACCAGAAAAAAATTGGTAAATTTAGTTGAGACAATGACAATCAACATTTTGTATCCAGCGTGACGATCCTATTAAAAAGTTACACTTTTTTGACAATACATGACGCGTGAATTATACCTTGAATTTTGCTCGCATTAAGTCTTCGCTTCTACGAGAAACGATATCGTATGAGGAGATAATAACCTGATTAGCCCCTAGGGGCTCAGCCGCTTTCACAACTACCTGTAACATAGTCAAGATGAGCAACATGTTTAATACGAATATTATATATGAAGCCGTTCCGAATATCTAAATTGGCTAAGAAATAACTTCAGATAATATAGGCCCATTGACAAAACAACATTAATCAACAACTTGAAAATCTGATTTTGAGTCGGAACTGTATATGAGCATTTATGGAGTAAAAATTACACCCCTGTACTAACCTGGATGTCGTGCTCGGTGATAGAAGGGAGCCACTGTAAGAATGCGTCCCTCCAGGCAAAACGCATCGAAGATGGGCATACCACTAACAACGGCCACTCCTCACGATAGTATGTGGCAATTGCCAATGCCTGCACAGTTTTGCCTACATTTTTATAGTAGTTAACGAATTCCGGTTAAGACCAATTATATATATATAACTGCATCAAGTTGAATGATTTCTTTCAAAATGAAATACTCTGTAAGCAATCTAAAAAATGCTTTGAAACTTTGTTTTAGAAGCGAACTAATCGTTTTAAGAATATTTTTCAACGGAAACGTAGAATCGGTTGAAATATTAAGATAATATAAGGGAATCTTTGAGATTAAACAGATTTTAAACTACGGGTCGTTGACAGACGAATGTTAGCGAATAACCTACTTGTAAGTAAAAATGGGTTAAGTTTACTCTAGAAGGAAAGAGTTCAGAAGAAAAACATCTTTTGGTTTTAGAAATCAACGCTCAATGGTTACGTTTGTTCCTCGAAAGCTACAGAAATTCATCGAACATTAATGAAGGACATTGCTTAGGAAACCTTAGGCAAAAGCACAATACATAAATGGTGTAAACGTTTGAAAAATGGAGATTTGCATTTTGAAGACCAGTAAAGGGGTGATCAAATTTCTCGACCTGAAGGATAAGAACGAATTATCGCACTCGAGAAGGCTTCTTATGAAAGCAGACCTTGAAGTTTAAGGGCTCTGTCGAATAAAATTAGTATTTCACATGTAACGAGTTGCACAATTACAACCCAGATACTTAAAATGCGGAAACTGAATAAAAAGTGGCCCTCCGTGAATCGACTCCAACTGCTATACTCCACGTGCAATTTGCAGAACTTTACTTGGAACACACGGCCACTGTAGGCGAGGCATGGTTTAATCTCTAGCACTAAGTGGAAAAGGACTGTGCGAAAATGACGTCGCATGTCCAAAGAAATCGAATTCAGTGGCAGTGTTAAGCAGGTTCGGACATAAGGTGATAATAGTATTTATAATAGGCATAAGGAACATCTGCTTCTATAAAATACTTGCCAAAAATAAAACAATGAACGCAACTCGCTATCTCGATTACTCGTAAGCCCTTGGCACGGCAATCGGAAGCATGCAGTCTGGTTGTTTGATGGCCATGTCAGTCCTCATCGCCATTGGATTGAAAAAAGAAATATCCAACGTTGGTTTTAATTCGCTTATTTTTTTACCATGTGGTTACGGAGCTTTCCATGCGGAAAAAGGCAACTAGTGGGCAAGCATATTTCGTTATCTATTTATTTCCAGAAGCCTATAGATACAGTAATTCCTTATCGGAACGCGAATGATAGGCATAATGCTGTTAAGAAATTGTCAGAGCGTTGGTACAAGCTTGTAAAAAATAAAGAAGAGTAGCTCTAACACATATTGACAAATCATCATTCTAGCCCGACTTGTTCAAAAAAACGTCCAAAAGTTAATTAATTTCAAAACCTGCCGGATTTTCCTATAGATCCAGGGCCCGATCACCCATCTCAAGCTAAGAACGAAACAAACAAATGGGGCTTGGTTGTCCAATCACCCACATCAATAATTGTGAGATATGAACTATTAGTTGAACATTTCAACTCATATGAACAAGTCTGAAAAATCTTGTATTAGCAAAAATACCGGGAGAAGTAGGTTTACTGTTTTGGTAATAATAGGCTTACAGTAAGTTGAAATCAATGCGCCAAGGAAGGAAGATAATCCATACATTTCTAATATTGTAGGCGTATAAATAATGATAAGTAAAATAGTACTATTAGAGTTATTATCTCTAATTTATCTATGATGAAGTTTACGAACAATTCTTCACGAGAACATCCTATTTAGCCTCTTAGTTCAGATCACCCCTATTTTCTACATCACCACCAATATATCACGTTTTTCTACGCCGGAGGCTTTATTTCAGATGCTAGCGAAATGCGATATATTACAGAATCGTTGTTACGTATTAAACATGCTTGCCATCGAATGTAATTGTCAAAGACAAGATAGACTCGTTATCTACGTCGTATATAAAGGCAATTCAACGAGCATACCGATTCTGCAGTCAAAACAGGGATTGAAATAAGTGCGGTAATCGTCCAAGAGCATATTCATTATTTTATAATGGTAATGCTGGAATATCAATTTTTCACTGTCGCGTACGTGAACATTATAGATAAATAGTTCGTAAGCGCTGCGCGATTTGCTGCTGTTATTGACCCGTCGACGTGGTTCGCGCCTATGTTTGCATTATTACTACTTCTACCGAGAGACACAGCTTTATATATTTTAGTATTTGGTTACATGAGCAGATCTCGAACCTGAAAGAGATTACCGCTAAGTTGATTTAGATCAGCACATGGGTAATTTAAGATAATACGTAACGTTAGGGTCATTTATGGGTGTGTGTAAACACAAATATCACGCTGTGTCGACTTGTTCGTTCCGTCTTTTATGACAATTTTCCAAAAAGATCTTATGTCTACAACGTTCTCCAAATTTCTTTTTCTCCTTATTCTTTCTTTTTTTTTTGAAAACGACGACGATTTATTTAAAACAACATTGCATTTTAAAGTTGACAGCTAAGTCTGGCTCAGAATCTAGACGTTTTTTGGTCAGGATTTTGCTATGTGATGCTGTATGAGCTACTGTATTCTGTATAACATCTACTGTTATATTAAACGTTTCATTGTAAACTATACTCAACAAAATGCGGTCTGCTTTATTAATTTTCTGCAAGCGGTTGCTTCTGCCGACATCAACGAGGGTTTCTATCGAGGATACACATATATTTCAACTAGGTGTTCAAGACGCTATCGCGTGTTAGTTTTCGACTGAATTTCCGATTTCCTTCGCAGAATGTTTTTGAATAACAAAATATAGTATTTATTCATCATGACGAGATTCACATTTCTAGATGCTCAAAAGGCAATGTTCCGCAGCTCATTGGCCCATCGTGAATATACTAAAGGGATATGTGCGCGACCGCATCCATTCAGAAGAATCGTGTACTTTATCTCTGTAACACAGTTACTGATAAAACTTCAAACTGTGTTTTCTTTTTTGTCCCTTCCTCCCTTACGCACACAACATGCCGCTTACACTTACCAAGACCCATGTCATCGGCTATCAGGATTCTGCCCCGCTGAGCGATACCCCGAAGTACTCCTTCCCTTTGGAAGGGTCTTAAAGCTTTCCTGAGCTTTGGATCGATTGAAGACATCTCTACATCCTCCGTGTGTATTTGAACGTTTGAGCGAAGAACCTAAATATATTAACTTTGTCAGATCTAGCTTTGTACAGGTAAACATGAAAATTATGAATTTTTAAATATGAGACAACAGGACTACCTAACGTCAGTCTCAGAGGACGAATCAGATATTGTTTTGTTTTTTGCTTACCTTAGGAATAAAAGTTGGCAGTCCAGTAATACTAACTTCTGGAACCTCTTCTCGAGCTTTTTTCAATAACGTTTCCATGTGCTCGAGACGAAAACAATAATGCCGAGTAGACGCATCATATCTGAAAACTTATATATGTACTTGATTGGGCTGCTTCAAGTAACACGATCCTTTTGTCTTATCAGACGTTGAACCGAGTTTCAATAAAAACTAGAACCTCTTTAAAATACTAACCATCTCTTCTTTTCATTGATAGCGTGGACAGGGGTTGTTCATAAACTTACGAGCATTTGCCGTTCGTAGACAAGACATACAGCCTTGATAGCGCGAAAGCCTCTCCAGACAGTTGATAGGTGAATGGAGGACGCTGTTTGAGTGCTTATGTTGCTGCTGCTGCTGTTAATATTGAGTTCCACACTACCCTTTGCAATACCTGTTGATGCCTTTATTCTTGACTAATAACAGTTTTAAAGATAAACATTTGATACTGGCGAGTAGTATTATATCATCTTCTAGAATCGTCTCAAAAAAAAATTCCCACGTGTAAAGCATTGTATATGCTGTTTCTATTGACGTTTACCGTGATCCGGGGAAAGTTCTCAGAAGCTCGGTTAGTTTGGCGTTATAGCCGCATTGTAAACGAAATTCAGCACCCGAAATGAGAATACAAAGTCCCGTCACCCGAGGTATGATAGGCTGGGCCTGGGAAAGCGAATGAAATGACACCAAGTAACAATTATGATTAGCATAGCGTATTCGGTCTAACGGCTGACAAAGTTCTGCTGCCCGAAAGCGACTCAAAATTTAAAAAAAACTGCTAAGAATTTGTTGTGTTAAGCCTATATATTTCCATAAAAATAAACTGATCTTCTTAAGTAACGCTTCCTTCAGAACATTCTATTATTAAACGTTATACTCAGACTGATACCAGGACCGTAAAAAGCTTTCTAAGCTTAGGTGACCTAAATTTTGTTTTATACTTTAGTCGTTTGATGGTCAAAACACCTTTATTCCACTCGTCGTCGTAGACTGTTTTGGTTTACTGCTGTTTTTATTATACACATTGTTGTTATAATAGGCATCGCTGTTATTCTGTCCTCCGCGGATGTGAGGGCCATTATACGAATATTTAAATCTACCGCCTGCTTGGTTGCTATTTTGTGCTCCGTGAAGTCCATTTACAGCTTTGGAGGATGATGCAGAAGGCTAAAATTAAATCAAAACAACCAAAATAGTACAATCAGACTAAGCTATAACTACTGATGAAGTTACTGTTTTTAAATATATATAAAAAATAAAACGCGTATTCTGTATGCCCATCGCTGGCAAACAATGGCGCTTCGACATACTACTCAATACAGACCAATATTTAGACTTAATTTCTATATTAACTGTAAATTTACCGAGTAACAACTAGTCTGAAGCACTAACCATATTTTGTCCAGGGAAGCTCACAACGCTCGACTGCATCGAAACACCCTTCTGATTTGCATTGGCCGGCGCGGTCATCTCTGACCCTTTTAGTTCCTTTCGATTCGTTTCTTGTGCAGCCGCTGCCTGAAGTCTTTCAGCCTCTTTTTGCTTTTTTATTGCTATTGCCTATATATATATATATATTATAAAAATTAAATTTGTGAGCGAAAGGCAAAATCAAGATGTGCCACTTCTAACCACGTTTACTACTTTTCGTATTCGATAAAAGAAATCACTTTTTAAGTTATAATAAACAGACCTTTGCTCGATTCTCTTCGATCCGCCTTCGAACCTCTTCTGATAGATTCTTCATTCTGCAGCCGTATTACAACCTATCTATGACAGGTGTAGAGGATTTGCCAACCGAGGTTATTCGATTGATTTGCACGTACTGGCTCTCGAATACAACTAAACTATTGTTCACCTACTCAAATAAAAACAACAGAACAGTATAGCTCCTATATTGTTAACTGACGAAATTCCGAAAACTTCTCTACTTGTAATATTTTTTTCACTTCAATACTTAACCTCGAAACAATAAAATTTACTAGATTGATTTTAGCTTTACTGACAAGCATGACAAACAATTAATATGCAGTCTAGGATTCCAGATATGCCGCATACACTACGAAGAACGGTTGTTTTCCCACCGATAAAATCGGTCCTATCACGTATAATTTGTTCCACGATAATCTGAGTAATTAATCGAAATTGTTTTGGTTAACAGCCTTTAATTATAACGTTTGTTGCAAATCGAAAAGTAAAATGCAAAGTAAACACCATGTACAGGCGAGGATCATATAGTTTCATAACACACGAATCAACAGTTTAAGAACTGACCCACCACATGCAGCTACGTAGTACTATGGCATGCAATCTTATTATCGCAAAGGCATTGTTGGAGTATGCTTAATTGACTGGCAGTGTTCTATGTAGTGTTATCTGCAAGAGAGATGATTGAATCTAGAGAATATGTTTCGATTATTAAATTGATATGATACACGCGGCCAAAAGCAGTAAGCAATATAAAATGCTTTTAGTACGTTCGTTACTGTAGTAAAAGTAGAGATATACAATCGAAGCTGGTACTAAACTTGGGCAACTTATGTCGGCAAAAGCACTAAGAAAGCTAGCTTAGGTGTGATGAAAATTAGATACCATTTTTTGGTTTCTTTATCTAATCACCCTTGCCGCGTAGTAAATAAAATTTTATAAAAATATGCGAACTAGAAAAGAAGCTGTCTAAAATTCATCTCCAAATACATTATGTGAAAATGTCGGACACGCTATGCACTTTTAGCTACAGGACTAACAACGGCGTAGATCTGCAAGTCTGGAGCAATAACGTTAAGGTTAGCAGGTATTGGGCCTCTTCGACAGTAACTTTTTTTCGTTTTATCTAGGAATAATTTCTCACGTTTCAATAACAGAGCCATCTATCATTTGAAGACAAATAATCTTCCACTAATGCCTAAGGGAATTTTATTTTCAAAATATCAAAGCCGACATATGTCAGTATCTGGGAAATATAATATTAAGACTCCTTTATATGCTTCTGTAATGTCGTACACACAGGAATGTTATATATTTTGTATAGAACATTCTAAATGTATAGGAAGTAGACAAGTGTAGTGCTAACACAGGTCTTCGTCATACACAACTGCTGAACATAGTAAAGAAATGAAAAAAACTTCCGCTACAAACAGCACAGCTGATCTGTAGTATCGATTCACACAATTCACATCAAATTAACAACATACTGTCACCACAACAAGAATAATTTTTGTGAAACTTCCGTAGTTGTTGTCATTGTACACCGTATAATGTTTTTAATTAAATTATTATGGCGCACAACTTGTTACTTACGCGGAGATTCAAAATTACAGTGCACTGTACTGCGGGACAAAATTGTTTAGCTTAAAACGACGATACGGAGTTGTTTATGAATTGTTTTCTATGCCTGCGCGTCCGATATCCTACACACGTGCTAGTGTTGCAGACAAGACGAAGTAGCCTATCTTAGTATGATCGATAATTGTCCCCTTCAGCGGCAACATCTTTATCTCCTCACCGGCTTCTTCGAAGCACCTACAAACCGAAACTATAGCCAATAGTCTGTCTACTAACCGAGAAGACACAGAGGCTGTTTGGGTTCGAAACCGTACGTAAACACATTTTGTTTCGCGCTGAGGCCCTGCCGTTTCAAGCAACACTTAACGGCTTTCGTGCGGGATATCAACGTTAAAATATTTAGTTTATTGACACTAAACAAAAAATAACTGCAAGAAGAAAAGATCAAATTATTCCGAGTATTTCGAAATAATATGTGGAGGAGAACTACGCGAAATAATTGAAAGCACTCAAACAATTTCTCTCTTAGAACAACCCGGGGCTATTACATATGATTGAGAAAAATAAAACGCTATTGCAAAATACGTTAATACCCATTCCTTGACTGGGTCTCCTGTCTCATTTACACACAATTAATTTTAAACCAAATAAATTAATAGAAATATATGATGTACCTGCGCTTGTCAAGGCTTTTACACAAACGGCCTACTTGTTGGATGCATCCATTAAATTATTGCAATGTTTATCTAATGTTTATGTTGATATGATGCGGCCAACGCTCAGTGATTTCATTCAATCGAATCTCATGGAGCTACTAATGTTCCTGTGCCCTGTCAAACTTTGCTTTCGCATACATAATCCTAATGTGAAAAAATAAGTACTTTTAATATGTATTAAAAGGAATTGCATTAATGAACATGCAGTAATTTAAAACATACTGTGCTTATGTTCACATTAAAGTTCATATATCATGATAACACGTGTTATATTATTCAAGAAATAAGGTAGGATATGCTGCATTTCACGTCACAGTACCGGGGTCCAAGCACACTTGCTACATTTTCATTATCAAATACTTGTAAAAGCGACGTGTTAGCTTTACTTCTGACTGAAAGATGCATCTTTGCCTACACTTGCTTTTCTTAGCGCTATATTTTCTTACTGGTTTAGTGCTATCATCAGTCTCGCTAGAGAAACCAGGAACTGTTTCAGGGATTGACTCCGGTAAAGTATCGACGCACCTGCCTATAATCGATAGATAAAGCAAAGCTCAGCATTCAGCGCTGCGCGAATTCCCGTTTTCCCTTCTGTCACCCCACTGGACGTGTTTAGAGAATACGACCGGGAACTGCACGCCCAGTCTTTTGATGGTATGGATAACTCACGTGTATCAAACCGTGAGTTATCCATACCATATCAACGTGTGAAACGCTCCTGGCCATAACAAAGCCAAAAACCCTGTTTCGTCGAGCCGACGTAGGCGAGCCCATGTGTTATCCTCTTTAAAGGCTGTCGACCGACGTTACGTGCGAGAGGCCACATTCTAATTCAACAGCCAGACGACGCATGGCGATGGCAGACAGTCTTTGGCTGACGAGAATAATAACGCATAGAAGCTAGCTAGGAAGGTGGTTATAGCAGACCAGCACGGCCACTCTCCATCGTTCGTGGTGTGTCGAGTGCCGTTGTGTGAATGTTTTGATTCTGTCCTCTCTATCGTGATTATCTACACTGAGCCTATCTGCCTGTCCAGCCGTTTTCCTGCCTGGGTTCTCCGTCGCCATCCGAATTGTTATTGTTGCTAGTATTTGTGTTGATGTTGCCATTGCGGGCCACTTTTTGGTTTGTGTCGATTGTTCTACTCTGCGCCGCCGTTCGTCGATCCGCGTTCGTCTTTCGGTCGGTCGGTCGATTGGCTGCCTGGTCTGCTGACGGCTGGCTGTGCGGTCCATGTGCTGGGACTACGGCAAGCGCAACTACTACTCTACAACTGGCTGGCGGCAGAAGCAAAAGCAGCTCTGTTCATCAAAGTGGTAGTGTTTTTGCCTTAGCTGCAGCTGTCCGTGAGCCTCGATTGGCCTGTCGGAGCGGTTGTAGGTTGATTAGTGTTTGTTGGCAGAAGTGCTACGGCAGCGGCAGCCGCAGTTGCAGTGGTTGTATATGCAGTAGCATTGGTAGGGGAATGATTGCGCCTCTGCACCAGCAGCTTTTTTAAGCCAGTGTTGGCTGTTGCTGCTGATGGTGGTACGCAAGAACGAACCGGGGCAGTAAACATCAGCAACAGCAGCGTAAAAGAGAGATGTTGAGTTGAGAATCACTTCTCTCGGAAGAAGTTGTGAGACACGGAGCAAGCCGTTTCTTTTTCTTCCCCTTCACCTACGCAATACGAAAGTCCTCGTTATTATTGCGACAACGATACAACATATAAATAGAGAGCGCTGTATTTCACGGAACGAGGATTAGTGACGAGCCCAAACAGGGACGGACAGAATAAATGAAGAAGTCAATTATAAGGAAATTTTGCGTGGTTGTTGTGGGGGCGACGTGGTGTAGTGAGTGCTAAGCCGCCGACTTTTGGTGATAATTAGATAGCTTCTACTATTAGTGGAGATCGAGATAAATACAAAGCAAGTCGACAGTCAGGTCTCTGTTGGCCCGAGACCCCCCTCCCCCCCCCGCGGCGGTTTGAGAGTGCAATATACTTAAACTTGAACAGGAGTCCCGATCAGGCAAAAGTCTGCCGTGACCTTTGCGAGGCTGGAGAAACGGTGGCGTCCCGTAGATGGTGCGGGTAAACGCACGATTACCAGTGCACTAGTGTCATCATGTCTCGCCATGAAGGTAATTATCGAGTTCGTTTGCAGTTAGCTCCTAGCTTCTAGTAGCTCAGAAATGACCTGATGAAATAACAGCAATAATAGCAATATTAATAATAATGGTGTAGGCAGGAGCGCCATTCTTACGATAAGATATTTAATCGAAAAAAAAAAATGCTCGCCATTATACCATAATTTATTTTGCTGTGCCACGCACTTTTTTCATCTTATTAGTAATGTATCTTTTAGAGATGGGTAACGTAAAGCCATACTATATATCTTTAGTAGTACCATCATACAAAAACGAAAGCAGGTGCATGGGAAAATAAATGCCTTGTAGAACTTGTACAAGTTATTTGTACTATAAAGGAATAACTGTACTTCCCTGTATTGCGAGGTCTACGAATTTACTTGTACACTAATTTAGGCGTATACGTTATCCATAGAAATCATTCAATGTACAACTGTATTTAGATTTGATTATCTTTCAGAAACTGACATAAGTATTATGACACGAAGTCAATTACCAAGGTTATTCAATTATTATTGTTGTTATCATTATTTACCCCAATAATAAGTTCTTGTTACTTTTTTTTTGCATTAAAGTAAATTTATTCTCCACATTTTAAATAATAAAAGCTATAATTCTCTATATCCCTTTATGTATCATACAAAAGAAGTTATCAAGATCCGAGTTTTACTTTTAGTATCCAAAATTATAGTGTTGACGCCTCTAATAATGTGTTCGTAAACAATTTGGGTCTTTTAAAACTTCCAATATCGGTCTAATAAATAACTCAACATTCATGGTGAAGAGGCTTTCCAGGAAACTAGTTAGCTTAGGTTATACTGAGTCATTTTTTACTACTTTGGTGTGTATACTTTCTGCTGTGTGTTTCCCTGGGCGCCAGAACATATTGTAAGACTTTCAATGAAACTACTGTTTTTTCAGTTACTGGATTTCAGTTACTAGATTTCAGTTAAGTGGCGTACGGACACCGTATAACTGGAGTCTAAACAGTAAATTCCAATAAATGAACTTTGCTAAAAGCCTTTCAAGAAAAGTATTACAAGAGGCATGTTTGAGTTACGTTGGGTGTACCGGGCGTACTTTTCTGGGTCAAATCAATTACGTAATAATATTGTTTTGTGTGCGTAAGTGTCAAACTGCTTCAAAATGTTACTCAACTAATTCTACTATCAAGTGGTAAAAAGGATGGTCTAATTCTTGAATTTTTTTAACGTTCATGTTTTGTTCACTACCACTGATTGGAAGCCTTCGAAACTATCACTTGTTAACATTTAAGCAAATCCATGCAGCTGCTGGTAGCCAGACAGATAACTCGTGTTCGTGTGTGACATTTAAGTCAAGATATTAGTTTTTATTTTCGCTATTATTATATTATATATTATTATTTCGATATTATAGATATTAGTTTCTTTAACTTTCTCTGATCGATTTAGATTTCAAGTATGGGAAACTTCAGGGCCAGTTCGAATGGTTTGTAGTAGGTAATGGTCCCTGTTTCATTCGTAGCTTGTATGATGCTTTACCAGAACAATTCCTTCCGACCTTGAGGCATCATCGTGCTGTGCTTGACTCTATTTAAGAATACCTCAGACATGCAATTTATCGTAGTAATAAGTCAAAATATTTGAAATTAACGGCCATTGAGACATTTTGTAGTGGTACAGAGAAAATGTTCCCATTGTCTGCAATATTAGTTTAGAAGGGTAACTCCAGGAGAAGATTCTCCGCGCCAAGTCATCCATTCTTGGAGTATAGATGGCATTGTAGACCAAAATATGGCTGCAGATTGTGTTAGTTACAGCTCCGTGAGGCTTTTCACTTGCAATCGTTCGAAGAAGATAAAGATATTAGCTTCGGCTTCGTAAGGAGCACCGACCAGATGGAATTACGCAAAGTGTTCATTTTCCGTATACCAATATGCCGTAATAATAATATTCCCGTAATATTAAAATAACATATTTGCTCGGCCAGCTAATTGAATATGCTCCAACAGGTTCGAAACTGGATAGATTTGTTTTCCATATCTGTAATACAAGCGTCGATTTTGCATGCTATCCCACTTTTAAACATTTGACCCGTATGGACCAAATTCTCACCGTATTTAACGGAAAAAAATCACATCCGAAGAAATACCGAAGTAGATTTGTATTTGGGAATCGAAGGATCAGCTCCATCTAAGGGCCATTAGATTAGCTTAGCCCTGAATGAGCATGCTTTGTTTTGGGTGAAACAAAAGTGGAGAAAAAGCTGCAATGATCTAATCCGTTGCAGGGAGCCAATTTTAAGGAACTGCACACTTTCTTTAACATCACATGTTCTGCGTGACATTACAATGGGTGCATTCGGACAATTCTTCAATGAATTTTACTAATTCTATTGTTAAAGGAATTATTACAGAATGAGCTTGCAATTCTAAAGACGTCCGTAGTTATAGACGGAGGCCCATAAAGCATCTCATGGGTATTTCCCTTCCGTACTGAGCGAAATTTTTATTTTTCAAGCATATGCACAAGTAATTGAGACGTGAGTGTTCTTTTGCAATAATACTGCATTTATGAATGTAAAAAAATGAGCTTTAATGGATCATCCGCACTTTAACATAATATTATCTGTTCTTATTCTCTGTGTCTAGTTAAGCATTAAGAAAGGTAAGACATGAACTTCTCATTCCAAAGTTACCGCAGTTTTCTTATGCATGCTCACTGCCAAGTTTCGCTGCCTCTTTTGAATTAGTGTTCACATTTCTATTATGCAATCAAGGCTATGGGCTACCTACAGTAGTTTACAGTTGTTTACCTTTAATTTTTGTGTTTTCCGCAGGCGTATCGTGCGACTCGTGTCTTCGCAATAACTTTAAGGGGCGTCGGTACAAATGCCTCGTCTGCTTTGACTACGACCTTTGTGGAAGCTGTTTTGAGAGCGGAGCAGCAAGGTTGGTTACACCAAGCTTAATAATGTTGTTGATAAAATAAGTTGAATATTTATTTGCTGCTTATATATGTCCTGTTTGTAAAATAGGTGGTGCACAGATAACTAATGATATATGATGGATCTGACAAGAAAAACCCACATGTCTTTATAAGATAACACTAATGTTATACATGAGACGTCATAGAAATGCGATTCCAGAAAGTTGGTGGCTCGTTGAGATAACTAGCTAGATCTGAATTAGCTTAGATTTGGACCGAAGGTTACTGCCGTCCCCGTGCTTCCCTGTGAAACCCTTCAGAGTTGAAAAGCTTTATAACCGGCCACAAGGGTCCGGAAACATTATAATATAATATTCATCATCCTATGCGATTCCCAATGTGTGTTACTCTTTTTCGAGATCAAAGTTGTCAACTACGATGAAAACGCTTCCGGAATTCTCACGGTTAATCTTGATACCCTTGGCGTGTATTACATTTGTACTTGTATTTGTGTAAGCTCTCTAGAGTTGTTTAATCATTATTTGTGGAGCTTCATTATCGGCTTTTATGCCGTTCTTATTATTACTAATATTGTCACTATCTGTATTATTATTATGGTATTGCGTATATGTACAAGTATGATGTTGTGCGTGAATTGGTTGTAGTGCGCGTCACATATCTTCGCACGCGATGCAGTGCATGCTACCACGCGCCGAATATGAGCTATACTACGCTGGGGAAAGCGCCTCCCTCACAACGGATGCACCGCTCTCGTTGACCTGCCCCTATTGCGGTCGTATGGGCCTTACCGAGACCGCCCTCTACGATCACGCGTGTGGCGAACACTCGGATCTAGCCGTTGAAGTCGTCAGTATCACTAACCCAAATATTCTGGTCCAGCCTGTATACACATGTGTTGTTTTTTGTGAGAAAAATCTCTGATTACACATGATAAATTGAATCGTTTATTAAGCTAAAGTGTATATATAGATGAAGGTTATTATATTAGTTTGGTTAGTCAGATGAGTTAACGTTAATTAAATACTATAAAGTCGGACTGTACAATATTCCTATTTCTAATTGTCTCTATTGAGCCCTTAAGTGTGTTACCTAACGGACCATTCATTTGTACTTTATAGGCCGTGATCCTCGGCTTCATAGCAGATCCTTATTTACCATGCATGCGGAAATATAGATATACAAATGGCCGAGTCTTTTTTTATAATAATTGTTAAAGATTGAACTGAGTCTTGACGTTTACAGCTCACATGAACAATGCTTATGTATAATCTTATATAGCATAAAAAAATAGATCATTGCGCAACTGCCATCATCTTTTTAATTACATCACCTCCACCACCGTGAAAAAGTCAATGATCTAAATTCAGTACTAAGAAGAACCTAGAATATTTGCTCAACTCGTTGATTTTAGAATATAATACTAATAAGTGCGAAATTTATGGTCGAACGTCGTCTTCTTGCCGTATTGTTAAAGGCGTCGAAATTTGGCATTAGTCTAAGTTCGACACATTTTTTCTGTCCTTTGTTATTACTGCTTTTGATTGTATTGGCCGCGATGTTCCGGATGCATGTCGCAGAGTCTCCCATGTATTTAATGGTGTTGAAAATACGTGTGTGCAAAGACAGATGCACTCCGACAAAGTTAGCGTCGTGCAACCCTAATCCTTTTTCGACAGGGTTAAGAGAAGTCATTTCCTATTCAAAAGTGATAAAACTTAAATTATCCATTTATGTAATTTTATACACTTATAAAATGCTTGAATGTTTTGCTTATTATACTGAAGGTATGTCCGGTATGCGCGTCACAGCCCGGTGGCGAACCGAATAATTTAGTGCTAGATTTTGTCGCGCACATTCAGCGGGAACATCGGACGGGCACAACTGCCGGGGGGGTCGGAGGGGGAGGTGGCAATGACGAGGGCCATGGACATCCTCATACAGGTGGCCATCATCCTAGTGGAGGTCATGGAGCTCACCACGGTATTCCACCTCCTTCACACAGCAACAGCAGCCTGCAAATACAACAGGCGGGCGGGCAACAGCCAAACGGAACCTCAACTCAGCACGACCTACGTCAACAGGTTACATATATAGATATGTATGTAAAATACATTATGTAAAATAATAACAATAATATATACATATTATTGTTATTATTTTCGTCACGGAATTTCGCTTTTTCATATAGACCTATTCATCAGTGCAATATTTATGTAAGACGATTTTGTTGATGCATTTACAGCCAAGACGAATGCCCTCTCGAGGAGGAACTGCTGGAAGTGGAGGCGCCGGCTTGGGTGGTCGGACTTCTCGACGACATCCGCAGATGGCCTTTACTGCGATGCCACTTTCGCCTCGGGACTCGGCAATGGAGTCAATTACGGAGCTTCTGTCGCAGTTGTCTGGCACTCGAAGGGCAACAAGCGGTACGGGCACGGCCGCTGGACAGTCGGCCCACAGCGCAGTGCCCTCTGCGCAGCAAACCATTCAACAACTTCAGATGCAGGTCAGTAGAAGTCAATTATTACAACATTTATTATGCAGAACGCAGTCTGCTCTTATACTACCTAAAATGAATCAAAGCGAAAACGGTGGTGTAAAGCTGTAGAAACAGAAACCTGATTTAACAAATATTTTAGGACCCTTTGTGACTGCTTTTGCGCAGAAGACGTAGCCATTTGGCGACGTCTATTATTACACATTTTACTGTAACTGATATATTTTTACCGTCGCGCCGTCAGTAATCTTCTATCTCCCGTCATTCAAAAAAAGCACATTCACCGCGTCGCACTTTATCCGAAACTGCTTCGCGTAGCGCAATCGATTTTATTATTATTAATTTAAAATATCCTGCAAAAGAAGCGTCAATAGTGAAGTACAATTACAGCTGGTACACTATCAATTATTAACGAAGAAAGACAATGGATCAATCACTTTTATTTAATACATGTCTTGTGTACCATCAAATATAGTAAACATAGCTATGATTGGTAAACGAAAACTGTGTAGGGCACAAATACGAATATCTCTCAATTAGGTTTTCATTTTTGTTATTCCAAAAACTCGTTAAATGTATCTGTCAGGTAATCACGTTTAGAAGCATTTGGATGATTATATACCAACGATTCGACTTTATTCGAGCTTCTAATGTTTAGCTGCATAGGGCTTTTTTCAGTGAAGCTATCCTATGGGCGATTAACGCAATCTTGAATTCTCTTATAAAATTTTCTTTTTGAGGCTTTTGTACTCCTTTTGTATTTTTATATACAATCTTAGCCAGGTATCGATTTAAAATAAGAAGAAAAATGATTTGTACAAATTTATTAAAAAAATAAAAACATAAAATATTTTATAATTGAAAAACGTTTCAGTTTTGTTAGTTTTTTGTTTGTTGTTTACGACTTTTGTGCTTACTAAAATACAACAAAGTGAACATATTCTATTTGAGCTATGATGACAGGAAGCGGATTTTACAAAGTATAAATTAAAAGTTCATATAAGATACATAAGGATTCGTATTGAATACTATGTTTTATTTGAGCCGACTCTTTAGCGTAAAGTGGAATAATTTTCAAAGGTTCATATTTTAGCCTCGTTACAATTATAAGCGTAACGACTACATAGAAGATGACCGGGTGGTCGCTTGGTGCAACGGGTCTTGGGTTTAACATTTTGCATGTAGTCATAACTGGAAAGAACTTTGAAAACTCAGTTTCGTTTACTTTGTCTCAGTGTATGTAATCAGATCATCTTTTCTGAATGGTTTATTACTTGACTTATTGTGAAATACTGTTATTTTAATTGTAAGATTAGTTCTAAAATGAGGACGTGTCTCATCATTCATACATAGATTTTAGTCAGTCTATATAGAATCGACGAACAAATCAACTGTATACTAATTGTGAGCTAACAACGGTAGCAATTTTCTCGTTGATTGTTGCATGGATATCGACGTGGATATGTTGCTGTTACACAGTTGGAGCGACAACATTCTGCTGTAGCTCGACAGCAACTCACGGATAAACTGCCTCGTCGGACAGGCGGTTTATTAGACGTAGGTGGTGCAGGAAGCTCGAGCTTGCTGCCGTCTCACCAGTCAGGCTCATTAGCAGGCACGCAGGACAGCGGTCACCAGAGCTCACTGGGAGCTGCTTCAGGCCAATCGCAGTACTTGCTCTCCAGGTATTTACGTTACATTAAAATAGAATCTGCTAGTGATAGAAATGTGGCTAGTTACATGTACACACGTAAATTAATTAGTGACGAACTTAAAATGGTTTCAACGAGGTAATGCCCCGAATATAAACCTAAAGCAACATTAAAAAAATTGCTAACATCTATATTTTCTGCGTCATGTTTACTCAGGTACCTGAATAACGGTAATGTCGGAATTAGCGGCAGTGTGGCAGGCGTTTTGGGGGGCTGCCTAGGGGGATCGTCTGCGGCAACGACTGCGGTGGCGTGGTCAACTGCGGCGACGGTAGCGACGGGGCCATCGACAGGCGGATCTTTCACCTCAACCACATCGGGTTCACAGGCTACTTCAGCAGCGGCGCCTGATCGCGCTCAATTTGTGGAGAATCTATTGCTTAATTCACTTCTGCCCAACAGTGCTCTCTGGAAGCTGCATTGTGCCACGGCCAACTCTAGTCATAAAAAGTCGACGTCATCAGCCATTGGCGGTGGGAGTGACGGAGCCTCTGCTGCTCGCAACATAAACGTCGCAAACAACAGTAGCAGCAGTAATTACGGCAACCACAACAACAACAACAACAATAATACCAGTAATAGCAGCAGTCGCACTAAATATAAACACAATAAACCAGAGCTTAGTCTAAAGCTACTCGTAGCACAGGTGGACGACAGCAAAAGGCGGCAACAACAGCAGCAGCAGCAGCAACAACAACAACAACAACAGCAGGCGTCATCCACAATAGTTGCTGCTGCTGCCGATGATGATGATGACCACGCGAACATAACAGACGACAGTTCGCTAGCAGACGACGAAGATGACTGGGGTGATCTTGCGGGGGCCAGTTCAGACAATAACGGTGCAGCTGCCGGTGGAAATTCCGGTGCTAGCTTTTCTGGTGGTAGTGGCGGCGCTGGCGGAGCTGCTGTTCATAGGGGTACTAATGGTAGTAATGGCCCTGCAGCAGCGTCGGGAGACGCCGGTGGGAGCAGTGGACATAGCAGTGCAACGAATCCCACTCCTTTCCTGGTGTCTGCAGGATCCAATGTTCAACAACAACAACAACAACAACAGCGCGACAACGATAATCCGTTACCAGCGCCGCCGCCGCCGGGAAGTGACTATACGAGGCAATGAGCGTGTAACATACGTTTTTTTTCCAAAACTTTAAAAATATATACTAGTAAAAATAATAACAATAAAAAGAAGAATGACAAAGAAGAAATAATAATTAAGGAAAATGAGAGTTGCAACAAAAAGAGGTAACAAGAGTATCATTGACTGAGAGTTACGCAACGAATATGAAATAAATAATGATGATAACAATATCATCATCAAGAGAGGAGTTGATCACATGATGGCGTCAAGACGAAAAGAAGAGCTACGAATGCGTTTTGTGCGATGAAAAAGCGCAGTCGAAGTATGACACGCCGACAGGAGTGATTATTGGGATACATATGTGTACTGAACACTCCATAGAGAAAAATTACAGGCGCCATGGCAGCCGCGTTTAAACGTTTACCTGCCTTAAGCCAACTGTCTAATTAAAACCACAGTGTAAATCCTTGTCGTACTGTGATTACATGACACTCCTGCAACGGAGCAGTGCTCTAAAAAAATTGTTTCGTCGTGTTTTAGCTACGAGGTGAGTGCGGGGTGGGTGGAACCCCCCTCTGTCTTGTTCATTTCCCGAAGGACAGCAACCTAGTTAATTAAAAATACATGCAATCGGCTGATTTCTATAATTGAGCTTACTCAAAATATTCTCTTACTGTAGAGCATCTACTGAAACCGACAGTAGTGAAAAAGTACCATAAAGTGCAGATTTGCATTTCAGGTAAAACATCGTTTCGATATAAATTAGGCGTGAGACAAGCCATACACGAAAGAAACTTTTGCAGCGCTTAAAAACCTAATTGCGTAAAAACAAACACAGTAGAAAAAAGTCAAAGGTCAAGCAACAATGACCGCCATGACACACGTCAATAATCAAACGTTGCTCTCGGGAGGAAGTATGGATAATAAATGAGGGAAAGAGTTTAGAAGGGACGGAAAAAAGCAGATTGATCGAAACATACGATGAAGCATCGTCGAGGATAATTACACATATGTACACTTAGTACGTTACCCGAAGGGCTTCGAGAAACGACTGGCAGAGGTTGATAAGAGGAACAGCAGTGGTATCCAAAAAAAAAACAAAATTCCAAATGACTAGGGGCGGGCGGGCTATTAAGCCGTGCAGGTGGTGTGTAGGGGTGTGCCGATTACGGCCAGAGCGAGAGAAATAGAGAGATAGAGCGAGCGAGAGCTGTGAGACTGTGAGCTACTCAGGTGGCCTAATTAAATAATAATAAATATTATAATTATATGAAATAATATGCTAGTAAATGGTGACTGAAAAGAAAGGCAGGTAGAGTTTCTGTAAAATAAACCGTTTAATATACCGAATGGTTCCAGTCCCTTTAGTTAAAAATACTGGTTAAGTTTAGGCACCATATTTGACGTTGTAGCTTGCACGTTAATTTTAAATTGCTGATGTTTCGATCGTACTGGAACAGGATGACGGGATTATTAGTAAGCGGAGCGTGAGTACGGAAGTACACTTATGCAGACTATTCTTGCCTTACTGACAGATCTGAATTCGATAGATACACCAGTTACTTTTCTCGAATTATAAGAACTATGCATGTAACCTTACAAAAAAAAAACATTTAAAAAGTGATGCAAATTAATTTTACTTACATTAATTTTGTTCTAAGTACCTATATAAATTACAATGAATTGCGTTTTCGTAGATTTCACATTCGGCGTTGAATACTGTCGGTTACTGTTGTAACCCCGCGTACTTCATAACAATAAAAGGCGCACCAAATGTCTGTTTTGGGCAGTCGGATTATGTCGAGTTTTACAGTGATAAAACGCTATAGTGTGGAACAGAAATTCGTTCTGGAAGCCAACCAATTAAAATGTTCCCTAAGTGTTCAAATGTAAAACATTTTAGAACAGTATTCTTTTTAAAAAAATATTGAAGTTGAAAGTTTCTTACGGTGGTACTATACAAGTAACGTACAAAATACCGGTATCTTCTTCCGTAGACGAAATTGAAATTGAGGCGATTGATTAAAAAGACTAGCTTACTTGTAAATAAAAATCAAGCTAATGGAGACCACAACCCGCGCGGACAAATCACACCATCGTTCCAGTACGACGCAGCGACGACGTTATGCTGAAGGACGTGGCCCGTCAACAAGCACTCTGCAGCGGATTTTGAAGCTGTAAAGCTGTGTGAAGGACAATGTGTATCAAGCAGCACCGAAAATAATCTACGACCTCAAAAATCGTAGTCGTGAAAGCGTATTAGTAAAACGAATGCTGAAATATACAGGGGCATGATTCAGAATTACGCAAAATTTAGAAAGGTCATATAGTGGATAACATACCAATTGGAATGCGCCAAAATTTGCTTTTACTTCAGATTCTTGCGTATCAAAATAGGATAGTGACTATTTGCGCACTCTGAATTTATAAATATCAAATTTTTTTTTGATACTTCCGAGCATACAGCTACAGCAGCCGCTAGGACTAGTTTACATGTTGTTCAGAGTAGGCATCGTGCTTTTAAGGTAACTATACAATTACAATTTCATCTGACATAAGACGACTAATCACACGGACCATAGTGCATAATTATTTAAAGCCTTATTTTTTATCTTTCGAGCAGTAAAAACTCATGGTTAATGTGGTAGTATGTACATTCATTCCTGCTAGTCCGCCTGCATGATTTTAAACTAAAAGCTTATTTTATTTACGAATTTATATGTTGGCATACAAAATGCGGTCGATTGGTCTGAGTGAATTTACATTATGCTTTACTTCCCTCATTAATAAAGCACGTAATAGGCATACGTGCACCCTACTCTCGTTCTTTATAAGAATGTTCACGTTCGTTTCCAGGCTGTTTTGTAATACCTAAGGATATATTTTGCTGTATTACATCTGGGTTAGTAACCAGCATTTATTGCACTGATAGGTATGATTTCTGATTCAGCAAATCGGATGGGACATGCAAACTGGCATAGAGTTTTTATCGGATTTTGATGCAACATAAGCCAGCCTATATTGTACCTGTTGCAATTGGAGGTATATATTCCAGTATAGTTAGCATACGCGATGAAATATGTATTATTCTCAATATTCTTTCGCCACTTATTCCTTATATGAACTCGAAATTCTCACGCCGGTCACATTCATCGTTCACTAACTTGTGATGTCTATCTACATCACAATGTATAGGTTTCAGTAATATACTTTGTGTTCTCAGTCGCGTACAGTTTGTATTACTTCTTTCTATTATCTTCGGCTATTAGAATGACGATCGTTGCCGTCCCTTTATTGTTCTCAAACTCAATATCGCATTTTGTTGCTTTGGATTTAGGTGTTTGTGAGTGTTTTTGCGCGCGTGTATGTATAAAGCCGCAAGGAAGATCGTCAGAATAGATACAGCAAGCTTTAGATAAAGGGAAACCGCCGCTAGTGACGCGCAGGATAAATAAAGCAAACATTAAATTGCGCTTCACCGAAAAGATTTAAGTGCACATTATCTGAGAATTATCATGTTGTTGTATTGAGTTGCACAGCAACTGTTAATTTATATTTATTTGTTGCTTTGTATTAGCTCGAAATCTCAATTTTACAATAAAAATACTGACTACTTATTTAAAGTTGACGTAAGAAATGCTTAAAAATATAACTAGTTACTTCGAATTTGTGTGTTTGAAATCGATGCTGGTTCACTTAAATCTTTTTGGCGGGCAGATGAACAAGCTTTTAGCCCATACGTTGAGTATATAAAACGTCTGAACTAATCCAGTATGTAATTAATGAGCCTGGATGCGTTTAGATTGCTAACACAGATACACTATGAATGCTGGCTTTGGCATTAGAGACATTCCGTTGTAATTCGGGAAGACATTAGGGCAACATCAACAAGATCCTCAATGACAGTCACTTTCATACACACAGATATAGATTGTAAAAGCTATGAATTATTGCAAGGTTTCGCTCCAGAAACATATTCGAACTTGAAGTTAAACGTTAAGTAAGTCATTGCACTCGCATAGCCATATTTTCATACTCACCCTCTCACGTGATACATTCACAATAAACCTTTTTTTCGCCATCTTCACACAGACCTTTTATAAACACGCAAACAGCCATACATTTGTATACAGATAGTGATCATTGTATGTGGTCTAGTGCTTCACACAGTTGCAAAGTCCTCATCCACTATATTATACAAAATACATCTCCTACTAAAACTTATTTTGGCCGTTTCTGTTACTAATAGCTGCAAATTGCTTCGCCAAAAGACTGACGTCGGTTAGATATACATAAACAAAGCTGGAAGCTCCCCCGCGAACATCACACGACGATCGACGAGATGCAAATAGTGAAACACAGCATTCATTTTTCACTGCTAAACAAAATCAATCCTGATTGGCGTTATAAGGATGTCTTGAATTGATATCTTGGCCATGTATTTCTGCGCGACGGTTATCATGACGAGAGTCTTCGCAGGTGGCATCAGTGCACCGCGTGCCATGTATCATTAGCCTATGATAAGGGTATGTCGTGGGTCGCATCCAGCCATCGTTTTGTGCGTTTCAAAGAGATCCTTTAGTGCTGCTACGTATTTTGCGTGAAGGTCGTCAATCTGTTGCTGGGTCGGTTTCAACACTTGAGTAACACGAATTGGGGCACCAACTACATAGAAAATATCCCATAAACGAGAGTTAGTCTTTATCTTGCTTTAACAGAAAATCTTCGTTGTTACTCAAGTCGAGATATTTCTTATAATGAAAATTTGCAAAATCGGAAGCACACTGCTTTAACTTCATAGACTATCACATCTGAGTAAGATTACGTCGTTTAATTGAATAAATAGGTAAAGAATAACGCATGGATTTTTGCTACCTACCCACTGTGGTGATTCGCGTTCGAAATGGGACGTATCCGCAACTGTATTGTAGAAGCCCGCGGCCATGGAACACAGGGGGGCTAAAACCGACGATACGTTTGAAACGCATCTGTGTATATATATATCATATTGTAAATGACTACGATACAATTATGCTACAGTTATCATCACGAGTAGTTTGTTTTTAGCCGGAAATGGTCTACGTAGCTGAAATCAATATCAATTCAAAAACACTCATCGAATAAGACTAGAGAGTGCATTGGTTACATGAAGAGTTCCAATATCTAATTGCAATGATTGCGTAATGGTGAGGAGACTGTAGTTGGTGATCATACGTTGTGTTACCGTCGTGTGTGCAACGGACCTGAATGTCGCGTAATTTTGAGCCTGGGGGATTTGCCGCCTGCGCGTAAACATTATTCTCACCGAACGAGAATACTGGAACAAGGTCGGCTCTGAAGAGTCAACAAAACAATATTATGCATGAGAGTACATCATTACCGAGCCACTTAGATTATTCATCGCAAAGACAGTATTAGGTATATTGCATCAGTTAATATATTCATTAGGCCCAGCATCTGAGAGTGAATAGTAACCTATATAGAAAACGAAGCAAACTAGTTGTAGCGAAGTTTTAGCGTTATAAGTTTATTAACCCATTCTGTAGAGCAATCTTGATGAAACCCTTTCGCGAAGTTAGAGTAAGCGCGATATCTGCGTTCCGGTGAGCATCGAGGGCCTCCTGCGCTCCCCCCACGACAATAATTGCTGCATTACCGACACCCTAAAAATAGAAATATAATCTTTATACTTATGAAATTACACCAAACTTCAGTATTATTAACGTCCGTTGCCAAGATCCACATCTTTTTCTGAGAGAATGACATCAAAGGCCATAAACATGGATGAACGGAAGGTGTTAATGACTTTATTATGCTATCTTTTGTACCTTGATTGTGCTTCGCTACACATACACTGTGTAGGAGAGAAAGGTTTACCATACCTTATTTTTTAATATCCAGTCGAGAGAATCGCGGCAGACAGAGACAATCCCGAGCCCAAGAAGAAGATCACGGTAGAAGGGAAACATGAAGTTCAATGTCAATGTCATTAGATGCGGAGCGATTCCTGAAATCAGTCGGTATAATTATAGTAAAAGGGCACCCATGTATCATTAAGGTAGAAGATCTAGCGAATATCTTGGCTTGACCAGATGTACCTACGACAGTGAAAAACTTACGGAAATCGTCCCAGCTTCCAATGAACGCGATTGTTTCATTCGTGTTTAACTACTGCTTTATCAATGCTTAAGGTTCGCTAGGTAACTTATTCTATCAGCTAATATAAAATAACCTACCAGGAAAGAGCTTGGCGAACCCTGTTCCTTCAGTGCCGAAGTTGATAAATGAGCCTGCTGCCATAATTCCATGTGGGTGATATCCCATTATGTAGTTTCTGGAAAATTATAATCATCATTACATGCATTGATTTCATTTTCGCGTCGCAGTTGTTTGACAATTCCACAATCGTAGATATTTTTAGTGTACCTTTTAATGAAAGTGTTAATGAAAATTTGCTAAATTGCGGAAACTTACCTATCAGCAGGAAGACCAGCTGTCTTTATTAAGCAAATCGGGAAATATTCCGCCATCTGTAAAAAAGTATGGCATTTACAGGTCATGTAGTATTCATTAAGATTACATTACTTTTTTTTGTAGCAAAGTGTTGCTTTTTTTCGTTAAAGGCTGACAGCTTTTTCATTTTTACCTTAGTCCATAATTTCCATCGACGATACCAGTGCACGCGGTGACCTCCTTTTTCGTGCGTGCGAAAATCATAGACGTACCTGCAAATTAAATATGAGTTATTACATTAATGCAGAAAGGACGGTATTTGTGAGGCAGAATATTGTCAACACCCTTCCGTTTTCCGAATGACGATTTTTCTCAAATTTCGTAACATCTTCTTTAGATTTTAAAGGACCGATATAGATAAGTTTTCATACACATAGGTTAATTAACTTTTAATGTTATTATTATGTTATTAAAATGGCGGGAGAAGCATGACAATGCAAATTCTTAACGGATCAATTTTTTTACCAGCACCTGAGAAAATGAAGATCTGTTTATAACAGTATTGCAGATGCGTAAAAAGCACCAACTGCCAAATCGTCCTCTATCTTCCAAGAGAAACATTTCGCTCAATCATATTATATCACAACTGTAAAATCATATCAAAGCAGATATCTGTATCAGCTTGTACCGGTTTTCTGGTTCATCCGCTTGGTAACCATTAGGTTGTAGAATGGTGTTTTTGTTAGGTCAAATTTCGGTATCAATGATAATTATTATAAGGCTTGTTATCACTATCATATTATACTTGGAGCTGATAATAAGGCAAAAAGGTTTTTGTTTGCCAAATTTTTCGAAAGAAGTATTGGTCGTTCATCATCTCGTGATTTCATAATTCGTACTGGGCTGTTTGTCACAGGCGTAGAATCTGCCCCAGCAACGCGAACAAAAACACTTCTATTTATATAATATGATTGAGAGCAACCACCCGTAATTTAAATAATTTTTGGTAGTATTTTTTTGTGTAGACATTCTAGTATAAAGATAATAATATGTCTAAAATCTGCAATATCGCTAAATTTAGTTTGCTTATTTAAATTAAATTTATTATTATTTTGCTTCTGATGATGTTACTTCAGATCGGCTAGCCGCTAGCTTCTTATGGACAGATCGGCTAGCCGCTAGCTTCTTATGGATTGGTATTGTTCTCTGATGGTTTTTAGTTCGATGAGTCGCGCGTATAGCGAAGCATCGCAACAGTGCGTCATTCAGTATTAAAAGACGTGTCAGTAATTGATTTGTTTTGTTTCAATTAAAGAACACTTGAATAATATTCTACCAAAAAATAAAACAAGGTACACTTTAGCCAGTCAGAATACATTGAAAATTTTAAGGGGTTTTGTATTACAATTGAATATTAATAGTCAATGAGCCATAGTTTAAATTTCACATGAAATGATAGCTATGCTATGAATAATAGTGACAGAAAAGAAGAAATTTTTGCATGAAAAAAAACATCTAGATATATGAACCCGACCATCTCAAAATATATTTTCCTAAAGCCTCCTTTGCACATCATTTCGGATGCCCTCTTACTTCGCTCTGATTAGGAAACTACAAAACGACGAGACTAAAATATAGGGGCGGTAATCGTCACGTAAACAGTGTCGTGCCCACTGCCGAAAACAGTAGCAGTCACATTTGTAGAGTGGACTTTCCAATGCTGCTCTCGTCCTGTGTTATTTTCGTATGGGTTTCTATCGCATGTGATCTCTTCCTTAGATTTGTTTCATCTGTCTGTTGCTCTTTGTGGTATTCTACTAGCGGATATTATGACACGGTAGGAACGCAGAGAGACAGACACCCAGTTAGTGTCAACCTCTCAAAAGGTTAATGGGTATCATTTAACATTTTGTGACCGCTTATGACTAAAGGCCTATGTTTACAATTGGGAAGAAAATATATTCCGGTGGAATTAAGTAATATTCAATAATAATAATAAAGTAATATCGAAATTAACCTATATTATTTGTGTCGTCGTGTTGAAAAGTAATAAATCCTCGGAAAACTGAAAGGTTCTTGTGCTTCTCCCATGCTCGTTTTCTCTGTTTTTGAGAACTGTGTACAGCCGTCAACCGCACTCGAATTCGTGACCTGGGGCCACGGAAACCCAGACAGCCATGAACTGTCAGGTCATGCTTTTGAAGGTTAGACGGGTTTTATGAGAGACGATAATGCAAGCACAATAGTGCAAAAATTTCCCCAAAAAGCGTACAACAAACTGATTTACAATGTTTTTATATCTCTCACTGGAATACACCAAATGTAAATGGAATAAGTAAACACATTTGTAGAAATGTAACAGATAGCTATAGATACAATTACTGATTGCTCACCATCCTGTATAGAGTATTACGATCCAATACAGATTGCTGAAGCTTAGGATAATAGCTAGTACGGTGAAAAAGATTCCTGCGAAGAGAAAACTGAACGAGCATAAGGCGGCAGCGAGCGTCTGCAGACGTCGTGTCAACGGCGTGGCTGCTGGAGCAAAGTCAATTCCCATCACCCTGATTACCTGTATCAGTATAAACAGGGAATAGAATTAATGATGGAGATCAACCACTTCTTTCCATTTTTGGGAAAGCAACAGTAATCGACTTCCAGGACTAATAAGCTATTGCTCGGTTAACGTATTTATAATATAAAGTCCACCTCTTTTTTTAATTAGATAGTTACCATAAAATTTTGTTTTTAATACGCGCTTGAGATTCACTGCCATCGTGAGAGTAAATTTCAGAAAACTTGCTTTGACCAGATCCGTCATCGAGCCACGTATTTGCATAACATTATTATATTCAAATAATATTATAATCGTTGCAAGGTACCTGCTTTAAAAGCGATGTCTCCTCGGACTTCAATATTTTGAGTTGTTTTCTTTCTGCGTCTGTACTGTGTTCAACCCTGAAACAATTTGTTAGAACACCAAATCGTATATCTTGAAATTAAGGGTTAAGATCGATGCGCACACCTTTTCATCTTTACGTGAACAAATTTACGATATGCTTCGAACATTGGAATAGACTGAGTTGTAGTTGATCTTAAGAATTCCTGCATAGAAAAGCTTCCATACCTCTGACAGAGATGATAACCAAGGTAGAATGTTATCACGAGGATTTCAGTACTAATCACTGTTACGGCGTATAACAAAACGTTTACCACAAACAGAGTAAATATGCACCCGCGGGCCGTGTACCTGTAATTTGAATTTAGTGCGACGCTATTAGATAGGACAATGTCTTTGTCAAGAGTTACAGATTTTAATAATAAGAGATAATAAATAAAGAAATCTACACTCAATCAAAAATAAAAGACCATATAAGATTTCTTGATCTGTTTGTCTATTACGACAATCGTCCTTTTTTCAGAAGCAGATTAATTTCCAATCTAAAAAAAAATTTCAAATTTCAAACAAGCACCACACCCCCCTATCTTGTGTAAGTAAAGGTTTTCAGAAAATCTCGTCTAAACTTTATTGTATTAGAAGTGCAAGCTAATTACACAGATAAAAAAGATGTATTGTAAAAGGGACTTGTGCTATGATTTTTTTGGCATTTATCGAACAAATCGTTCCTTCGTATACCAGCAGCGAGAAATGCCGCCTCCGAAGCATATAAATTACGCCGGCTAGGAAGAAAAATTCGAAAGCAAATGATTTAAAAAAATCGATGGCCACACTGAAGAAGCCGTTGTTTTTATCCAAGTCTTTAGTCTAAGCATTACAGGTTCACTCAACTCCATTGAGTCAGTGACTTGTTTTAGATGCTTTAAACCCCTAGTCTCTTTCGAACATCGTATATGGGTAAGTGTTAATGCTGTATGGCTTGTCAACTTACTTGTACGAAAGCTTCGACGCTCTCCGTGTATATCGAAGGGCGTAGTTAGAAAGCGTGGAGATGACAGGTCTGCCAAGGGGCCGGAGCTGGGCTTTCACTTGACAAGCGCGGGGTTCCATAGCATCAGTCGCGCGTCGTCCCTTCTATCTGGGTTGAAGAATTCGTACGATCAGCCCACTCCTAATTCTGTTCAAACAAAAACTAGCTAAAATGTAATCTATTTCAGCTATTCAGTGAGAAGCATCAAGTAGCCAAAAGTTACGTCGTTCCAAAGTTTGGCAGTTGAATGAGAAGGAGGCGACGCACAATCGTCATCCAGCAAATTGGTTTAAAAAGGGAAGCACAGCACAATTTATTTGAATAAATTAATTGATGTCGCTATAAGCACTATAATATCTGGTTTCTCAATGTTGGCCTCTAAAAGGAGTAGACGAATAACTTATTGCGGAAAGCACCCCTCTGAAATTATTATAACAAACACTTTAGAGGGCACACTTTTGTTCTCTTTGATCATACGTACTGTGCGCCTACAACGAGTCCGTAATCAATCGAGGTGGACGGCTGAAATGAAAAAGCAGTTGGTTGGCCCTTAAGAACAGTAACGACACCGGAACAGTCGCCGTAACAAACGCCCCCCGCCCCCCGTGGAAAGGAGAACTTGTGAGTAAGGGGAGAATACCCGTAACAGGGACACCAAGCCTAATCAAATGGAATCGTTATCGCCATAGAACGGAACAGCTTTGTAGCTAGCTAGGCAGCACCGGTGTCAACCACAACAACAACTGCAGCATCAGTAGTAGCATGGCAACCGCACTGCATTCATTAGTTGCATGCTCTCAACAAACAACAACAGTAGAACTAGCTTTACCCCCCTAGCCAAACTGTCACCGCATTTTAAAGGCAATAACAATAACGGCGGCGAAAATAGTGCCTGTCATTATATATCAGTCAGAATTGCTACGACGACGACATGACGGCGAGACACCTTTACACGAAGACGTTCTTATTAAATAAGACTGAATGGGCAAGGCAGCTTCTTTAGCTGCGCATTTAGTTTTCAGCTGTTGCTTAACGGCGGTTTACTTCCACTCACATCCCTCGATTTTTGAATTTCGTCCTAAGTTACCATTCTCAAGCCCTTCAGCGGCGAGGAGGCCAAAGCTATCTCGGTAGTCGCCATCCTCATGATCCCTAGCACAACAGCAAACAGAATGTAACGTAAAGCTCCTCTTCGTTACGAGCGCTCTCTTGTCCTGCATGAAACTATCTGTTAGCGTAAAAGATATTTTTACGTCAAAGTTACTGACTTGTCTCAACAATGTGCTAGAAGTTTGACTCCTCTTCCATTGCACCTGCTGGCCGGCTTCGTCTGGGTTGCATACTTAAACACAAGCGTCACCATCGTCGTCATGTATGGATATGAGTGATCTACCAGCGCGTATCTATGCAAAAGGTGGTGCTTTGCTAACCTACCTGTGCTGATATACTTTGTCCTACTGCGCCACATTCAATAAGACTTGTGGTCGGCCACACTAGTGGATTAATTCGAGAATGGCCGTGTTCATATGTTGTGTGGAAAGAAAGGTTCTTCTCGTGCTAGAATCGCCTTTGGTGTCACAACACATTTGACCTAAAAAATAGAAAACCCGTATATTGACGCGCTATATAGCTTGATAGATGGAGCCGATTAGCTGAGAAGTTCCACGCTGCACGCGTCCATTGTTTACTCGGATATATTTAGACACAGTGAGGCGCACCGAATGCGCTGAGTACAACAAAAGTCGATTCGTTGAAAACATATATTTTTTATGTTTTAATAAAGGTTTGTACTTGCTAATAGCTTCTATGAAGCATTTACGTAGTAAAACAGAATATAAACATGCTTATAAGCCCTTGCATCAATAAGCTACTGGAGGGTCACGAACATTAACAGTATCGGTACAGTTATTGTGCAGGCTGATAGAAAAGATTGACTAAAAGTGAAAAAAGAACCCGTTCAAACGTGGATTTCAATGTACATCACCTCAATTGCAAATAGTTGAATTTGCCTTTCATATTATAGGCAAACGACTAACACTCAAGTACATATAATAATCATAATCATTATCATGTAGTAATACGTTCTCAAGGAACGTATATGCTTTACTCATCTTAAACGACGTATTGGACCTCAAGGACAATGTATTAAACATTTTTCAAAGAATGTTGACAAGTGTGCTAACCACGATTTTTGACAGTTTTAGTCCACGCCAGTATACCCACTTAGCTTCTTAATATATCTGTGTTTGTTACTAGAAAATAAAATCTTATGTGATTATGATCTGTATAAAATGTAAGTAATATAAACCATCTTGGAAACATATCAATAAATTACTTCGTGCAAGCTTCGCGTTTTACAGCACTGTCTCAGGCGTTTTAAAGCTCAGGAGATAAACACTTAATAGCTATGTGAAGCTTGATATCAAATTGTAGATCAGCTCATTTGAGCGGCACCGTGTTTCCTAGTCGACATGCTTCCATAGATAAAGCAAACGAGTTAACGTTAGTGGCCGTAATAGGACAGACAAAGCACCAATTATCACGCTAAATCGGTGCGACGACTGTGATCTGCTGATGTTTTAACTCTGAAAAACAGCAAAAACTGAATGAAAAAATCCTGGAACCTAACGGAAAAGATCCAAAGGTGATAACAGCGTACTTCCACAATTATTAGTAAATGAGGTGCCCATGCAGCATTGATAAAAATATACGGAACAACATGAACATCTATCAGGTAGTGTGAGTAGCGGCCTGGTTGCAGGATGAAGACAGTTACTATATATTCGTATAACAGTCATAAAGGTGATGAATATAGAGAGCCCTTCTCCTGCTCAGTCCCGCCAGAAGTAATCTTCAGATTCTGTGACCATCTTCTGACAGTTGAAACATACGAAAACCGTGATAAGCTGTCAGACAGTAGACAACTTCCTGCTAGACACACGTGCATCGCTATTCATGCAGGTATACACGATGGTTTTCTTTATTATTGAGATTTATTATAACAAAAATTAGGTGAATAGAAGGTTTATTGAAAAACGCCTTATGATCTTTTTGAAATTTTGTCAATATTGCAGCTGATGTGCGTGGTTGAATAGGCGGAACGCTTTGAAATCAGGTTACGGCACAACTAAGACTAAGTTGAAACAAGGCTTAAATTATTAAAACCGCCTCTTATTTGTCGTTTGGGATGTAATCTTTTCGTAGATTAAGACTTGCAGCACCATTATGCCACGACACGTTGTGGAATGACTAGTCAGCTGTAAATAATTCAGTATCATAGGCAAACAGTTTTTTTTTTCTCTATTTCCATTGCAAAACGTGCCCATCATGCGCGTTCGTGATGGTTCGCGCGGGCGAGCAACTTATCCAAACGTACGGTAGCTTTTTGAACTCGAGGACTTGTACACAATCAGGAAGCAGATTACAGATTTCCTTCGAAAAATTAGACACGTCGCGGAATAGTCTGTATTCTTTAATTATAAACCTTTTTATTATTTTACCAATGATTTTTATGATTGCTTATACTCTAAGAGTTTCGAAAGCCAAAGTGTCCAATCTTTTGGTCTACATTAAAGCAAAAGTAATCTAGGAAAACTAACCTTGCAAGTATTTAAATGAGGTCTTATCTAACTAGAGAAGAAACGAGCTTGTACGATGTTAAAACTTTGTTTTTTTTTTTTTAAGAATTTATTCTTCACTTTTACTGTAGATTTTTACATTTAATTGGAAATCTTTAATGTAAGTTACGCAAAAAAATAATCATTTGGCGTTGATCTTGTAAGTAGACTTTTTTTTACTTACATTGGGTGATACTTACATCTACTGCGATGAATTTCAGCTTTGGTAGATGGTTGCCATGTCGTTTTATAGGCATTTTTATTGGTTCTCCAACGCAAGTAAATCTAATTCTTTCAATAGAGGCAAGTTTTCAATGCTCTGTCTAAGAGACGATTCCGAGCACTTACTTACATAATAGAAATATCCGAAAATATTCAAAATAATATTTAATTTAATGAAAAAAACTTATTGTCTTCAACTTAAGGAATTATTTTTTCGTAAAAAGAGCGGTGAACGGCAGGCCAAGCTATTCTTGCGATATCTCCAAATGTTGACAAATAATTATTTTCTTATATGCTGGACTCATATACTCCTTGTGGATATTGGGACGAATATTTTTGCACAATTCTTCTGATACTATTGCTAGTATATCAGTAAGTCTGTCCTCTATACAGCTAAGGCAATATAATCACACTAACAGGTTGCATAAAATTTACAAACGACTGTGCTTGTAAGGTGCTTCCTAAACACAACTTTCTTTGTTTCTTCGGAGCGCTTAAAGCTTATCCGCAGCTACTGCTACTGCTGGAAGCCTCGATCCTGTTTTCTGTTTTGCACAGCCGCTTATCATTAATGATTCTAATGAATTTACGCGAATTTGAAAGTAGTACTAGCGATGTCGCTAGCTTGAGAGTGCCTAGAAAGCCACAGGTAGCTTCACGATGTTCCTGCTTACAAACGAAGTATATAAAAGTACTCGTATACTAATTTTTTGTAGCGTGCTATATAGGTTAATTTTCAGATAAATTATTACTTCAAAATAATCTAGGTACTGAACTACAGTTTGTCAGGAACAGGAAGTGATTATTTTATAACCTTATCATTACTGCTGCTAATATCTGGCCCACCTAGTTGTCGGTTGTGTAATAATTAGGTGCAGCAGCTGCCGCTACAATATTTGAGACAATTTTTTCATATTTTCTCACACAAGTAAAATTTTTCTAGAGCATGGCTTTCAATTCCAGTATTTTTTTTTATCAATAACAGCGTTGTAACAAATAATTACAAAAATCATTAGAGTCATTTTTGAGGTGGCCCAGACGTATACATGTGTTCTCAAACCTAAGCTCGCTTTAGGATCACTAGTAATTATCACGGTATTCTAAGAGAGTATTAATTTTTTTTTTACTGATCAGTGTGAGTCTATGCAAACGATCGCATAGCGCTAGTAATTATTGCCAGGGCCGAGATTCAATTTCAAACAACAGCTCTGAAAAATGTGACAGACTCGATGAGCAGATATTAACTTGAGCTCGCACACCAAGAGACAGAAGTCATACCACTTACTGGCAGAAAAAGATGGTGAAACTTTATTACTAACCAGGAACGCAGTCTAGCCGTAGGAAAGGTATTTAGGTACTTGCGAATGAAGCTTGCCTAGGGTCTAGCTGAAACCTTACACAAAGGGCAAATGGTGAAAGAGCGGCGTTCGCCGCATAAGGCCTCGGTAGGCTCAAGTCGAAAGGCATAGCACCGCTTGAGAGAAAAGTTGTGAGGATGAACAGAAGCAAAAGCCGGCTCGCTCTCCGGGTAGCTAGAACGTTGAGAGCTACCCTAACCCCTGCCACTATAATCGTGAGCACAACGGTACCGTGGGCTATCACGGCCGAGGACCAGGAAAAACGCATAAGGACTAGCAACCTACCCGAGAGAAGCTTAGGCAGAACACATTCGAAGATTGCAACACGAACGAGAAAGCACAATAGAAGTTGCTCTCTAAACTAAAAGGTTGATGTCGGAAATCAAATAATTTGGAAACGCGACACGCTATCTAACCCAGGCCCTGACTGGCCACGTACATTTCCAAGGATATCTTTGTAAAGTAAGAAAGCTGCCAAATAACTCGTACATCAGTGCAACGCTGGTGTATACGACGACGGGACTCACACACAAGAACCCTGGACGCTCTCCAAGGAAGGAAGAAAGAACAGAGAGAAAATTAGACTGCTTATATCGAAGGTCATGGCGAACTCGAAGGTTCAAGCTGACGGGAACTGAGCTGCAATTTTCGAATAGCTGATTCAGTGAACGAAAACCAGAACAATAGGACGACACAGACACAGACAGACATTAGAGCCCCCCCCGAGCAGATCCTACTTCTTGGAGTCGAAGTAGTAGTTAATTACGGCAATTACCTACTTGCTTCCATGGTTAAAGAACGTTCGAATTTAATGGGAGGTTTCGCTGTTACTGCTGCGATTCTAACATGTGTGTCGAGTTCCTCACTGCTATCGGAAATACTCTTCTGCTTTGGCCGGATGTTTGTAAACGGGTTGTATATTTACTTGGATATTATTGTCAATAGTTGACGGATAGTATTATTCCTAAATGCATTTATATGGCAAAGGGTCAGCAAAAGAAAGAAACTTCAAAGACTCAATGATTCGGCAGGCACTAGAGCAATACTATTCTATTTAAACGCTTAGCCTAACCAGAGTTGAGAGATTCGTTGATCAGAATCGACACGCTTCCTTTTTCCTCACGTACCAGTAACAGTTGCAATAAGTTTAGGTCTTAACAGCGATAAGCGCAAATACCCCAAAAATTTTATACAACGTATGATCAGGCGTAACATCAAGAAGACGAACATTGGAAGTTTCAGCGACCGGTTCACTACAGATACAGGACATCTTATCAGGACACGTAATTATAATCAGGCGCAGGTTAGAAATGTGTGAATATAAACGGTCGAATGAAATTCAACTCGTAACACAAATACGATTTCCATCAAATTTTCTAGCGATGCCACAACATTCTGATCAGTTGATAAACATAAAACGGTCATTAGCGTACCGAGACAGAACTGAGTACTAGATGGGCCCTACGAATTGTTGCAACCCAAAGCTCAATAAGCCACAGATCTGTTGGCTCACACAGACCTCATATCAAAACTACGCCAGTTATCATTTTAATAGCTAAACAAGTAAACGTTGAAGTTCACCAGCGAATATCGTTGGCCAATTAGCAGTGAAGACTGGCGTCTAAGCGACTGGGGGGCGAGGCATTAGTTGTCCTAATTATGAGTTATATATTAATAGATATTTACTAAAATGAACACGGTACAAAATATTAAGCTATCAAAGAAGTATCGACTGTAGCGAAATGGCCTTAAAGCTGTTTATCTCAGGTTATATGAGCCGCTTCGGTCAGCGTCGTTCGAAAGCTGAGATCTAACAATAGTAGACACGGTAAAATTGTCCGGAGTGGCCTCATGCTAGAGTGCGGGCCATGTTTCTGTTAGCTTCAGGAATCGACTTCAGGAAAAAGGTTGTATGAAGTTACTGCCTAAACTAAACAAGACAAGATCGACCCGTGGGTGTCCACGATGTTGCCAATTAACTAAATATCTTTTTAAATAATACAAAAAGTTTTCAACAAGTTGAAAAGATTCGGATCTCTGCTGTCAACGACTAGCAAGCCATTGGTCAAATCGACTAAAACTAATCAACGAAAAAAGTCTTTTTCTCTTATGGCAATGCCAGGTCACATATGGCAAACATTAAGAAAACTCCCATAAAACATTTTAATGCCTTCGCCATATATCCGGGATATTGACTATCAGACCTTTTCGACAGCTCCAGGTTTGAAGTTTATGTTCTAAGATAGGTGCGTCGAAGTATACGTTAACTGTATCTTTTTACGTCAACGTAGAAATATTTCCGCTACGATCATCTGGAGTATAGCATAGTAGAATGTTGCAATCTGTCTATTAGTTTTCTACAAGATCTGCACAGGTGCTTATGTGTTTGTTTTAGCAAAGCTACCTAAATTCGCTAGGGTGACATCGTTTTCGACCCGTCACTCTCAAGAAATTCTCTGCTGAACGACAACCATTGAAAAATGCTGTCTACATACATCACAAACGCAACTAAATATGTATATCTATTTTCTTAACAGTCCTCGTTTTCACTGCAGCTGTTCGTTTTGCCGTAGGGCTCAATTACTCTGTTAGGATTTCTTCGAGGATCTATCAGGGCAGCATGGGGCTCCCTACAAGAAAGCTAGAGTTGTATTTGTCTTTTTTTTTCTATTGTTTTTTTTGGAGTTTATTGGAAATTCTCTTTGGAAA